AAATTAGATGGTCATTCACATTGGGTTAATTCAATTTGTTACTCTCCTGATGGTACTACATTAGCATCTGGTGGTTATGATTGCTCTATCCGTTTATGGGATGTTAAGACAGGATAATAAAAAGCCAAATTAGATGGTCATTCTGAAACAGTTTATTCAATTTGTTACTCTCCTGATGGCACTACATTAGCATCTGGTAGTGAAGATAAGTCTATCCGTTTATGGGATGTTAAGACAGGATAATAAAAAGCCTAATTAGATGGTCATTCATCAACAGTTTATTCAGTCAATTTCTCATCTGATGGAAATACAATAGCTTCTGGTAGTGATGATAACTCTATTCGTCTTTGGAATGTAAAAACATCAAAGGAAATACTCCAATCAGATAGTAACTATAAAGATTTGCTTGCCTAGTTCAACATACCTCTTTAGAATTGCTCCTTATTGCCAAATGGTATTCATTATTAATTATTATTTAGTTAATCCTTATTGTACTATCCTTAAAATATGTTAGATTCCTTTGTTAGAAGCATCAGGGACACTTATCCTATAAGGACAGTTCATTAATCATTAAGGGAAAGATTTAAAACCATTGTTTAAATCCAAAGGAAGTTTCTTTTTAGAAGACTTAAAGCAAAAGTGAATTTGAATATTCATTAAAAACATTACAATTATCATTTTAATCATTATCCTATAACTTTTTCTATAATATGTATTTTTTGTATATATTTGCTTAATATTGAGATGTCAGAAACAACTATTAAATTGATAATATAAACAGAGTACAGTTAGCCTAATTTATTTCTATTTATCAACAGGTTTAGTCCTAATAATGATTATTAATAGTTACAATTAATAACAAAGATAAGAAGAAAGATACATTTAAAAAATTAAAAAATAACCTTAATCTTAGAAATGATCTTAAATGATAACAAAGTCGAAACATTGAGATTGAATGATTTTAAAATACTCTACTATAATCTTGGTAATATTTTCGTAACCTGTTATTTATTATTTTCAATTGATATTAAAAGTATTAGATAGAATAATGGACTGAAAAGATATATTAATCATCAATAAGTATTCTAACCCCTAATAAAATTTAGAGATCATAATTATATCCATTCCTAACAATAATCTTAAATAAGCTCATACTTTCAAAATACCTCTACAACATTTGGGGTAGAAATTTATAGAAACTAAATAGATTTTTCTTAATTAGTATGGAAACAATTGTCTCATTTATTTTCTATAAATATCTTTGATCTGTGAAAATTTTTAAAAATATCTTCAGTGAAATTTATTTCGGATAAGCTTAAAGTTCACCATAATTGAAAAGGTTAAATTCTCTACCAAGAAAAAAGGCTCTATTTAATTTTCATGCTAGTGATACTATTATTAGTTAATGTATGTATAAGAAAGACAATTAATCTGCTTACATTATTTCATTAGTTCAAAGGAATTAGCAACGTTTATCTATAGAAATTTGCCATCATTTTCCTCAAATTTTGTATTACTTTTAAGTTTACAAAATAAATAAAAGTGATTCAGATTGTATTTTGTTTTGTTTTTATATTCAAGCAGCATCAGAGAAAATTAATTTGATCAATAAATTAATAAAAAAAATATGCAAGTAATTAGTACTTAGTAATATAAAATTTATTGTAATGAAGATTTATTAAAGAAAAATGCTTAATTAATTATAATTATCATTTTAATGATTTAGCAAATTTCTATTAATCGGTAATGCATTAACTAAATTGGAGCAATATCAAGTCACAATTAATTGTTACACCGAAGCTATTTATATTAATCCTAAATCTGATACTGCATGGAGTGGCAAAGGTAATCCAATGTTCAAATTAAAAAATAGGATATGCATTAGGCTGTTTGTATAAATTTCATGAAGCAATTGAATGTTTCAATGAAGCCATTTCTATTAACCCAAATATGTTCATGCATGGTATAACAAGGGTAATCTATTAATAAATATTATTATAGGTAACACATTAAAAACATTGAATCAATATGAAGACGCTATTGAATGTTACAATGAAGCAATATCTATTAACCCTAAAGATGAAGATGCATGGTATAGCAAGGGTAATTTATTGTTAAATATTAATATTTAGGTCTCGCATTATTCAAATTGAATTAATTTGAAGAAGCGATTGAATGTTACAATGAAGCAATATCTATTAAGCCTAAATATCTTTATGCATGGTATGACAAGGGTAATTTATTGTTAAATATTAATATTGAGGTCTCGCATTATTCAAATTGAATTAATTTGAAGAAGCGATTGAATGTTACAATGAAGCAATATCTATTAAGCCTAAATATCTTTATGCATGGTATGACAAGGGTAATTTATTGTTAAATATTAATATTTAGGTCTCGCATTATTCAAATTGAATTAATTTGAAGAAGCGATTAAATGTTACAATGAAGCTATATCTATTAACCCTAAATATGATAATGCATGGCATAACAAGGGTAATTTATTGTTAAATATTAATATTTAGGTAGTACATTATTCAATTTGAATTAATTTTAAGAAGCGATTCAATGTTACAATGAAGCTATATCTATTAACCCTAAATATGATAATGCATGGCATAACAAGGGTAATTTATTGTTAAATATTAATATTTAGGTAGTACATTATTCAATTTGAACTAATTTGAAGAAGCGATCCAATGTTACAATGAAGCAATATCTATTAACCCTAAATTTCATTGGGCTTTTGAAAATATAGGTAATGATATTTATTATTCAGGTTTAATTCTACAAAACTAATAGAAAAATATGGATGCACTCACAATTTTTGAACAATCACTTAAAATAAATCCTTATGCTCTAAGATTAAAATATAAAGGTAAATTCTACTTTAATTTCTTTTAGCTAATTCATTATTTGAATTACGTAGAAGTTCATAAGCTAAATTCTTTTATTTTGCTGCATTGGAAATGGGTTTGGATCAGAATGCTTATATAAAAAGTAAACTATCAAAGTAATGAAACATTATCATATTAGTAGAATTACTTCAATTAATCTATAATTTTAAGGGTATATCTTAATGATCCCTTTCAAAGATTGTTCTGTGCGCCAAATTGTATAATACCTAATTAACAATTAGTGTTTAAATGTGGTATTTTAGAGAAAAATATTTGGTCTCTTATACAGAAAATACTAAAAATGATTACAGAAATAAAAAGGAATCTAAGCTAGTAAAAGAGTTTTCCTTATTTAAATCCATAGAGACAGAGAAAATTGCTTTCCAGAGTGGCAAGATTTTGAAACATAAGATAAGTAGATAGTGAGCAATAGTCAAGTTAAAATTCCACAAGAATATTTGATGAACATAAGAAATACTAAAAAAAGATTAAGCTTTACAATTCTAATTTCTTATCTAATTCAATAAATTGTCAATAAATTCGTACAAAAAATAATGCTTCTGCAGTATAATCACTTGAGTTTAATTAGTTTAAAAATTTGGATCGTATACTTCCACAGATGTTAAAATTCTTTAAAAAAATCAATATTGTTCTAAAAATGATTTTAAGCAAAAATTTGGCGATAATGTTCTGCTATTCAAAACAACTTTAATTTGTTTTCTAACAAGTTGGAAATCAAATATTTCATATTATTTGATTAAAAAAGAAAATTAGAAAAGAATATTATTGAAAAAATTTTATAATTCGAATATGAACTTCTTTATCAAATTATTGAATGAAGTAAAGAAGGATAAAGATATTTCTGTATTCGAAGAACCTTAACTAAAAACTTTAGAGTTGTTGATACAAAACAAAAGGATTGGTTAGAATAAGAAATACTTCATTATTGATGATTGAACCTATAAATCATAACAGCTTGCATGACATTTTTGAAAAATACAAAATAGAATTATTTAATAGAGGAAAAAATTCATATTATGATGAGGGTAAAATCCTAAAATAGATGGTAATTCAAAATGTGTGAATTCGATTTGTTACTCTTTGGTATTACATTGGCATCTGGTAGTGATGATAACTTTAGGGTTTATGGGATGCTAAGACAGGATAATAAAATGCCAAATTAGATGGTCATTCAAGTGATGTTAATTCAAATTGTTAATATCCTGATTGTACTACATTAGCATCTAGTAGTTGGGATAAGTCGATCCGTTTCTGGGATGCTAAGAAAGGATAATAAATCTTGCCTACAGATGCTCGATATAAAGATATTCTAAACCTTCAACAATTTAAATTATATTCTTCCAGAAAGTGGTATTTATTTTTAGCAATTCTTAGCTACCTCTGATATGACCATTCTAAAAATTCCTAGAATCCATAAATAGAAGCTTTCGGAGCATTAATATTGAAAGGAGAGTTTGTTGATTATATAGGATATGATTTAAGTTCTTTAATTAAATCTCAAGGTAGTTTCATTTTAGAGAATGAACTCAATTAGAAACAAATTTGATAATTATGGCATTTAAAATATACAATCTTAACTTTATTTTTTTTTTTTTGTTGTTCATTGTTAATGTTTAGTTATGCTAATAGCAAAATTCTTCATAATCTCTTTCACCTTTAGAAATAATATTTGTATCAGTCAAAAGTGAGTATCGTTTTAAACATCGACTTTATTAAGTTATAACTTTACTTAACAACAATCTAATTTAGAAAAAGTTTTCATTCTTTTGACTTGAGATAGATCATAAGATTTGGCGAAGGTTTGATCCTTACTTTGTTCACAATTTAATTATATGTCAAATATTATTTCTATCAATAATTATATTATTGATTAAGTCTATTCAACTTAGTACATAGTTGCTCTAATATTTTAGTGGATTACTATAAGACAGATTAACCACCAAGTCATTCTGAACATAAATATAGATTGTCAGAACAGTATAAATTAATACTGAATCATAAATACAAGCACAACATAAAAACAGCTGAACAAGTTTCAGCATAGTTGACGGAAATTTCATACGATAAAAGGACAAACCACACATGATATGAAATATAGAAAGATCCCATTTCCCTTGCATCTTACTTAAGAACCATATTTTGCAATAAGTTGTTCGAACTGTTGACAGGTTGCATAATCTTAATAATATCAATTATTAAAGACGGCATGTAATACCAACAAGTAAGCATACTTTGAACATTAATTTAGAATGACTTCTTATTAGTATTTCAAATAGAGCAACTATTTTAATATGTGTAGCTCATAATGTAGAAATGATAAGTTTTAATTCCTCACAAATAGAAACATGTGACTATAGGAGACATTGTAAAACCATCCTGAGGTTGCTCAACATAAGCAATACACACTGCATTCATATGGAGATAGAAATAGAGCGCATGCTCTAGCCACTTATGATCTAATAATTAATTTTGTGGAGAACGACAAAAGTTAATTCATGGAACCTCCACTAAGTGTAAATCAGCTATGCATCATGAGGAGGTGTCTGCACAGGTTTGACTATTTTTATCATACACATAATAACAATGGTGGCTAGCTGAAATAGGTTTATGAATAGCATTGTATTTTTAATACAGTTTGAGTTGGCTAATAACAAACAACTAAATCAACTGTGATGAATATTATGCATGAGTATTAGCGACTGAATCATGTTTTATGGATGTTTTCTAATACTTATCAAAGTCCTCTTGGGTGTATTAATATTCGACACCTTTTTGGCTTACAATCACTCTTAACATCTTATGCACATCATGCAACAATTAGGCGTAATTATTTAACTATAACCATAACTACGACACTATTTAAAGTAGATGAGTTTGAAACAATTTAATAGAACGAAAAGCAGATTTATTTGATTGTTCTCTGAATGTTATTATAAACTAGAAAAAATGGAGTGTAGAGTAATAAAACTTTTCACTTTTCAAGAGAATATTTTTAGGTCCTCAATTTTTCATAAAGTACTAGAGTAAATTTTGGAGTAGAGTGTCTAGAGTATAATTTGTTTCCTAGTCCATCGATTACAAAGCTTTTTATTTTGCAGACAAACAAGATGTTGATTGAAATTTAACTCTTTATCGGTATCCAAGTATTGATCCTCTACATACTTTAATGCAAATATAAAATTATTTTAGGAAAATTNTTTTTTTTTTTTTGTTGTTCATTGTTAATGTTTAGTTATGCTAATAGCAAAATTCTTCATAATCTCTTTCACCTTTAGAAATAATATTTGTATCAGTCAAAAGTGAGTATCGTTTTAAACATCGACTTTATTAAGTTATAACTTTACTTAACAACAATCTAATTTAGAAAAAGTTTTCATTCTTTTGACTTGAGATAGATCATAAGATTTGGCGAAGGTTTGATCCTTACTTTGTTCACAATTTAATTATATGTCAAATATTATTTCTATCAATAATTATATTATTGATTAAGTCTATTCAACTTAGTACATAGTTGCTCTAATATTTTAGTGGATTACTATAAGACAGATTAACCACCAAGTCATTCTGAACATAAATATAGATTGTCAGAACAGTATAAATTAATACTGAATCATAAATACAAGCACAACATAAAAACAGCTGAACAAGTTTCAGCATAGTTGACGGAAATTTCATACGATAAAAGGACAAACCACACATGATATGAAATATAGAAAGATCCCATTTCCCTTGCATCTTACTTAAGAACCATATTTTGCAATAAGTTGTTCGAACTGTTGACAGGTTGCATAATCTTAATAATATCAATTATTAAAGACGGCATGTAATACCAACAAGTAAGCATACTTTGAACATTAATTTAGAATGACTTCTTATTAGTATTTCAAATAGAGCAACTATTTTAATATGTGTAGCTCATAATGTAGAAATGATAAGTTTTAATTCCTCACAAATAGAAACATGTGACTATAGGAGACATTGTAAAACCATCCTGAGGTTGCTCAACATAAGCAATACACACTGCATTCATATGGAGATAGAAATAGAGCGCATGCTCTAGCCACTTATGATCTAATAATTAATTTTGTGGAGAACGACAAAAGTTAATTCATGGAACCTCCACTAAGTGTAAATCAGCTATGCATCATGAGGAGGTGTCTGCACAGGTTTGACTATTTTTATCATACACATAATAACAATGGTGGCTAGCTGAAATAGGTTTATGAATAGCATTGTATTTTTAATACAGTTTGAGTTGGCTAATAACAAACAACTAAATCAACTGTGATGAATATTATGCATGAGTATTAGCGACTGAATCATGTTTTATGGATGTTTTCTAATACTTATCAAAGTCCTCTTGGGTGTATTAATATTCGACACCTTTTTGGCTTACAATCACTCTTAACATCTTATGCACATCATGCAACAATTAGGCGTAATTATTTAACTATAACCATAACTACGACACTATTTAAAGTAGATGAGTTTGAAACAATTTAATAGAACGAAAAGCAGATTTATTTGATTGTTCTCTGAATGTTATTATAAACTAGAAAAAATGGAGTGTAGAGTAATAAAACTTTTCACTTTTCAAGAGAATATTTTTAGGTCCTCAATTTTTCATAAAGTACTAGAGTAAATTTTGGAGTAGAGTGTCTAGAGTATAATTTGTTTCCTAGTCCATCGATTACAAAGCTTTTTATTTTGCAGACAAACAAGATGTTGATTGAAATTTAACTCTTTATCGGTATCCAAGTATTGATCCTCTACATACTTTAATGCAAATATAAAATTATTTTAGGAAAATTTATCTACTTTGTTATATTTTGTCTATATATTATTGCAGGCATCATTTGTAATGGATGATCATCCTTTATTATAGTATAATGCTTGATTTTAGTTTAGCATTCCCTTAAATTTTTTTTATTAAGTGTTCAAATGGTATTTGAATTATATTACCAATACTTTGATACTGCTTGTTATTTAACATATTGTGTTACTCAATCTTATTTAGCAAATGACAATTACACTTGCATTTTGCTCAGATTAGTAGGCAACATGCAATATTTGTGATTAATTTGTTATTCGGGTATCATGTGACCAACTGTTGGACCTAATGTATTAATTCTTGATTCTATTGTTAAAACCATGCTGTATAACTTAATTAATTAATAGTTGTGCTATCATAACTTTAATAAGCCATGACCTTGTAGAAAAAACATAAGTCAAAAAGTATCTTCATCGGTTTGGCACCAAAAACAAGAGGCAATACATTTAGGATTTCTGGATATGATTGGAATACATTAAAAAAATAATTACAGAAGTGAGTAGAATCCCCACAAGTTGTGCAATGTTCACAAGTAATCAAAACAAGCATTATTCTTCTGAAGGAAGCATCTAACAAATCAGAGTTGCCATGATGTAGAACCAGAGTCAATGATTGAATCTAAGTTATGATACTTCACATATATAATANAATATGTGTAGCTCATAATGTAGAAATGATAAGTTTTAATTCCTCACAAATAGAAACATGTGACTATAGGAGACATTGTAAAACCATCCTGAGGTTGCTCAACATAAGCAATACACACTGCATTCATATGGAGATAGAAATAGAGCGCATGCTCTAGCCACTTATGATCTAATAATTAATTTTGTGGAGAACGACAAAAGTTAATTCATGGAACCTCCACTAAGTGTAAATCAGCTATGCATCATGAGGAGGTGTCTGCACAGGTTTGACTATTTTTATCATACACATAATAACAATGGTGGCTAGCTGAAATAGGTTTATGAATAGCATTGTATTTTTAATACAGTTTGAGTTGGCTAATAACAAACAACTAAATCAACTGTGATGAATATTATGCATGAGTATTAGCGACTGAATCATGTTTTATGGATGTTTTCTAATACTTATCAAAGTCCTCTTGGGTGTATTAATATTCGACACCTTTTTGGCTTACAATCACTCTTAACATCTTATGCACATCATGCAACAATTAGGCGTAATTATTTAACTATAACCATAACTACGACACTATTTAAAGTAGATGAGTTTGAAACAATTTAATAGAACGAAAAGCAGATTTATTTGATTGTTCTCTGAATGTTATTATAAACTAGAAAAAATGGAGTGTAGAGTAATAAAACTTTTCACTTTTCAAGAGAATATTTTTAGGTCCTCAATTTTTCATAAAGTACTAGAGTAAATTTTGGAGTAGAGTGTCTAGAGTATAATTTGTTTCCTAGTCCATCGATTACAAAGCTTTTTATTTTGCAGACAAACAAGATGTTGATTGAAATTTAACTCTTTATCGGTATCCAAGTATTGATCCTCTACATACTTTAATGCAAATATAAAATTATTTTAGGAAAATTTATCTACTTTGTTATATTTTGTCTATATATTATTGCAGGCATCATTTGTAATGGATGATCATCCTTTATTATAGTATAATGCTTGATTTTAGTTTAGCATTCCCTTAAATTTTTTTTATTAAGTGTTCAAATGGTATTTGAATTATATTACCAATACTTTGATACTGCTTGTTATTTAACATATTGTGTTACTCAATCTTATTTAGCAAATGACAATTACACTTGCATTTTGCTCAGATTAGTAGGCAACATGCAATATTTGTGATTAATTTGTTATTCGGGTATCATGTGACCAACTGTTGGACCTAATGTATTAATTCTTGATTCTATTGTTAAAACCATGCTGTATAACTTAATTAATTAATAGTTGTGCTATCATAACTTTAATAAGCCATGACCTTGTAGAAAAAACATAAGTCAAAAAGTATCTTCATCGGTTTGGCACCAAAAACAAGAGGCAATACATTTAGGATTTCTGGATATGATTGGAATACATTAAAAAAATAATTACAGAAGTGAGTAGAATCCCCACAAGTTGTGCAATGTTCACAAGTAATCAAAACAAGCATTATTCTTCTGAAGGAAGCATCTAACAAATCAGAGTTGCCATGATGTAGAACCAGAGTCAATGATTGAATCTAAGTTATGATACTTCACATATATAATATTTTAGTATGATCACGATTATTTGAGCTAGTTTTATTGTAAGGTTCAATATGCAACATAATAGGATGAAGTAGGTACTGAATTAAAGTTGAACATTTTTAAATGTATTATAAAGTACAAAAACTCCATAGCAACCCAATCTTCAAGTCAGAAGCGGTCAATTACCTTTACAACAATAAGATTGGAACATTTGTAAAGATTTTTACTTCATAAGCAAACCTATCACATCTGGTGTAGTGAGACTCAATCGCAAAACGATAAGCCTTATTAAACGAGGATATAAAAATTTGATTAAACTTACAATATGGGCTGTTTGGAGAATTTGAATAAGAAAATTCAGTATCAGTAGAGCACTTACAAGATGGTTCTCAAGTTTATGAATAGTTTTCTTCAATCAAGTCATTCAGACGATAGATGTTAGTATAAGAAAAATTTCAAGTATTAAGCATCCTACAGGGAGCCCTTATAAATCCTCTTATGTTTAGCTCATCATTCATTTACAGAATTATCAGATTTGGAATGATATTAATTTGCAGGTGTAATGCGCATCAGCTATTTACTCAGGTTCACATTCCCCTCCCCTTTCAAATTGGATTAAATAGAAAGCAAATTACACTTAGCAAAATTTGGATTACAAGGATCCTTGAGATTACATATATAAAAACTTTACATAACTCTGCAGAGAAGCTCAGTTAATCTACTAGGATAGAGGTATAAAAGCGCAAGCACAAGTCAAAATAATAATTTGGTCACAAACAGGATCTAAAGATATTGGAATAAGAATTGCTGCGCGAGGGATATATAAATAAACTGAAAAGGATGATCAATATTGGAGGCAAGCGCAGATTCAATTGAGATATTTATGCGAACAGATTATACTAAACAGGTCTGTTTGTATATAAACTGATATAATTGTCATAAGGAAAAACTACAGATAGAAGCCATTAACATTATTGCCTAAAGTATATTCATTCTTATTATCAATCAGCAAAATAAGATAATAGTTGTAAACAACATAAGAATTAATCACCACAAAATTCTTTTTTTGTTAAATAATTTCTATGACATAGTAAATTAATGATAGGATTAACTGTAAATCTAACATGTTGTCTTCAATAGTTTTGGGATTTTTTTTTTAAATGGTAATATATAGTACTTAAAAGTCTGCTTCTAATATTAATGAACTTAAACATAAGGATTTTTATCCTTGATTTGTAAAAATAGTAATAAGTTTTTATAAAATATATATTTGAAATAAGATAAAGCCTTAGAAAACCTTAGAATGTATCATATCCCTTTACATCGCCTATTATATATCCCTACTAAATTCCAAATTTTCATCTCCAATTTGATACCCTTCATGATATCTTTCTGATATTATTTCATACCTTATTTAACCAGCTATTTCTTAAAATGTTTCGTACACTATTTCATGCATAGTTAATCTCTTATTTTTTTCGCCCATTTAATTGCCTTTCTTTGGTTATTCAAATCTCCTATTACATCCCCTATATCATGGTATATTTCATCACATCCCCTATTTCATTGTTTAATTCATCTGAGATTTCATCCACTATGTCAATGTCTAAATCATACTATATTACACCCGATATTAAATTGCCAATTACATAGTATATTTCATAACCAATTTCTTCGCCTCTTCCATTTCCTATTTCTTATTATATTTAATAGATAATTTAATTGCCTATTCCATCCTCTATTCATTGCCCATTCAACATATATTTCATCGTCTATTTCATCCCCTATTTCATCAAGTATTTCATCCCTAAATAGGGATTCCAGAATAGAGGTTCATCAAAATTTTAAATTTTGTAACGACGCCGACCATATTACTGGCGTCTTAGAACAGTCAGATGCCAGTCTCAACCAAATCCACTTATCACTAGGTAAGTAGTTACTAGATAGTAATAACTAACCCCCATTATATATATTATCATAATATTATCAACTTATTCAGTAGAAAGTAATATATACAATCTAAAGCTTGAGTGTTAATAACATCAAGAAATTTAATGGTAATTAAAATTTCTATCTATTTATATTAAGTAAAACTGTTGTTTTTTATTATTTGTTATGGTTTTTATTTGAAACGGAAAATAAAAATAAATAATGGAGATATTCAAATATGTTTATTTTAATAAAAAATGAAAATAGTTTCTTATTATTTGCTGACGATGTTAGCATTTTAGCTATCAATAAGTTGTATGATAACTGGTATTACAGATGCTTATCCTTTTGAAACAAAATCAATAGAAAACATTTCAGATGAAGAACTTAAAAGTGCAGGGTTTGGAGTATGGACTAGATATGTGCCACTTAGCAATGTAGTATAAATTGGAAATATTGGAATACTTGAGAGTAGTTGTTTTCATTAGTTTAGAATAGAGAATAAGACAAACAAATAATTACATATTTTAGGTTACGATTGTACAAACCCTTAAGAATAGCAAGTCTTAATTTATATTTGGGACTAGATGAATTCATTACATCAAAAAACAATTTCATTAGGGTTTCCATATGAAGAATAAAATTTAATTCTAATAATTGGGGGCGATTTTTTTGTATCTCAAAGTATTCCACCATATAATTTTGAAAATTTTTTACTATCTTTTTTTCCAGGATAAACTTATTATTTTCTTGACTGCTTTCAAAATGATCCTGATGAGTTTACTAATATGATAGAACCATATCTCAATTATGATTGTTTATGTGAACCTAGTTTAATAACCAGCATAGCAGATGTAACAATAGAAAAATCAAATATATATGAATTTGTATCTGAGTATCCAATAGTTCTTATTATCTGGTTGGGTAAAGATTAATGAAATTTATTCATCATAAGATGATTTTGACTTTTAATTGATTAAACTTTCAGGGAATTTTTAACATCCACTACTCATCTAACAAAATTTATGTGCATTTTAACTATTCTATAAGATCTCAAATGATGGAAACCAAATTATTATAACAACCTATATCTATACTTTCCCAACTGTCAATATTGAGTTTTCAAGCAATCCTTTTTTAAAGTCTCAAGCATTCGATTTAACTTATGATATCTAATTATGGCATTATATTCATTAAGAAATTAGTTAATTAAATTTAAGTTTCAATTATTTTTTTTAAAGGTTTTGGTAAAGAAGAATTAAATATTAACTTAGATGTAGCCTAGTTTAATTAAGTGTAATTTAAGTTATCATATGGAAACATATTCTAATCTAAATCAAATTACTTAACTATATAAATAGTTGGGTTACAATTTTTGAATTGTCCAGATAATAATTAACCATAGATAATTTGCCACTTAACTTGCCTGGAATGTGATGGTCCAACAAAAGATGATTGTCTATCATGTTCTAAAGATTAAAATAGAAGATATTTGCCAAATTTTAAATAATGTATTTGTGAATAAGGAACAATTGATTTGAATAATGAATGTGTTTATTACGAAGTTTTTAAACTTAAATTAGCCCAAGAAAAACCATTTAAGGAAGAATGCAAATACGGTTTTTTTGAATCTGAAGGTAATTGCTTTAAATGGTAATTTTTCTAACTATTTTAGCCCATCAATAATTAATGAAAATGTTATAAGTTGTTTGGAATGTATATAGAATCCTAAAATATGGGCTCAAACCCTTATTTGTTAAACAACATTATATACTGATGAGGATGGAAATGTATCATAATAGTTGAAGGATTTGGAATAATAATATGTTTTGGTAGGAAGTGATTTACACTATTGCCCTGATTGCACAACATTAAGTTCTACTTATGATTTAGTTGAAAAATAGAATAGCTTAAAAATTTTTGTCGAACCTCTCAATCAATAAATACTAATTGCTACTAATGTGGAGAAGAATGTTATGAATGTGAAATTTTACCAACACATTTAAATTGTTTAACTAAATAAGATACACACGAAAACAGAAATCAACCTTGTGAGACTCCAAAATATAAAAATTTTCAACAAAAATGTGTCTTTTGTAAAATAAAAAATTGTTTATATTGTTTCAATTATTTTGCGAATGATCCCACAATAACCACTCTAGGTTTTTAAGAAGACTACTCCTTCATTGAAGTAGAAATTACAAAAGGAAGTTACTCTTTAATTGATCAAGAAATTAAAGAAGGCTGTGCTTAATGTATTGAAGAATACATATTTGATTTCACAATTGGAAAATGCATATTTAAGAAGCCATCCAAAGAAAATTGTCTAAGGTCCTATATTAATCAATAAAATTAAGAAATTTGCACTCTTTCATCTATTAACGATTTCAATATAGCTCTTGAAACCATTAATTGCCAAAGCCATATTCTTCATTGTAAATAATGCCTCAAAACTCCATAAACCACTCTAAAATGTTTACTTTGTGAGGATAATTATAAAGTGTCTACAATAACTGGAGCTTGCAGTATTTATACAGAGGATTTCTCCAAATAATGCTTTGAAGACAATGATTTAGAACCTTGGAAATGGTAAGTTTAAGGTTTTACAATTGAATTTTTACCAAATAAACCTATTTTTACTAATTAATTACCAAGTTAAAAAACTATAATCACTTAATGCATAACAGGCTATTAAAAGATAAGAGGATTTTGTAAAAAATATTGTGATTCAATGTGTTCTGAATGCGAAGTTAATGACCAGAGTTTTTAATGTTCTAAGTGCAAATTAAATTATTATTAAGAGACAATAAAAAATTAATCTGATGGAATATGCTTTCTATGTTCTTCCTTATGTCAAGTTTGTGAGATTAGACCAAATAAAGAAATAAATGTAATTAATCCTAATACAATAGAAAATAAACCCATATTTTATTATAAGCCCAGAAAACACCATTTACACCTTTAGATGCCTTTAATAAATTCTACTTTAATAAGTTCAAATCGATCCATACTTACAAATAGCATAATATTGTTATGAAAACAGCTGCATCAACAGTTTAGAATTCAATTATGTATGCATTTATTTAATTTAGAATTCTAATTGTGCTGATATTGAAGAGATTCAATCAGTTTTAACAAATTAGTATAATTACCAATATTTTAATCACATTGGGCTAAAGGAAATATTTCTTAACGTTAAATTAGATGAAGAATGCATTTTTTTAGCTGGTTATTACATTCTCAGAATAGGATGATGAATTTACAATTTATTATATTTAATTATGAATCTAATTTTAAGGAGATTTTAATAAAAGATAATGAATTGATATCATTTTAAATTATTGCATAAATTTCATCAATTATTGAAAAGTTAGAAATTTAGTTTACTATAATAGATTTTTCAATATTTGTTACAGAATAAAAACAATCAATAACATAAATAAGCATTTTGTTCAATTACCTTTTTTTTTAGAATAATATTATATCCTCTTATTAAGAAAACCATTTTATAATCATTAACTGCTTTAATTTAACTATTTAAAACGTCTTTATAACAAATACTTTAAATTATCGTTTTTTATCACTTCTCTCTGTATCTAGGATAAGAATTGAAAACGTTGTTTGTGAAAATTCAATTCAAGAACAAAAGTGTAAATTTCATCTTAATGTCTAAATAATTAAATATTTCATTCTTAATTTTTGTAGGTTAATGGGTTTATTCATAAAAGTCTAAATAATATTCAATTGAAAAATATATTTACTATTGATTAATCAATAATTTCAATTTAATCAAATCCCTTCACAATGTTAAATACAAATGAGTACATAAATATTAAAAATTTTATGGCAAATGGAAATATTTTATTAAAACAATAATTAGGAAAACTATTTTCAATAATTGATATATAATCTGAAAAACCTTAAATCATTGAAATTGATAATTTAATCTTCTAGGAGAATATTTTTCATTAATATAATAAAGATCCTTCTGAAACTTCCGCAAGTCTTTTTTATGTCGATTCAGGATAGGGTCTTTTAATGATGAAAAATATCATTTGTTTTAATAATTCTCTAAAGAATTCTTCCTTATCATTTATTTCTATTTTTTCTAATGAAGTATATTTAGAAAATTTGTAAGTATAAAATCATAATTACCATGATCAGGAGTTTTGGATTAAATATTACAATATTCAAATTTAAGGCAATTATAATTAAAATGAAATTGCTTATATTATTTCTCAATCATATAATATTGAAACTATAGGAGGAGCTTTATCAATAAAAGTAACTAAATTTTAATTTAGTAATGGTTTATTTAATTTTATTAAAACATAAGGAAGTCAAGTTTTTAACATTGAATTATAAGGAGATGGAATTGTGATTATCTAAAATTGCAGTGTTAATCATGCATACAATTCACTAATTTCAAATTATGAATAAGATGGGGCTTTTACAATTAATGGAAAGAAAAGCTTGTTAGCTGTTTATGTTAATAATATTACTTTAACAGATACATTAAATAAGATAACATCATCAATCTTTTCAATATATCCATCTTCTTCCTAAAATAGTATTGAGTTAAAAAATATCTTTGCTAGAGATTGTTTCAGTCTTGATGATTAAATATAGAATTTTAAATCTAATTTTCAACACATTTTATAAAGCAATGTGAAAATAGATAATTTTACAATTATTTCAACTGAGAAAGCATTTTTAACTTTTCTTAAATCTATTGGATAAATTAATTTAATTGAAAGGCAAAAAATACTGACTGAAAATGCTCTCATGAATTTTGAAGGATGTAAGTTAACATTAAACCAAATTATAATAGAAGGAATCATCTTATCGCCTATCATCAAAATTATTGATTCTAACAATATCAAAATCTTAAATACAAAGTTCATCAATATTTATACTTTTTATCCCTTAAATTTAGTTGATGTCCAATAAATTAATGTCGTTTCATAAAAAATACATTTTTCTAATATTACAATTTCAAATTAATTTCGCTTTCATCTTGATAAGTTAAGCTAGAACTAAATTAATAATTATTATATTCATTGAGATTCCTCATAATGTGATATAATAACTGTTTAAATAACATAGCGGGTTGATATGGCCTTTACCAATTTTGATGAAATATATTAAAATGCAAATTAAAATGGGTCTTTGATTAAATTGAGAAGCCTCACTAATTAAACCCGAATTTTTTTCTCAAAAATACAATTATTAAATAATAATTGTTAATATTGCTTGAATGGCTTAATTTGGTTGGAATTAATTGATTTTGAAAATGCAAAAATCTCAGAATTGTTATGCATGATGAACTAACTCACAAATTATGGTTGTATATTTGCAAAATCGGATAACAATATTGGCAGTTTTATATCAATATATCATTCAAACTTCATTTCTAACAATGGGTAAAAAGGAGGAGGAGTTTATGTAGAAAATATAAAATTCTAACTTAGAAACTCCATGTTTTTCAACAATACTGTTTCATAAAAGGGTGGCGGTTTCTACTTTTCATAAGGTTCTGAAAGGTTTACAATAAAATATATATTTAGATGGAAATAGCTGTTTAAATTAAAATAATTTCGTCTCGTCTCTTCTCTTCTATAATTTTGCGAAATAATCTTCAAATAATATAAATGAATTGCCAAAGCATCTAAGTTTGTCAATAAATTAAATAGAGATGTTCTCACAAGAAAAATTAATTGAAGACCGTTTATATTAGGTTCTTTAATTAAAACCATACAAAATTATATTATAAGATCATGCTAAATCAACAAATTTCTTATTTATTCCTAGCGGTTAATAGATATCAACTTATTAGTTTTATAATCCGAAGCATTAAATATATTAACCTTATATATTTAATTTAAATATACTGCTAAAAAATAGTATGAATGAATTATTAATTAATTATTAAAATTACTCTTGCTATGTAGAATAAATATCTTTTGATAATGCCTCTTAATAATTAATTGAATCTATCCGAATATCAAAATTAAATTTTAATTAAGATGTCAAAGGTTTAACCTGGGTTCACTCTAATTTGACATAGATCCTTATAAGTAGGAAAACAGAATTTAGGAAATTTTGGTTTATTGCAATTCATCAAATTATGAGGATTAATTAGCCTATAGAATGAGAGTAGAAAGTTTGATGTGCTAATTAGGAGAATTCTATATTTATGCTGGTTGTCAAATATGTCAGCCATTATAGGGATTCTATTCTGTTACATATAACACAACAAAATGCTCTATTTTTGATAAAAATAAATTTGATGCAATCACTTCTAATAAAATTTAACTCAAACCTGGGTTTTGGAGGCCAAATTAAATTTCAGATTATGTAGAATTATGCTTTAAAAACCCAACTTACTGTGAAGGGGGATGGAAATATGGAAATGAACTTTGCTCTCAGGGTCACATTGGGGGATTATGTGAAGAATGTGATCGATATGATATAAGAGGAGCAGGATAATTCTTTAAAGACTAAAAGCAACTAGAATGTAAATAATGTTTAGAATTTTCTGGGTTGTTATTAACCTTTTTGTTAATTTCAATTTGGTACAATATTTTTAATTTCTTTAGGTCTATCCTTCCTACTTTATTAACCATCCAAAGTATTGAAAGATCGAATTAATTATTTGCATTACTTAAGGTTAGAAAATAATTTGTAGAAATTTTATTCAAACTAAATTAAGGTAACATTAATAATGTATATTTAGATCATGAAAGCATTTTGCTTAAATTATTTCTTAATTATTTGTGGGTTTTTTGTCTTATTTTTACATTTAATATTCGTTTCTCCTTTTCTTTGAATGTTGTAAAATAATCTAATGATACGTCCTATTATATGGCCAATTATTTTGATTGTATTTTGGCTGAAATTTAAGGGATAGATTTAATTTACAGTAGAATCTTGGTTATGTTTGTATTATTAGTTGGCTAGATATTAATTATCTATATTGGATTTTAAGTGGCATCAGACTTGAATAAAACTAAATTTAGGATAAGGGTCTTATCTATTACAATTTTGTATTTGTACATCTAAAATTATGCATCCTTGATTAATTAGTAAATTAATATGTATTAGCACTAGATTTTTTTTGATTATTGCTGTGAGAAAGATCTCAAATCTAAATTATATATCAGGCGATGTATCTCTACTATATGGATCGGATAGTCACATCTTATGGATAAAAAGATTTGCAATTCCTGGATCTTCATTTATTGGATTGATCGTACCTTTATTGTTGTTTCTACTTTTGTACATTAATAGAGAAAATCATAACAAGATAAAATTTCGAAGACATATAGGATATTTATTTAATGAATATACCTAAAAGAACTATTTTTGGGAAATGATTAAATTGTGGAAGAAAACTATTATTATTATTTTAATCTACTTTGAAACTGACATCTTTTTGAAAGCAACATTATTAGGGCTTTGCTTAATGTTTTACTAATTGATTGCCTTGAAGTATAAACCCTTTATACTTAATATGTATAATCAATTGGATATTCAAAGCGGTCAATATTGTTCTATCACTATATTTTTTGCAGTTGTCAAATATATATGTGAATAATCGGAGTAATATAATATTTCAGAACTCATTCAAAATTTAATTATTATTTTGAGCATTATTTTGAGTTACCCCTTTATTATCAAAATTCTAAAAGTCTATTAGAGTAAATACAAGCTCGTGGTTTTAACATCATTGTTAAAAGGCTTTATAGCTTTCAAACCTAGTTTTAAATTCACTAAGTTTTTGAGAGAAAAATTAACATAATCGAGATAGAGGGAAGAAAGGACTAAACGCAATATCTAAAAATTGAGGTCACTCCTTTTTTCTCAAAAGGTCTCAGGGCGATTTTAATAAAATTCATGTTAGGGAGCGATTAACCTTACACTAAACAGTTTGTAAAAAAAATAAATAACTTTAACCTTAAATTGCAATTTTAAGACATAAATTTGATATATAACATAAAAGCAAAAACAATTTAATTTTTACCATCTACTCTAAAAAAATATTATTTAAATTTAATTGTATAAATTAAAAATAAATTGTTATTATTGAATATAATTTTAGGAAGCCTAACAAGTCCAATAGCTAAATAATAATTATCGTTTGTTCGCAAATCTATTATTTTAACTTCTTTTAGAAAATAAATTTATAAAACAATTAGTTTCATGGAGTGAATACTTTCAAATGATTAGAAATAATAAATTAACTTCATATCTAACAAATTTTGACACAAGACACTTCACAATAGTTTCATCTTGCAAATATTGTGATACTTGATCGTTCATATTTCACAACATAACAGTCGTGTTAACATCTCTATTTATAATGTTACATATTCGTCTTATACATCTCGTTATTAATCATATATATTTTGAGCAGTAATAATAAGTATTTGATCATAAATAGTATGGATACATTTGATCCAAAATATGCTAATAGATATCCCACATGTGAATACTCTAAATTGCTATTTCTTGAGTTCCTTTCATTCCAAGATAGATAATTGAATCTGCTTCATTCTAATAAAAAAATTAAGTATATTTTTTGGAGTTCTTTTTAAATTTACTGTACAGATACGTCATTAATATGTACATATATTGAGATTAACCAAATAAAAATAATAATAGAGCTCAAATAAGGTTGTTTTAAATGAAGATTTTTGTTGATAACAAAATAGTTACTCTAACTATAAAGAGTATTCTAAGAATCCACGTTATTTTTTCCCATTCAGATGGTCTATTTTTGTTTAATAAAAATTTAATTATAATTAGTTTATTTGGTTAGGCAAAGAATTACTCTCTAACTTCTGGGAGTGCATTTATTCACCAAGTTTTAAATATAATAAATTCGTTCTATATATACGGTTGTAATTAGGCTCTGTTAATAAATTGTTATTAGTGTAAACTATGAGTGCCAATAAAATATTAATTGCAAGAGAATCAATCTTACTTTCATAATCTTTCCAATAGTACAGATTTATTACTTCCTCACTCAAGTCTAAAAAAGAATAGTCTGATATGTATGATTAGTGGGATATTTTTTGGCTCATTTCATTAGTTGTCAGTAGTAATGAATTCCAAAATACATACCTTAAACTTACTATAAAGATAGTAATCGTTATTACTCCTCTCAGGGTACTTTTATATTTTATTTACTTACGGCCCATATATTATAAAACTGAAGCCTAAGTTTTTGTTTAAGGTATTAGTCAGATGAAATTTTGACTAATTGTTTATAATTCTAATGTTTAAGCTGTTTGTATATAAAAAATAATATGCTGGGTTGTACTTATTTTAAAAAATCATAAATATACAAATAGGACTCCAAAGAAATCTGCTTTTTTAGACGGTTCATAAATTAATCTCTAAATATCAATATTATTAAGTTTGATAGGTCAAAGTAAGATCTGTCAAAAAAATCATAGAAAACGCGCCTCATANATTTTAACTTCTTTTAGAAAATAAATTTATAAAACAATTAGTTTCATGGAGTGAATACTTTCAAATGATTAGAAATAATAAATTAACTTCATATCTAACAAATTTTGACACAAGACACTTCACAATAGTTTCATCTTGCAAATATTGTGATACTTGATCGTTCATATTTCACAACATAACAGTCGTGTTAACATCTCTATTTATAATGTTACATATTCGTCTTATACATCTCGTTATTAATCATATATATTTTGAGCAGTAATAATAAGTATTTGATCATAAATAGTATGGATACATTTGATCCAAAATATGCTAATAGATATCCCACATGTGAATACTCTAAATTGCTATTTCTTGAGTTCCTTTCATTCCAAGATAGATAATTGAATCTGCTTCATTCTAATAAAAAAATTAAGTATATTTTTTGGAGTTCTTTTTAAATTTACTGTACAGATACGTCATTAATATGTACATATATTGAGATTAACCAAATAAAAATAATAATAGAGCTCAAATAAGGTTGTTTTAAATGAAGATTTTTGTTGATAACAAAATAGTTACTCTAACTATAAAGAGTATTCTAAGAATCCACGTTATTTTTTCCCATTCAGATGGTCTATTTTTGTTTAATAAAAATTTAATTATAATTAGTTTATTTGGTTAGGCAAAGAATTACTCTCTAACTTCTGGGAGTGCATTTATTCACCAAGTTTTAAATATAATAAATTCGTTCTATATATACGGTTGTAATTAGGCTCTGTTAATAAATTGTTATTAGTGTAAACTATGAGTGCCAATAAAATATTAATTGCAAGAGAATCAATCTTACTTTCATAATCTTTCCAATAGTACAGATTTATTACTTCCTCACTCAAGTCTAAAAAAGAATAGTCTGATATGTATGATTAGTGGGATATTTTTTGGCTCATTTCATTAGTTGTCAGTAGTAATGAATTCCAAAATACATACCTTAAACTTACTATAAAGATAGTAATCGTTATTACTCCTCTCAGGGTACTTTTATATTTTATTTACTTACGGCCCATATATTATAAAACTGAAGCCTAAGTTTTTGTTTAAGGTATTAGTCAGATGAAATTTTGACTAATTGTTTATAATTCTAATGTTTAAGCTGTTTGTATATAAAAAATAATATGCTGGGTTGTACTTATTTTAAAAAATCATAAATATACAAATAGGACTCCAAAGAAATCTGCTTTTTTAGACGGTTCATAAATTAATCTCTAAATATCAATATTATTAAGTTTGATAGGTCAAAGTAAGATCTGTCAAAAAAATCATAGAAAACGCGCCTCATATTGTGTATTCATAAATTTGAGTACTTGTAAAGTAGGATGAATTTCTATTTTAGATTATTATTTATTTTCTTATTATAAATTCTTTTTTATAAAAGATGCCTTTCTCTCTTTTCTGTTCAAATAACAACTTTCAAATTTATCCTCGGGCAGCCAATGTACTTTTTCTTCTTTAAATTTGCAAATACAATTTCAAAATCTCCTAAAGAATTATAATTTCAAAAATAAGCAACCCTATTGTTTTCAATTAAAATTTTTTAGATCAAAAGGTAATGAGGAGCACATAAGTTTTTATTATATTAGATTATCGATTAAAACTAACTTCAAGGCAGTTTATTGCATTGGGAATTTAAAAAGATATATATATAAAAAAATTGGTTGGGAAAAATAATTTAAGTTAGTAAAAATAAAAATATAGCTAAGATAATTTTTCCTAAGATAGATCCAAAGAATTATCAGAAATTTTATGAGATAACTTCTGACTAGATGCTGAAAAAGTTAGTTATTAGAATTTGTTGTCTGAGATATCTAGGTTATTTCGTTATAAGATCATCAAAATTTAGAAACGAATTCCATAAATCCCATTAAATAGGTATAACTATAAACATGTTTTAGGAAAAGAGAAGTGAAATTATTTTAACTACAGAAATGATTTGTTAAAGTGAATTTTCATGATTTTAAGATTTGGCAGACGTTCAAGAAAATACAAATACTAAGTAATTTTAGTAAAAATACAAATACTAAGTAATTTTAGTAAAAATAAGTAACAACATATGTTATCCATATGTTTTACAATTATGCTAACATGTTAGTTTCTTTAAATTTTTTCCTTTATAATTACTACCAAAATTATTTTGAATCACTGCTATAAATATTAGTTTAATAATAAGAACTCTAAGAAAATGAATACTAAAATTCTTGATTTTTATCATATCCTTTTTTTCCTAGATTAACATAATTTAAATTAGAATCATAAAATTAAATAAAATATTTATTCTTATATCAATCCTATTTTTCTATCATTTTAAATAATTTCATACAGTTACCAGGTTATAACTGTAAGATGAATCTTAAATTCCAATTAGGATTAACCTCCTTATTTGGTTCTATATAATACTATTTTAAAATTTAAGACAGAATAATTTTTGCTTCCATCAATGCCATATGCTAACCAATACAATTCCTTTGACCAGAAGAGAAAGGAAGGTAAACAAAATCATTATTACAAAGAATTGGTGAAGGGCTTAGCCATCTCTTATAATCAAAATCATTTGGGTTTTTAAAATTTTTTTCTGAAAGTAATTAGAACTAGAAATTAATAATTACTCTCCAATCTAAATTTTAATAAATAGAGATACTTTTTTGTATTGTCAGGTCTTTTACTTAATGGGTTTAGGTACTATTTCTCATTAATAGGTTAACTGCTGGATTTTTTAATCTTAGGACTTCATTAATAAAGGCAGATAATTTGCTTAATTATTTCAATTTATCTTCAACAATATATTCCTCTGGGCATATACTTAGAATTTCATCTCTAACTTCTTGTTGAAACTCTGGATGTATTGATAAATAGTAAAGACAGTGATAGGATAAAACAGCTGTTGAGTCAGTACCTGCAAATAACAAAGTGATAAATTGCTAGATAACCTCATCGATGGCTTAATTTTCTTATTTTTTCTGATCATTTTTAATGTAATCATTGAGGAGAATATCCAAAAAAATGTTTGAACTCTTTTGGTCATTTTAGGTGCTACTTTATCGTAATTCTATTAGCCTCTTTCGAATTACTTTTTCAATCATAGTTTTAAGTTTAAAGATCCTTTGTTCAATCTTCATTTCTTCTTAAATTGGAAATATATTCCAGGCCCATGTACCCAATAGAAGTCTTTTGATAAACACATATTTAGATTTAAATCTTAACTCTCCCATATCATTTATCAACTCTGTTACTTCTACTTAAAGATCCTTGTTGTTTATTTTCAAACCATCCATCGAATCTCCAAAAAAACTCTATATGACAACTTTTCCTGTGATAAGTTCTAATTATTCAAATAAATTGTTCTAAGAACCAATCTTGGTGATACCATCAAGAATAATTTTATTTATCATAGGCAATCTACTTGTAAGTTATTGATATTGAAATTGATCAGCTAAAATCCTTCTTTGGGCCTTCCATTGATCTCTAGTCTCAAAAATTAATCCTTTTTACAATAAATGCCTTAAATCTAATACAATTGTACTTATCCGCGATGTTATTAGCCTTTTCATAATAATGAGGATTATGTAGCATCTGTTTGTAATACTCCGGATCAGCCACCTGTATTTGTATTTTCCAAAATGAGTTAGAAACTTTGAATTTATATGGTTGCTTTTTATATTCTTCCTTATCACTCCAGAAGATATCGTTAAAAATCTTCATATCTCTCAATCTTTTCCATATGTCTCTGCCGAAGAAGTTATATTACATATTGCAATCTTGTCCAAATTACATCTTGAGTTTAATCATTGGGCATAAGGGTTTGATAACAAAAACATAGAGGAAGAGCAATATTAAGGAAGCAAAAATTGGGATAATCATTTTTCAAATTTTATTGAAGATATTCACAAAAATTATCACACGATTTATACAATTATACAGAATACTAAAATTTGTTAAGAAGTATCCTTGTTATTAAATAAATTTATTTGAATTTAATACAAAAAATTTATTTAATAATGTACAAATCTAATAATTAATAAAGGTCCATCGAGATGGATATGATCTCAAATATATTTATTCTTTCAAATAAGAAATTAGTGGATATTTGCTTGTTACTTTTAAGAATAATTGTATTTTATTTATTATTACATTGATAAAAAAAATTCTGTGAATATTTTGTATTAAAAGGAATGGTTACAAGTTCGATATTTTTATAATTAAATACCTTAAATATAACTCATCAATATTCCCATAAAAATTATAGAGTCATAAAATCATACCACTTCATAATAAGATGGAATACGACTTAATTTATTTTGCTAATAGTTTTCAAATCAAGGAGATGCTACATTTTATGTTAATTATTTTAGTTGAGAACTGTTTTACTTTTTACACATCTTTTGATATTTTTTTTCTCGAATAGTAAGAATGATTCACTATTACAAACTATATAGGTGATAATATAAAATTTCAAACAATTATGAAAAAAATACCCAGAGAATCATGAGTTAATCTCCTTACCATCTATCGATACATGCATAAATCGATCTGTAATATTTATTCGCGATGTTGTGTTACAATATCAATGAAAAAGATATTAAGCATATTGAATTCTTTTAATATAGTCTGGAGTACCATAATTACAATGGGTTATGATGATCAGAACTTAAGCTTAAAACATGAACTTAGAATAAAAATTTATTATGATTTTGAGAATTATATTCTACATATACAATTTAATTAATACAACAAAAAAATGAAAGAAGATGATTTAAATATAATAGTTATGAATATAGCCTTTTGATAATAGATATTGCTTAAATAAAAATTTATCTATGTTTTTCGAAAGCAATTATAATCTCAAAAAGGGAAATATGATATTGATAAATATGATTAAATAACTATTATATGGATAAATATACTAATCATAACCTAGATTATTTTACTATAATACTAGAATTAAAAACATCTTTCCTGTATTTTTTGTGATTTCACAAAAAAATTGTATAAACGTGTTATTTAAAACTCGGTTTATATTATATAAGAGGTTATAATGAATTTAGAATTAACATATCAACTTCTACTTATAGCTTAAGAAATTTTCGTATTTCAAAGTCTATATTTTCTTCCATAATAAGGGATCTATCTTTTAGTTCAAAGTACTACATTGAATTTTTTGAGTAAAGGAATGATTTAAATGATTTTATAGCTAGAGTGTCTGCTCAATTTAGTAGATGATGTAATGTGGATCTTGATCATTATTGGTATAAACTTCTTGAAGATTTTCTTTTTTTTGGAAGGAATTATTCACGATAAAGGCGTTTCTATCCTAAAAGTAATTTATTTAACCATTATGGTTCTTACATTAACAAAACTTTTAAGCCTCAAACATCAGGGTGACTTGAAGGTTTCTTAGAATAATGCATTTCTTAAGAAAATATATACTAGTGTATGCTATATTACTTATTGCTCAGCCTAACTAAATAACCCTAAAGGCTTAATCTACCGATTTCTCCACTTACATTACCCATATATGCATGTCTAAGGGTGGAAATTAGTTAAGTGATAAGGATAAAATCAAAGCCTCAGACAGAAAGACCACTTTTGATTCTAATTTTCAAAAACTATTTTTGAGTTAACTTCAAATTTCAAGAAATTCTTTTACAAGGACATATTGTTTCAATAAAATCATTTTTCAGATTGATTCAATTTTAAATTCAGTATTTTTATTTAAATACTTAATTACTAAGAACATATATAATTTAATTAATATAAAAGATAAAGTGAATATACTTTTAAAATTTATATCAAAAACTTACAAGCTCGTACCCATATTTTAGGCTAGAATAAAACTATTTATACTTCCAAATCTTACCTCAAAATAATGGATAATTATGACTGGTTTTTTATAACGTTTGCTGTTTATAATTGAAAAATTAAATTGTAATAAACAAAATAATTTTTATGATATTGTTTAGTAATAAATTTGGAGGTTTCAAAGTTAGCATTCTAAAATAACTGATAAAAGATTGCTTTTGTTAAAATCTTCACAACAAATAAAGAAATGGTAAACTTAAAACGAGGAATTTGAGTTCTAAAATTGAGATTGGATTAAATTTTAATAATTATGTATCATCTTTGAGAGGAGGAGGATGCATCTCAACTAACTTAGTCGCACCTGAAACGAAAATAAGGTTAAGCAATTAAGAGTCAAACTTTGCTACTAATCTCAAATTTTATACAAATGTGATTGTAGAAAAAGCCTCTTAATTTCATGATAAATATCATAAGGACGACGTACTTTGTGCATTATTATGGTTTCAAAATAACAAAGAGCATATTTAAAAATTGTGCATGAATAAAGAGTAAAACTTGCAAAATTATGACCTTATAGAACATTAGTTTGAGAATTTAATAAAGTAACTAGTTATCTACTTAAAATTATCAGGGTATGTCTTTCATGTATTGCTTTAAATATGTAATGATTTGTTGAGAGTGATATTTTATTTTCAGTAAGTATATGAAAATCGATATATGAAAGAAAACTTAAAGTAAAATTTGAAAGAATGTATATTAGAATTAGAAGAGCAAATTGGGATTGAATCAGCAAAACTTTGGAGTACCGGCACTGAATTTGAACTTTTAATGATAAAAACTTGTCTTGCACATTTAAGGACTAACTCAAAGGAAAGTGCTAACCTAATGAAAGCAGTATTAATGGGAATAGCATCCTCAATAGCTTAGTTAAAACCAAGTGATGAACTTATTGATGCTCTAATGGAAGCAGGAAAATATCTTTTGCTTAATTTTTATGATAAATAAATCAAGCATCCCTTGAAGGTTTATGAACTTTATTTCTTCTTTGAAAATTTGAAATGGTCCATAATTTTTTAATTAAAATCAGGATATTCAGTTCAGCAAACGATAAATCAGTTGACAGATGGATACAATAAATACATTGGTGCATCAACAAATTGGTTAATACATTTTTTTTGGATAAACTTAATTTCAAGTTTAATGTCATACAGACCTATCATCTCTAAATCTGAAATGGAGCAAAGGTTGCTTTAAAAATATAATACGAATTGGAATTAATTAGTAGTGTAAAATTAAATTGTAACAGTACCTTATGATAAAACTAAAGGGAGAATAAAATATAATGGAAGAGGCAATTTTATAATTAAAGAATTTTCAAATTTGAAATTATTTTAAGATTACTTGTTTGGTGAACAAGTCGGTTCGATGAAATTATTACCTCAGTATTTGAACTTTGATTTTGGTTCATAATAATAAGGCAAAATCAATTTATAAGATTTAAACATCACATTATTTACAAATTGTGATGATTTAGAAGTTTTAACCTCTTTAAATAATGTTTTAAAGAATTGCCTCAATTTAATTTAGGAAAATTTTAACTAAATTGATGGTTAAGCTTCAAATGATTCATTAACTTAAACAGAAAAGTAAACTGAGTAAAAGATTTGCAAACAAGATATTTAATATTTAATTAACCAACAAAAAGAATAATTCTTGTAAATTTTATACATTTTTTATGAAATAGATATTATTAGGCTGAAGGAAATCGAAATTATGAATAATATTGAATTAGCTTAAAAGTTAAATGAGTAGAGTCTGTAATAAATCAAAGATTATAAACTTATGTAATAATTGCTTGGTCAAATAAGAATGCTATCAGAGTCGGAAATTGGTAGCAAATTTCAACAAATACCAAGGTTTTGGTATCAGTTTTCAAAAATTTTAATCTCATATGAAGACTTCATTCAGAATGATGTTATTTTAAAGGAAATTTCATCATTAATTCCTGTAAAACAATCATTAAAATAACATCAGTAAGAATTAGAGAGTTTTATAAAAAGTTTTAGTGATAATCTAATTAGCTTTATTACATAGATGAAATAGTTAAAATAAATTATCACAAAGATAAATTGCTAAATATAGCTGAAAATTACTTAAGATATGATTTCTCAAAAAGATATATCTAATAAGCTTGTATAAATCTATGGCTCCAATTTAATAAAGAACTTATGTAGTTATATGATGTAAGTTTATTCTGAGGATTGGGTAGAAAAAAATTGGGAGTTTAGCATTCTTAATGATTTTAGAAAAAGCATAAGGAGGTGTGGAGAAATGACGTTTGTATTTAAATTTTTGAAGAAACTTCTAAAAATTCAATAATAAAAATTAAATGCATTGCTTAATGAAGACAATATTGCAGAGCTTTATTTTATTAGTAAAGTTTAATCAACTGATATTTTTGAAAGTGATAGTATGGCCTTTGATTAAATTTAATCTTTGGCGCTTGAGAGGAAGGCCATGATTTAAGGATACTTTGAAAAATACCCGAATCTGATTATGAATAAGCAAGAGATTAGTGAATTAAACTCGCTTGAGAATCAAATTAGAGAAGATATAATGTCACTATAATAGAAAAAATGGAACCAATAATATAAGATATTAAGCATTCTCATTTTTTAAGATGCTTTGAACAAACTGTCACAATTAGGATTAAATAAAGTTAACAAATTGGCAATAAAAGAAGAAATAAATACAAATTTTACCAAATCTTTGTAAGAGTTAAACAAAAAGATAATGGGAGATAATGAGAAAGCAGAGTAAATAAAGCAAATTTAAATGCAAAATAAAATAGAGTAGGATTCTCAAATTTTCTTTATCTTTGAAAATTACATCACTCAAACCACTACTATAATCATAAATACTAAGAGACTTAAAAGAATTATCCGATAAAATTTTAATCTCTTTTCCTGGAGTACTGAAATTTGGGGGTCTGACAAAAAAGATGAATTTAAATAAAACGTAAAAGCCTTGATTACTGATTTATTACAATCTATATCTGACTGCTTTAATTCCTTCTAAGAAGAAGAGTAAATTGTGTTTAATTAAGAGGTATTTTCAGAATTATAAGATAATAAATGCATAGATAAATAGAAGGCAAATCTTGTTCTCTTGAATAGTCATTCAATATTCAAAAATTCAGCTTCGAATGAGGATATAGAGGAAAAGTGCTGTAAGATTTACAAAGAGCTGATTGAAAATTTAAAAAATTCTTCTGCAATTGATGCACAAAAACCCAATATCCTTTCTTAAATATTTTCAAATTCATCTCATAAAGTTAGAGAGGCATTGGCATTTAGTATCATTAAGATGGATACATTAATTCAGGAACCAAAGATGAAAGACTTTTGCTAAAACTTGTTAAAAATGTTATGGATATATGAAAAACATAGTGATGTCAGAAATATACTTAAAAATACAGAAATGATCGAAATTCAAAAGTAGTTGTTTTCTAATGACCTCACAACAATGTCAAATCAAATTAAAGCGGAAATGAAAAGTATGCTCAATAGGATTGAACAATTAGAAAATTCTGTTTTAACTGATAATACAATTCAAGCGAAGGAATAATTACAGTAAGCACTTGATGATTTTGAAACCTATTTTGATAATATCACAGATATGTCTTAAAGATTAGACATAAGTATGATTTTCTTGAAAGAATTAAGCAAAGATGTAAAACATATAAAAACCTCTATTGATTAAGTCTTAAAAAGTGTTAGTTTGATCGCCAATGATATTAGGAAACTGAGAGGTAAGAATTACCTTGAGTTAATTTAAATAAGGAAAGAGTATATTCTTAAGTAGAAGGATGAGAATGAAATAGATTAAATTCACATTGAATTACTAACATAAGAATACGATCCAATTTCAGGAAACAAAAAACAATCTGATAGCAAAGAAGAAACGACTTTTCTTTTAAAGAAAAATTACAATGATTTTGAAGGGGAGATAAATGAGTTTTTATGGGATGAAAAAGAAAGAATTAAAGACGTTATGCTCCTTAAAGGAAGAGCAGGTTCAGGTAAAAGTAGGGCTGCAAAAAATATAGAAGAACTTCTCTGGACATGTGACTAAGTAGATCCCAAGTGGGTTCCAATTTACGTTTCCCTTCCAGCTCTCAAAGAGCCAAAATACAATTTAGTTGATTAAGCCTTAGAATCAGAAAATTACAACTTTGATAATATTCAAATTAGAGAATTTAAAGAGGCTGTTAGATAAAAAAACTTAAGTGTTGTATTAATTCTTGAGAGCTATGATGAAATGAAGTAAGATTGTTTGGAGTAAAACCTGTACTTGACAAATAGATTTGCGTAGGAGTTTAATTTAGGTGAATCTGGAGAAAATGTTAAAATTATTATCACATCAAGACAAGAAATATTGACTTCTATCGACTATCAAACTTGGTTTTACGGAAAAAGCATTTAAACATTAAAAGAAGTTGAACTTTTACCTTTTACATCCGAATAGAGTAATGAATATTTAATACAATACTCAAAAGTTAGTGTAAAGCGAACAGTAAAAAGGTTTTATGAGTTTTTAAAGCAATTAAAAGCTTAAAGTTTTAATTTTAAAGAATTCAAATAAATTTGGAGCAACATAAAGGAGACAGTGAAAAAGATTTTGAAAAAAAACAAAGATGAATTACTAATGTTTTCATAAGAGGATGCAGAAAAGTTAATACAAAAGCTTTAAAGCATTTAATTTTTTTAGCTTTTTAAGCCAGAACAGATGATATCTTTGAATAAAGATCTTCTTGAATTGTGGGGCTTTGAGAAATTTTCTTAAACAATTCAAAAAGTTAAAATAAAGCATCTTTTAAATACTCCATTTATGCTTGAGATCATTGTATACGTATTACCAAAAATGTCATCTTTCTTCTCATAGCCTTCCTTTATGAGGTTAGTTTTGAAACAAAATTATCATAAGTTGAAAAAAGAATCCATAAGGTCAAACCATTTGCTTAAAAAGTATTCTCAAACCATTGAAATTAATGAAAATACAAGCAATGATGAATAAATAAAGTAGCAGAATAGTCTATAAATAAATGTATCTGAAGATGAAACATAATTGTTTAAATTAAGTGATCAAATTCTGGCTGAATTAGACACTTAAAACTTTTTTGAATAAAATTCTATTACTTAGTAATTCATCTATACAGAAAATCAAATCATTAATGAGAAAAAAATTAGTTATACATTGAAGTGTGATGCGAAATTTGTAGTTGCAGCATTCCAATTGCATTAATTTACTGCATTTGATTTTTATAAGCAATTTGTAGATTTTTATCACGCCTAACAAATGTAGAAGTGGAAGGAATTAGGAAAAAATATTAACTAATAGAGTTTTTTAATTGATCTCCAATTCTTTTGCGCTTCTTTGGCTGTTGAGATGACTTTGAGAGAATTAACCTAAGTGAATTACAAATAGAAGGGTAAATTAAAATTACTGTCTGAAAAAGAAGATTTGCAAGATGTTTCTTGGGAAGATCATTATTTTAGTGAAAATGAAGCCGATTCAAAATATAAAACCCAATTAAGAAAGTGTATGTTGATTAATGCTAAAGGAAGTTTATTCTCATTTAATCATAAATCTATTTAAGAGTTTTTTGTTGCAGATTACATACTTAATTTATTCGATAAATTATTTGTTGATGATAATGAAGTGGATGAAAAATTATTGAGAAAAAGCTCTTTTAACAATAGAAATAAATTTAATTTATCATTAGAATAATTCTCTGGATGTTTAGAACTCTTAAAGCCTAAATTGAAACAAATCAGTAACATAGAAGAAAAAATATTATAACTAATTAAGTTATAAACGAATTAGCCAGATAATAAAAAGGATTTACTTAGATCAACATCAAATGCAATATTCCTTTTGAGCTATTTAGGAGTTTATTTAGAGGGAGTAGATTTGAGTGGGATATAACTTTCAAATACAAAGTTAGTGGGTTTATCTTTTTTTAAAAGCAATTTGAATAACACAGTATTTGATAACGTTTCCATAGATTCCTGCAATTTTGTATAAGCAAAAATAGAAAATGCCAATTGGAAGAATCTGATATGCAAAGAAATTCCATCTTTTGTAGGGAAAAATTAGAGGATAGCTTCAATTCTCTTTAAAGGAGATGAGGCTCAATTAATCTCGGGCAGTGAAGATGGAACTATTAAACTTTTGGATATTGATCAAATCTAAAAACCTATAGAAAGATAATTTTAAGACTAGAAAATAATAAGTTTATCTTTATGTAAAACTGAGAATACATTAGCATGTTTAACTAATAAAGAACTCCGTATTCTTAATGCAAAAGATTTATCAGACTGTAATTATTAGAATTTGATCAATGAGGACTACAATGAGGTTTCTCTATCTTAAAACAACTAATATGTGGCACTTAAAAATGAGAAGTCCAATTTAATTATTTTAGAAACAGAAAATTTAATTAATACAAATAAACCTTAAGAGTTCTCTTTTTAAAGCCAAAATTCTATTAATTATATTGCCAAATCTTGTAACTCATAATTTTTAGCTACAGGAGGTCAAGAAGTGATTTTATGGGAATTTAATTCTGTGTCAAATATTAAAATGAAAGCCACTCTGAAAACAAACCTAAAAGATGTAACTTGTATTGCATTTTCAAATGATTGTAATTTTATAGTGATTGGTAATTAAAATGGTATTATAGAAATTTGGAAAATGACTGATATTTCAAATATTTGTATGCTCCAGTCAATATAGCTCGATGAAGAAATATATAAAATAGAATTTTCAAAAAATAACAAATTTTTGTTTGTAAAAACATTGACTGAATTGTTCCAATATAATAGTTTTGGCTTATATAATTAAGAGGGAACTGCTATATTCATAGAGAAATACGACACAAAATCATTAATTTAAAAATAATACTTACTAAAATGTGATTTAGAAGCTTGTGTTAAAAAAATTACCATAAGTTCTTTACGTCAAATAGCTTGCGTTGAAGAGAAAAACAATAAATGTAAGTTAAGCATTTGGAAGATTACTGATGAAAAATCAATTTCTCATGTTACAACCTTGATTGAGGATTAAGATGAGATTAATTAATTGAAGTTTTCTCCAAAAGGAGATATTTTGTTAAGCTGTTCATTTAATGTTATTTTTGTTTGGGGCATGGTAGAATTCGAACTAATACGAAAAATAGAAACACAACATGATGTTATTATAGATTTTGCTTTTTCAGAACATATTACTTGTTTTGCTTCATGTAGCTAAACCAGGGTAGAATTATATAAGAATTACTCTCAACCAAACAATTAAGAGATTAATTTCCTAAAAATTAATAAAAATTTTATTTGCTAAGGACTTTAATTTGTTGAAAATTAACTGGCAATAAATGGGGAGATTACCAATTAATCAGTTTTATAACTTTGGAATGTAGAAAATTAAAAATAAGAACTTGATTAAAAATTTAAAGAAAAGATAGAATATTTTAAATTTTATTCTAAAGGAGGAGTTATGATTACTTTTGGAAAGTGTGGGACCATTTGGGATAGAAATGCTTTAAATTTTTCTGAAAAATTAATTGCAGATTCTTTGGAGAATTTTATGTGGAAATAAATTGGCTTTTCAGAGGAATAATTGTATTTATTTGATGGTGAAAACATTTATAGAATAATCGACTATTTTGATGGAGATGAGGCTTATGATGAAAATAAGTCTTAAAAGATCTTCTCAGCTAAATCTCTATTATATACTACATTTTCAGATGATAATACATTATTTGCTTTTGGTTTAAATAATGGATTTTAATTAATTTATCTAGATTAAATAGTCGAGTTAAATCAAAATATTAATTATTATGTTAATGATTTCTCGATTTCAGATGATTCATCTTTATTAGTACTCGCTACCAACAAGGGTTTGAGAATTAAAAATTTAAACACTAATGAAGAAATTTTTTATACATTAAATAATAAATATCGTTCCGTTTGTTTTATTGATTAAGGTTAACAAATAGTAGCAATTACAAATAGCAAATTGTGTATTATTAATTTGAAGGACTTGAATAATCCAAAAACTCTCAAAAATTTGGTCCTAAAAGGAAGTAAACCATAAAGAATTTAAGATTTGAGAAACTCTGAATAAATAATGATATAATATGAAAAGTGCATAGCTGTTCATTAAATAAAATAATTTGGAAGTGCTTAATTAATCTGGTTGCGGAATAAAGTTTCTTAATCAAAAAACTGTATTCTTTTAGATGATTAAAAATATATTGGGATAGCTATCGATGATGCTATTAAAGTTATTCCAATTTCTAATTTTATTAAAATTACCCTTAACTTTAATTATAGACCCTAATTAAATACTTTGCTTTATTCTGAATTTTCATTAGATAGCCAAACATTTTTGATTTTTGGAAAGAATAGCACATAATAATTTTATTTCGCAAAATTAACTATCTAAAAATAGGAATTAGAGATAAAATCAAGCGATGGAGAATACATTGGTCTCCGTTACATTGCATTTAATAAGTAATAGGATAAATTAATTTTTATAACTGATGATTATAGTAAAGGAGGGCGATACGAAAAATTAGAATTAATTGACTTTGAAACCTTCAAGCCAATTTAAGTTATAGAAAATAGGTAAATATAATGGAAAGATATAATTTGTGAAAATGCAGCATTTTCAGAAAATAATTCTTACTTTATCACTTAGTACATAGATTCAACTTTAAAACTATGGGATGCAAAAACGTGCAAACTCTTATCAAAATTTAATAGCTTTACTAATCAAATTGATTTAATTTCTATTTCAAGTAAAGAGATCATGGCGTAAACAAGTGGTGACCTTATCAAACTTTGGAATTTAAAAGCCCTAAGATCCTAATAGCTAGAATTGGATGGACACTCTGATTCAATTAACGATATTGCAATATCTCCAGATGGTTTATAACTTATCTCTGGTTCTCCATCTAGAATAATTAGATGGGAATTAACCAAATTTTAAAAATTAGACGTACTAATCAAAGGAAAAAATCTAAATTCCATCTTTTGCTTTTCCAAAGATGCAAACTATATAGCTGCGGCTGATTATATGCCTTACTAGATTCATGTTTGGAAGTTGAAAACTTTGTATTTAATTGAAAAATTCTTAAGAATTAGCTGCTGTTCCTATTCATATAATCTAAAATTTAACGATTTTGGCAACTAATTAATAGCATAATATGAAATTAGAGCAACCAAATTCCAATTAGTTTGGGATTTAAAGTAGAACCCATTATATGAATCATAAAGAATAATAAATGAAGAAGATATTCCCCCTATAGATTATTATTTTTCTTCAGATAAGTAATTATTGATTAAGACCAACCCCCTTGAAATTATTGATTTATAAAAAAGGTATGACTAGAATTAGTATCCTTTTGATCATTTATAATCAAACTCTGTTGAAAAATTTGTTGCCTTATCCCATGATAAACTTAAACTAGCCATTCAAAATGAAAATGAAATAATTTTATGGTCATTTAAAGCATAAAAAGTGGACCATGTTTTTGTTAATTCAATTGGATGTGCATAGATTTTGGTATTTTCCAATAATGATACGATATTATTTACAAATTATGAAGCCACAATTAAATGTTTTGATGTTACTAATTCATATCAAGTCATAAAAGAATTTCAAATTTTAAACCCTGTAGAAGTCAATAAGCTACAGTATCAATAATTAGAGTGCTATCCTGTGAAAAATGATGACTTTCTTTTTGTTTATTCGTTCATCTAGCCAGTGAAGAGAGCACTAATAGCATTAGCATTTACTTCAGATCCTGAATAAAGTTACAAATTATATGAAAATGATTACGGAATTTCAAAATTTTTATCTGCATACTGTGAAGAAAAGCAGCATTTCGCTCTTTAGCTATGTAGTGTTTTCCAATTACATGACTTAAGAAGTAAAACTAAAATTGCTAATTTGAATGATAATTGGTTCACTATATTTAATCCCAACTTCTTATCTTTTTCCAAGAGTGGGAGTTACTTATTATCCTTAGGAAAAGATAAAGAGATTAATTTATGGGATTTGTCATGTTTGGAAAAAATAAAATTAAAACTTAATAATCTAAACAAAACAAATGACTAAGAGATAATTAGTATTTCATTTTTGGATGATTAAGATACAATATAATTGGTTAGAAAGGATGAAAAAGTATAATTGGATTCTATTTCAAATTATAAAGATTTTTGTTAAGTTCTTTAAGAAGAGGTAAGTTAAGATAAGCATATAAAAAAGACTTAACATCATATTATAACTTAGGAAGATAAAGAAATTTTATAAATTAAGAGTGTAGAAAAAGGGGAGTTAATTTATAGTTTTAATAAATTTAGGAATTAAATAAATTGCTCAATTTTTACTCCCTGTGGTTAAAACCTTATTTTAGGAATGAATGATGGCTCAATCTTATTTTTTAGATTAGATAATCATCTCTAGCCTAAATGCTTCAAAAGCATAGCAATAAGCTCTCCAATTTTATCTGATTATTGTAGTATCAAGCAATCTATATTTGTGAATTAAGAGAATATTAATTTAAAAAATTTGTTTCTTGAAAAAGGAGCCTATGACTAGTGAATCAATATATATAAATTAAAATATATATATATTTGTATTAACAAAATATAGTGTCTTTTCAATTGCTTTTGATGACATGTATTGTCATTATCCTGAATTTTCTAAAAATTCAATTTACTCCAACATAATCAATTTTAATAATCATTATTTTAGTATATCAATTTGAGAGACTTTAGTACCTCCATAATCAGTTTATATAGTCCTTCTATTTTTTGATTTCTTAAATTTTGCTAATTTAATCACTAATAGTGTGTAGACTTAATTAGTAAAACAACTTTCAAACAATTTATTAAAATATAATCATCATATCAATAACATATCCTATCTAACATTTCTTGATGAGTAGTATTTTTAACATTATGGTAAATATATTTTTTAACAATTTTCAACAATTAGTCTATGAGGCTAATGATATCAATTATATTAATAAATAGTTTTAACTACGCCTTCTTTGTATACTTCTAATTGGTTCTTTGATTTTGGAGATTTCTAAGTTTTAGCAAACATACTAGCTACATACATCTTCATTTCAATAATTTTGATATTTCCAATATTGCCCAACAATAACTAAATCACAATAATATTGTTATTTTTGCAATCAAATTTTTGTAAATCTGTGAAAAGGGAAGAGTCATTTCTAGATTTCAAGATGTTTTTATGTTAAGTATGGAGTCAACAAAAATGAAATTTTTTATCATTTCATATATGGACTCTTCAACTAAGATTTGTTTTAACTTTATTTCATTAAGATTTCACAAAGCAATTCGCAGTAATGAATTTTATATGCTTTGCCACATTTGAGTCGTTTTTAGCAATCTGAAAGTTTGATTCTGACATCCCTAGCCCAGCTTAACCAAATATGCATTTTCCTTCATTAGGCTATAATCAAAAGTATTAGGACCTGGGGACATTAGTAATTTTCCATTTCGGGTTTATTATAAAAAATAAAATAATTTCATTCTCGTTTATATATTAATCAAATTAATATATTACTCTCTACTCCCACATCTACCAAATAGCTTTAAAAATAGATATTAGTGTTTATTACCTTGTTTGAATTAGTCCTGTTTTCAAGTTCTTTATCTATTATAATTTCGTGTATATAATATTTCGAACAATTATAAAATATATTAATTTATGAATATATAATTTTCCACATTTTGAATGTCTTTCTTAAAATAACACTATTATATCTCTTCCCCTCATAGTTCAAATCTCTGATTAAGTGTCTATAATATACGTTCTTAATAATTTGGTTTGAATGATTTAAGAATGCCTTTTTCAAAAAATTTTGTAGTTTTTTGATTCGTTTCTCAATAACTGAAACAAAACTCATTTGATTCACTTCTGATTAGTTATGTGGCAAGTATTGCAATAGTATTTCCAGAATCCCCTATTTATTTAGTTGTTTTTAGGTAAAACTTTTGTTAAATTAGGCTTATTGTGGAATTTAGTAAATATTGATGCCAATTCATTATAAAAATATTAATATAAAAAGGAACGCAATGACATTTTTCTTAGGAATTAATAACTAAATTAAGGTTTTGCTAAGAATTTCGGTAATTCTAAAATTTTGATTGAAATATTTTGAAAATCTAAACAATACCATCTTTCCGAAATTTATCTTACAATATAGTTTGCTTTATAAGAATTTCAGAATCATTGCACCCCCAACAACCCAGTTGATAATTTTGCTCTGCAATTAATTTTGCTTGTTTCTAATACGACACATATGCTAGCATTAGCGAATTCAATAATTGAATAATGAAATAATGAATTTTAGTTTTACTAAATTTTGTCTAGATTTTACAATTAGTAGTTAAAATAGCTTGCAATGTAGGAGTAATTTTTCCACAATTACATAATTCTAATATTATACATTAAATTTAATTTAGTAGTTTATAAAAAATAATTTATGGTGCAATTTGTTTATATAATGTAGCATTAATAATATTATTAAATAAAAACAAGAAAGTCATTTCCAGTTAGCTTTTATATTGATTTTGTTAAGTATCAGTTATAATTACAATAAGGAATCATCTTTTTGCAATGCATCAATTTAATTTTGATTTTGAATATTTTTTATAAAAATGAGTGATAATCTAGATTGGATTATTGTAAGGTTTACAACTAATAGTTAAAGAAACATAAAATAGACAGGTTTTTCAGCATTGAAAGAAAAATAACATCACAAAAATAATTAATTAAAAATAAATATATATAAAAAAAGATACAGCACCTTTTCTTTATTATAAAAAGCATAATATTTGAGAAAAAGATTTAAAATTTAATGTAAACAAAAAATTCATTCGACATTGCTCCTGCAGAAACAATGCTGTTAAAAGACTCGTAATAAAAGAAATAGGTTCGATTCAGATAGGCTTTGGTCGCTGGTTTGATTCTTGCTGCTGTTTTAAGTCTTACAATAGTCTTCGCACCTAAAGGTGAGAGTGTTCCAACTTACACTTTAAATTAAAGAAATTCATATTATACTTAAGATTAATTATGTGTATATTAAGTTTCAACAGGCTCAACTAATTGCACTCAAATTGCTGCAAACACAACTACTGTAACTGTGGATTCTAACCAATAAAACACCACTCATATGATAATCTTGGACGGATTATAAGTGACTTAGAATACTACCTATTCTAATGGAACAGTGGTTCGCGACAACTTGTTCAATGCCAACTCAAACATTTCCTCAGAAATATCGAGAAATTTACGTCTACTTCAACTTTAAGCTGATGGATGTTATGGACCATGTTATGAAGAAATGCCTGTCGTCACCTTTGTAACTGATAATTAAAATGGTTAAGTTATTGATATTGGTGTACCATAATCATTAAATGGTTTAATGTTGTAAACTTTAATCGCAACCGTATAACATTTGGGGCCAAATGTGTAAGAAACCCAAGTTGATTAAGACACAATAACTAACCCATACATTGTTGGAAAATACGAATTCGTTGCATCAAGAAACATCGAAACAAGTTGGTTCGGAAATACCAAGGTCACCAAATACGTCACTCAAGACGATTGTTTGAATGAAAACTTTTTAATTGGAGATCAGTTCTCTTAGAATTAGACCACATCATTAAGCAGATAGAATCAAATTGTTGCATCCTCCATTTCAGTAAACATTGTTATGGATCACTCTGTACAACCTGAAGGTGCTGATGTTGAATACTCCTATAAAACCATAGTGTCAGATGAATCCAATTTGGTTTTAAGTAACTCCCAAATTGATGTCCAATATTCATAACTTCTTTCAGAAATTAGGTCCAAGCAAAACATTCAAACTTACTCCTTGACAACAATTTAGGATAGACTCATTAAGAACAAATAAAAGAGATCATTGAATATGTATGAGATGAAACAAAAGGCTGAGAAACACAGATTACTTATCTCAGAATCACTTCCAAACAATTCTTTACATTGTCCATCAAATGGTTTAATCAATTTCTAAAAGACTGTTCTTACCTTCTCAGTCAAGGGAACTAAACTATAATTAGATTTAGCACTTAAAGGAACTGCAGGAAATGGAATTGCTGATTTGAATGTCAAATTCTGTGTTGCTATGGAAGGAATGTGTTTGTTTGAAATCATTAATTCAAACCTAAATTATACTGGATAACCATTTAGAGACATCGAACTTAATGGTATGTAAAACATCTCATTGTTCGAAACCGAGTTGGTTGTCTAAGGCTTTACAGTTGGAGTTGGAGCTGATTTCAGTTATGGATTCATTCTTTAATAAGATGTCCAATAAAACACAACCATCTTTGCAGTCAAAGATACCTTCCTTGTTCCAGTCTTATTGACAGTCTATGGAGAATCCTCAATCCCAGATTTGGTTGCTGTTAGAACAGCTGTTGTTGCTGATATCTTCACAGGAAATGTAACAAGCAATGTTGCCTTTGGATATGATCAAAAGATCTAATCAATTAATTCCAATTCATACACTTTGAACTTAAACTTAGATATGGAAGAATTCAGAGCTATCGTTATTGCCTAATACCAACATAGTGAATTGTCAACTAAGGAAAAATGCAAGAGACATCTTGGATTCTTTAAGGTTTGCTATCCAATTCCTATCGCCGGATTATTAGGAGATTGGTAAAACCTTTATTACAACAATTGGGGATTCCCAGTTTTAGTTTAGAACTTTACATTGTATGGTGTCTAATCAGATTGTTTCCTAAAAAATGAATGAGAAATAAAATAACAAATAAAACACAATTTATTTTAATTCTTCATATTCTGCCTTGCCTTTCCTTTTCATTGTTTTTTGCATCATCTCCTTTAAAAATAATCATAAATTGTTCAAGTCTATTCACCTTATGATTGTTTCCTTATTTATTTGTGATTAATATAACTAATCAAGAAATAAATTATCCAACTCTTATTACGAGTTCACATTTTTTATTCTCAATTTTCACAAAACTAATAAACAAACTTTAAATTAAGATTTGACTTTTATTTTGCTCTTAACTCTTTCAAATTCACTAATAATCATATTAAGATTAAGAAAATCCTATATCCACAATACTAACAAATTCTACAATAATTAATAATTCTTTTGAGTGTTTCTTTTAAAAAGTTCATTTTTATCATAATATTTCCTTTATAATTTTAGAATTCTGGCTAAGACTAAGGAGGACAATCTGGTTCTGTAGTAATTCTTAAATTAATGAAGTTTTCCTTCCTCAATTAAAGAATAATTAATAAAAACTATTAAATGATTTATGGAGTATTCTATATTTAGAGAATTATTTAAGCAATCTATAGTTTTTATGGATATTTAGATTCTGTTTTTTGGAGATAATTATTTTACTATGAAAAATACTTTCGCCTTAGCATTACTACTCTTAATCACATTTGAAGTTTCTTGCTTTTAAGTTTCCACTACTGAAGAAAAGCCATCTTTTAAATTAGCTTTTCCGATGACAACATCTGCAAACACCACTTTCGAGATTGATTTTTCCAATTCTTCTTTCGAGTATTATGCTGTCGAATTGATGCAAACATCCCCAGGGATTGCAGATATCGTTTTTTTGTATATGGAGTCATAGCCTCCTTATGTAAAAGATGGAGAGTTGAACTATGATGATATGGACTACGATAGGTATATTCAAAGAAATAATCATTAGTTACGCTTAGAAAAAGAGGGAACACTTTTTATTGGTCCCCATTTCACTCTCTAAAGCTTACTTTACTATACTGACTAATATTTCAATCTCGTATGACATAATAGTCTCTGGATCTCATGAAAAACTATGCCCAAAAAGATGTAATTAGAATGGATAATGTATAAATGGTGAATGCAAGTGCATCAAGCCTTTTATTGGAAGGGATTGTTCAATAAGAGCTATGGAAATTGAAAAAGACTCTATGCTTGGAATTGGTGGACCCGAAGAATCATTTTACTTCTTTTATGAATAGGATGGATCTCAAAAACTCAGATTAGAAATATCAGTATTTATTTATACTATTCAATAAGACTGACTAGATGGCTTCAGTATACGCTTATCTTCTTGTTCCTGACCTTGTTTACTTACCTACTCCTTCAGTTTATAATTAAGGAGCAAACATAACAAATGGATATCCATTTTCAGTCATGATAGATTAGAGAAATCGTAGAAAAGACGATGACGATTATGATGATGATGGGCAAGTAGAAAGTATTCCAGACAAGTTAGTTCTTCTTGTTTAAGGAAGTTCATTCTATATAAAGTTGGATGCCATCTCAGATGACAGTTCGAAAAAAAGCAGATTAATCATAATCATCGTTTGTAGCATTGGAGGATCTCTATTGTTATGCTTAATAGGATTTTGTTCAAGAAGAGCTTATTTAAAAAGATAAAGAGAAAAATAGACTCCTGCAACACCCAATATTGATTTGGAAATTAAAGAAAAAGAATTAGAAATCCCAGCCTATCAAGAGTAAACCCAAAAACCATATAATGATGCACTTGAAATTATATCTAATAAGGATCTCCAAGATGGATAAGATAACTGTGGAATTTGTTTGGAATCATTGAAAACAGCTAAAGTGATCTGTAAAATTCAATGCAAGTATTAATATTCCCCTATAAATCTAGTCACGTGTTTCATGGTAGTTGTATAGAAACATGGCTTTAAAAAAATTCATATTGCCCCTTTTGTAGATTTGACCTAAAAACTAAAGCAATCAAAGAGGATAACGATGAGCAATTAATTCCAGAGTTATGACGATCTTAGCTCACATGATTTATTTAAATTATTTACAAGTCCAAATAAATTTTTTACTCTTTTTAAATTGAAATAGTAATCAATTAAGAATTATGTAGTATTTTATTCTTCATTAAAATCTCCTAATAAATCAATTCTTTTCATATATTTCAAAAACAGACAAATTTGATACATTTATAATGAAATCATAAGTTAACAAATGTGTTTATTCATTTCCAAAGACTAAAGAATCCAAATTTCAAATTTCCATATGTTTATAATAATAATCATATTCTAACAAATTCCTTTCTCACTATACTATCATTACTTGCAATTACCTTAAACTCACTAAGGACAGCATTGAATCCTGTATTGCAACATTTTTTAATGAGCATCATGACAATTTATGTAGTATCTCCACTTATGATTATAATTCAATAAGCAAATATTTAATAGTAAGATTATAAAAAATTGAATTCAAAATTATTATTATCAATTAAGACTTTATGAGAAGTATATGATTAAACTAGTTATTACTATATTAATTATAAAAGAAAGTAGATGAAGATAATGAAATTTTATATATTATCATGAAAACATCTATTTAGCTTCAAAATATATATCATCTTGAATAATATCAGGCTTTTCTATTTCCATCATTTAAAATATATCTTTAATTGCAGGATCCAAATTATCTCCTAATTCCTTGTTATTATTCAAAACACTAAAAATGCTATTCACAACACCTAATTGAATCTAGTTTTCTAATTCTTCAACATCTCCCTTTTTTGTTAGATCTTACTCTAGTTTGTCGATCTTTGACAAAAAATTATCTGACTTTTGATCTATTACTTATCTTTTCATGCTAGATATCAACTTCTTTTTCATAAAATTAATCATTTCTTCAGACAAGTGTTCTTTGTAAAAAGGTTCATCTATAATTATCATCAGAGTATCATAATTTATCGGAATGAGTAATCTTTATTTTTACATACTTTTTTTATCTTTCTATTGTTTTTATTCAATGACATTGGCTTCGCTGTTAATTGAAGAAGTCTTCATATATGGAAGTAATGACATGGCTAATTAACATTAATGATTACCCATTAAATCCTCAGTTCTTTTCCCATTGTTAAATTCTTGTAATTTTTTCATTATGTCTTATCCGAAGATTTGCATACCCAAATTTGAGGCTTTGTTATCGCGTTTATAGGTTTTTCTATCTCTATTTCTGCTTGAAGTTCTTGAGGATTTCTAATTAAAGATTAATCAAACTTTTTTTTTGGATTTTCGTTTTTAAGAGGACCTATGGCTACTAGCTTTTTCTTTTTTCTTGTTTTTTTTTCTCTCTGGGGTTGGCATAAAATAAAAATAAATTAAATTTATTTATTAATAACTTTTTTGATGTAAACTTTTATTAATCATTTTCACCTAAATAAGAGCTTAGCTTCCTCATAAAGATCCTTTTCCACAATATTTGGTGTTTCAATTTCCATAGGTTATAGTAAATCTTTTATATCTGTACTTAATTAACTTTGTTGAGGTCCATCTTCTTTATTATTTTGAAGCACTGTGAATATACTCTTGATTAAATTTAATTGTTGTTGTTGCTATTATTGTTATTGTTGTTCGTCCAATATCAATGGTTTTTTAAGATCTTATTCCAATTTCTCAATTTTTTCATTAAATTCTTCTTATTTTTGGTCTTGAACTCTTTTTTTAATTAGATCAATTATCCTTCTTTTAATTTACGTTATTAATTCATCGGGTAATTAGTCTTAATAAAACTAATCTTCTAAGATTACCATCAATGTATCATAGGTAAATGGTACTAACATTCTCTACTTGAAAGTGTTTTTCATATTTTTTTATTGTCGCGAGCTCTTTTTAGTTCCGGGTGTTGGTAAAACTATTGGAATTTGCTGATTAACAATAGGAAGAAAGCCATATGCTTTAAACATTTAATTCATTCATTACCTGACAATCCCATTAATTATTATTAATCATCATTTGAGGGTCTTCTACCATCTTTCATTTATTCTTAAATCTTCTTTAAAATTTCTAAATTGAATCCAGGAAGACTTCCAAACATGTCTGTTAATTGCTTATCACTTAAAGTTTATGTATTATGTGGAGATTCCTTAATTTCTTTTTTATAATCCTTTTTTTTCTCTCTACCTCTGCTGGGTGTTCTCGAAGATTTCTAATTTAAGTTAAAAGTTAAATTACCTTTTTCTTCGATTTGTGTTTTGGAGAAGATCTATGACTGCTATCCTTGTCTTTTTTCTTATGTTTATTCTTCTTTCTTTCTGGCGATGGCATTTAATCAAATAAATAAATATATATTTTATTTAAACAATAAATTAAGATTCCTTCCAAAAATTAAGCCTTAATCTTCACATGTCTCTATGCCACTCTATACAATTTTATTCATACTTCAAGATAAATAAGCATTTTTAAATTTAAATAAAAAAGTAATGTGTGGTTGTAAAGATTGCTAAATTTATATAGTAATTTAAAGAATTGAATTCTTTCTTCTCTTATGAGTTTTGCAAATTTAATTTCGAAATGCAACTTGAATCATCTGTTACTTTTTATTAAGAGTAATTCACAATAAAAATTGATCAAGAAATAATTCTACTTTACATTATTTATTTATTTATCATAATAGGATTATGAATGAGAAAGCAAAGGTTGACATTGCAAAACCTAAATAAGAAATGCCTTTAACTTTTAAAGACTTTGAAAAAATCAAGTTTACCTTCTCTGGAATAGAAAAGTATATTATCATGGTAAATTAATAAATCTTATGAAAGGAACTCAAAACCAGCACTCCATTGGAAGATTTAAAATTCAGGTTTTCAAGCATCTTAAGAACAGATTTCTTCGCTAAAAGACTAGAATTCCATGTTGTTAAAGGATTTAAAGATAAAATATTGTCCTCTTAAAAATCCCTGCAAAATTAAGGAATTACATCTGACTTTAAAGCCCAAGGTCAAGGGTTACTACTTAACATAACAGTCAAGATTATAGAAGAAGGAGCATGATTTTTATTTCATATCATCTTGGAAATTTATTAAATTTGATTTAATTCTAAAAGACTTAGAGGCCTAGTAAAATTCGTATTAAGACAATTTTATAATGAGGAACACCTATAAGTATAATATTATATTCAAGGTGATTTTAGGAAATATTTTAGGTCCTGTTTGATAAAACCATTCAATCATATATAAATATTATTGATTGCTTTCAAACTTTGTTGTCGAACGCTGCAGAAAAAAAGTAGTACATAATTAAATAATAATAAAGTCATGGAAAAATCATATAATCTAAGCCATACATTATTTTAAGTATTTTGCTTGAAAAAATTTTGTCTTTGGAGGAAGTATTGGCTTTCTTTGAAGATTGCATCAATAACAGGCTTGATATCGAGACTGAATTAGACACAAAAATATATCTAATTTTATTTTTAGCCTGCCTAGTCAAGAATTAAATTTATGAACTAAGATGTAAATAATGAATAATGCATTTAAATCAATAATTATGATTATTCAGTGCATAAATAACAGGTACTTGTAGTTTACTAAAATTTTGGCTTAATAGTATTTTGGTCTTAAAAGAATAAAGATAGATAAATTAAAAAAAAGATGAAGTTATTGCTTCTTCTTCTAAAAGTTTTTGACATCCATCTAGTTTCTTCATAACTCTTTGATCATTAAATACATATTTGGCTCAAAATTGTATTCTAAAATAGCAATATTATTGAATATTTAGTACCTTGTCAATAATATTGACTTCTGATAATTCTCTATTATGTGAGACATTCAATCCTGGCTTATAATTTGTTTTTACAATCTTTATCATCAAAATAGCCTATTAAAATTTCCTTATTTTTCTAAATAAAAGAAAGAGTAAAGGAACTTTTTCATGTTTATATTTATTAATATTATATTAATAATTTATTATTATGAGTCTTAGTATACAATAATTATAGTTGATGTTTGAGGATAAAGATAAAAGTGAACCACACACACCAATGTTTAATGGAAAAGCAGGTTCTTTAGATAAATTTGATTTTCTTATTTCATAAATTGAAGAATTGAGACTATAAAATATTGAAATTCAAAATTAAATCTAAGTTCATTAGAATGAATTAAATTTGAAAATAAGTATTTATTTGTTACATAATAAAGAGAATAATGATGTAATATAAACTTAAATCAAAGAAATTGAAAAATAAATATAAAATGAAATTATTCAAAATAAATTATTAACTTTTAATTACATAAAAAAACACGAAGATTGTTTTGAGATAAAAAAATAAATCATAAATCATAACAAACAATAATAAATAGTCTCAATTCCAGATCTAAACAATCCTAATAGACCCTCAGATTGCTCCACTGCTCCAAGTCCTGGGATGAAGGTTTAAATCAAAAGAGCTTATAAAAAGGTTTCTAGTGTCATTTTTAGTGACTTTTGATTAGGTTTTATATATTTGAATAGAGAATGAGTAGAATTATAAATAATTATAATATAATATTAATGAGTTTTAGTCATGAGTAATTGATGAAGATATTAAATAATGAATCCTTTCAATTATCAGAACCTACCACACCATAAGTATAACCTAAAGAAGATGAAACTTAATTATTATAGAAGCAGTTGTTGGAATTAGTATAGCAAAACTAGTAATTTAATAGTTAACTAACTTTAATTAAGGATTAGATTACTAAATAGGATTGTAAAATTTTATTGATTACTTAGTGATATATTAAAACTTGACAAAAACTTAATAAAGATTAGAGAATCAATTACAAGAATAAATGTAAAAAAAAAAAAAATTATAAGAAGAATGTGATTTAAAAGATTAGGAGGAAAAAGAATTAAAATAGTAAGTATCAACCACTAGACCTAAAAAAAGATTATTTACATAATAAAGTGTTGGCAAGGTAATAAATTATAATGTGACGTATAATAATAATTAAAAGAAAAATTCAGTTATTGTGTCAATAAAAAAGTGATTAAATATAAGTCATAAATTTTGAACTATACATTTTATTATGATTTCTATATTTTGAAATTTTCACTCAATAAATATCAATTAATGATTTAATTTATATTTTTATAAATATCGACTCAAACCAAATCTTAACCTTCATCTTATTACTTATTAGAATTTTAGATTTTGTATCAATTTTCTGCAAAAGTATTGTAACACTTTTTCAATATGAATAAGGTGGATAAAAAAGAATAATCAATTGAAATTCAATTATTAACTTTTTGTATCCAGAACTACAATTTATTAGTAATAAATGTTCTATAAATATATAAGTCGCTTTATAAATAGCTTGTTGAAATATTTCCCGAAATATTCTCAATGAGTATTTAATTCTTCTAACTATATCATTTCTAAAAGTAATTTTTCTCTTTCTCTTCTAAATTCTAGTTTATTTATTTTAGCTGATAAAATCTACTTTCGGGTGCCTGCATTTTTTATTCTCAAACCAAAATTTAGTAACAAAAACAAATACTCCTTCTAAAATGCAAAACTATTTCAAGTGAAATTAAATAAATTCCCTTAATATATCTACTTGCAAGACATGTGTTTTAAAACAGCAATAAATTGAAAGTCGAGAGTGATATTTATATTTTGGAAATGCGCTACTTAATAGATAATTTTTTATCATCCTGATAATGGACAGCATTTTTTTTTATTTAAATCATTTAAATCAAACTCTACATGAAGATTTAAAGTATAATATGCATTATTATTAATTGAAATTAATAGAATTAAGTATTACTCAGCGTGTTAAGGGTTAGAACTCTCAAATTTTTATTCATTTTTTCTAGATAACATTTTGATTAACAGGTTTTGATTTTGTTATTGTTGTGTATTTAAACAATATTTCCTTTTATTTATTAAATCTTAACCTTTTTAAATGTTTAATTTCATTTTAATAATATGGGGAGCTTAAATTGATTATTAATTTATAAATTAATCATGAAAAATAATTTTACTTAGCCTCCAATTTTCAATATAATATTGAGAAAACCCTTAAGTTCCTTCTATTTAATAACTATTGGATATTTTTGTGATGACTATTTTAATGTATAGTAAAATTATCATGTCCTTTGGAATAGATCTTATAATTTATAATACTTTTATAAACCATTATTCTAATTACCATCATAATAAAATTCGACAAATCTAATACATTAATTATAATGTAATTAGTTTGAATTTTCTAAGTCCAATCATTTATTAAAACAATTATGTTTTTAGAATAAGATTCTTTAATTGTGAATGCTATATCTTCTTAGATAACAAACATAATAAATTATGTTTATTCTCTAGCATTTAGGTAATCAATTAATTATTGTTAAAAATGGTATCATAATAAATGTTATAAATGTATTTTTAATGCATAATGATCGGAAGGAGTCTTAACTTCTCCCTTCCTTGAAGGTTTATCCTTTTTGTAGAGTGGTATTTCTTCCTTGCCTAAAATCTCTACTTTGCTTGCTTGATACGAACCCCTTTAATAAAATTTATGATATACCCTTTTTTTAACAATACTCTGTCAAATCTTCTTTTGAAATCATCAATTATAAAAGTGTATCCAGTATTGTCAGGGTAAAGTTGTTTCCATAAATCAGCGTATTATGGTGAGATAGATTGTTCATCCTTTTAAGTTTCCAAATTAAAATCCCCCATGATAATTACATTCTTATATTTTTCTAATTCTTAGTATGTAGTTTACAGCTAATCACATCTTGTTTATTCATTATAAACCATTGATTCAAGATGAGAAGTTCCAACAACTAATGAATGCCCATTAATTTCGCATTCTAAATATAAGAACGTTCTTCCAAATTTAGAGTTGAATGGCAATTCTCTTATAAATGTAGGTTTAAATTTGCTAAGTATTAATATCCCGTAATCCGTAATAACATTTCCGGTGATGAAATAAGTTGATTAGATAAATTTATCATTGGACATCATAATCTAAAAGTTTCTGGTTACTTCTTGCAAACATACGAAATCGCAATTGCTCTGTTATATTATTTTTAAGATTTCTATAACTCTTTCGTTAAAATTATGCTTTTCAAACCAGACATTATATGTTAGGAATGAAATCTCCTTTTTATTTATCTTTTCATTAGAGGTTTTGCAATTTTCATTATTCCATCCATCATTTTTGAATGCGAAATACGTAAGTGAGTTAGGTGGTTAAAAAAATTGTTTTATATAATTCATATATTATAATATTGGATGATAGAAATTAATTTAAATACGTATTTAATAAAATGAAACCTTTTAAGATTTGTTTAGTTGGACCTCCCGCATCTGGAAAATCCTCTATTCTTGCTGCTTTACAGAATAAACCTTTTAATCCTCACATTTCCTAAACTTTTCAAAATAATTTTTGGAAATATACCGATCAAAATAGAAGTTTTAGGATTTGTGATACGACTGGATTGGATAAATTTCAAAAATCCACAATTAAATGCATGAAGGATTCAAACTTAATAATTATCTGCTTTGATTTTTCAGCCAGGAGTGCTGAAATACATGTGGAAAAATGGTTGAATTTTGTTAGAACCCATAAATCAGTAACTCCAATCGTTATTATTGGCACTAAAACAGACAAAGCATCAAATTAGTAAAGTGAATATATACAGAGATTGAGGAAAAGATACCCTTTTTACTTAACTTCTGCTTCTAACCCCCAAGGTGTAAAAGATGTGTTCAGAAATATAGAAAATACTATAATCATACCAAATCTAGTAGTTGAAAGAATCTAAATTAGACGTAGAGAGGATGAAGAAGTAAAGCGCGGTTGGTTTTGCTTTTGCTGAACTCAATATATGTTGAGATATTATTTTTATATTATATATTTAAATTTCTATATTAATAATTATGATTCTACAATTTTATAAAATTTAAGAGATCGTTTCTCAAAAGAGTTAAGGAAATTGATGAAGGTTAAAACGAAGAATATAATAATATTTAGATTTATAATTTTACCATTGTTTTATTATTGATTATATTTTAAACTTAAAAGGATGCAGTAAAAATAGAAAGAACAGTATAATACTCATATCAAGGTTGTAAATTGATTCCAAAACTATTGCCTCTATTATTATTTAGTATCCTTCAATTAAATTATTATTGGATGCCCATAATCAGAGTTCCCAAGGGTCTAATGAAAAATAATGGCCATCTCATCTTTATTCAATTATTTAATGGAGATTCTGAATATGCATTTATAAAAATTGATTATTCTATTGATAGTTGTAAGTTATTAGTATTATGCCGGTATTTCTTTTTAAACATCCTTAATTAGATTATAAAGTTGTTTATTGTAAGTTTAAATTTGGTTCAATTTGAGTTGAAAATAATTATCGGACTCGATCTCTTCAATCAGTTTGGATGTCAAAGTGAAGTACTCTTGATTTTGGCTTTATAAAATTGATTAGTTTTAATCCCTAAAGGCTTTACTTAACAATTTAATTTCGTTGCTCTATTGAAGTTGCTAATCCTTCAGTTATTATGTCTGATGCTTAACAAGGTTTAAAATAGACTCGATAGTGTTTTTTTCTTCAGTGATTGCAAATGGAGCAGGGGATTTAATATTTTGTTTCATTTTTAAATTTGAATAATTTCTTAATGAAATATTTATATTATCATTAATCATTATAATATTCATTTTAAATTCTTTTTTCTTTCTTTGCCTTCAAATTATTTACTCTCTATGCAATATATTTCAAATCGATAATGCTTTTAGAATGTATTTTGTCTAGTTCTTTCAATTCATCTATGATGTCCTTGATGACTAGCTGTCTATATTTTTAAACACTTTCAACAGACTTGGTATATTGATCCAATAGTTGATCATAGAGATTGACTCTATCTTGGGCTCCATTATTAATTAGGTCATCCAGTTTGGTCTCATACTCCTACATCTTTTGTAATCGAATTTGTAAATCCTTAAGAAATTAGTTGTGATTTAAATTTACCTTATAATTTTTGGCATAATTGATCAAATAATGAGGTGGCGCAAATTGTGTTTTGATTTTGTCTTTGCTAACTCTATTTGGATCAATGGTTTCAACCATAATGGAAATGTCTGATTTGGAGAAGATCTGTTTTTCCTCCCACTGCTTAAGAAGATCCTTGATTTATTGTTTCAAGTCCTAGGAGGAATTGTGATCCTTCAGTAATGTGAAAGCCTTGATAATTTGTTTCTTGAAAGCATCCCTCATAGTAGCATCTAATAAAGGAATAATGTTTAGTGAATACATGCTCCCTCAAATCTAATGACAGATTCAATTACTCTTTGTGCCATGTGAAGTAATGAGATGATTACTTTATCTCCATCCACATTTCCTTTGGCAAAATGGAAGTGATTGCACCACTCTTCACATAAAGATTGCTGAGACTTCTGATCATTGCTGTGTCTAATGTAGAATCTGGCAGCTTCGTCAATGTGGGATTGCGATAGATGGATGTTGTTGAGGAGTTGACTGAGTGAAACAATGCTTATTTCGTTCATCATTTAGGTCCTTAATGTTACTTGAAGTGTATAATTTTAATAATACAAATTTTACTTTAAGTGAAAATAATCATAGTATAAATATATTTTATTAATATAATCAAATAACAGATAAATTTTATTAAAAAATAAACATACATTTGTTTTCCAATGAATGATTAAACACCCATCAAAGAGATTGATCTCAACAAACAATCTTGGACCAGTCCCAAAGACAAAAGTGATCGTGTATAAATTGATAACAATATTTAAAGTTCATCCCACGTAATGTGCAATCCAACCTCTATCAATTATTCATGAGTGAGGAAAATTGCTAAGGCAACACCTACAACAATCTTCTCCAATCCTCAATACTGGGAAAATCACCAGCCATCAATTAAAAACTATTTAATTACAAAACAGAAAATAAACAAAATGAAATGAATAAGATAATTAATAATGGATTAAATTTCTCTAATACTCCAACTAAGGTTGAACCCGAAAAGCCTCCTCGCAAAATTAATAAAAGACCTTATAAAGTGTTGGAGGCTGAAAACCTATAAGATGATTTTTACCTGAACCTATTAGATTGGTCCCCATTTAATGCATTAGCAGTAGGACTTGAAAATTCAGTTCTAATTTGGTCAGGCCATACCTCAAAGGTGTCTCGTCTTTGTACACTTGAAGATCCTGATATGGTATGTAGTGTAGCATGGTCTCAACGCAATCAACATCTGTCTGTAGGAAATACTATGGGTGATGTTGATGTTTGGGATGTAGTAAAATAGAAAGTCATTCGAAAATGGAATGGCCACTAAGGTAGAATTGGATCTTTGGCTTGGAATAATTATTTATTAGCCACTGGAAGTAGGGATAGGAACATATTAGTTAGAGATGTTAGATGTCCTAATGAATCCATTCAAAAGTATGTTGGACACAAATAAGAAATTTGTGGATTGAAGTGGTCCTTTGATGAACAACTCTTGGCATCAGGAGGAAACGATAATAAGTTATTTATTTGGTCCTTGAAGAATCAAGGAGAATTAACTCATTTCTCACAACATCAAGCAGCAGTTAAAGCTATTGGTTGGTCACCTCATTAACACAATATTGTTGCTTCTGGTGGTGGTACTGCTGACAGATGCATTAGATTCTTCAATACTCAAACTATTGAATAAGTAGAGTGCATTGATACTGGTTCTCAAGTTTGTAATTTAATGTTTTCTAAAAACTCAAATGAATTAGTTTCAACTCATGGTTATTCTCTGAATTAAATAATTGTTTGGAACTATACTAATATGTCTAAGGTTGCTACTCTAACTGGTCACACTTAAAGAGTCTTATATTTAAGTGGCTCTCCTTGTGGATAAAATATTGTTACTGGAGCAGGGGATGAAAGTCTTCGCTTTTGGAGTGTATTTCCATCATCTAATTCCAAAAATAATCATGGGATTACTAGAGCAGAAACTATAGATTTAAGATGAATGGTTTTTCAATTTGAATACTAATATTATATATTTTATAATTATTACTATAAAAATAGTTAATAGAGTGATTCAGTGTAACAAAAACTAGTTTTTCTAATTTGAATACTATTAAAATAAATATGAGGAACATTTAATGAATTTAAAGAAAATTAAGATTATTAATCAAAAGAGATCTTAATTTTTGATTAGATTCATATTAAAAACTCTTGAGATAATTTGTTGAATTTAAAAGGAGATAATAAGAAGGTAAATAACTGACTTATTTGGTACAAATTGAAATATATTACATATAAAATAATAATTCTATAGAAGCGTATTTTAAGTAGTCATATAATAATATTTACCAAATCATAATTTCTAACAAACCTTTTCTAAATACGCTCTTTCTGCAAGCTCAGTGGATATTTCAGTTTTAAGCTACTAAATCTCATCTCTTAAATGAGAATTTTCTTTTAATTATTATGAAAGCAAGAGTCTTTTATTGCTAACCTTATAAAAAGAGAGATACTTCTTCTAAAGATTTGCCAAAGTTTGTTCCATTTATAATATGTATATTTTCAAGGTTCTATTTTCTTCTTACATATCATATCCTCTTTAGAATGGACTCTTTGATTATCTCTTATTTTGCATCGGTTAAGTATAGACTCTAAAGCATGGTTAATTTACTCTGATGATTGGCTAAGTTTATTAAACTCTGTGAATGAATGAATTGGCTTGACCGAAACTAAAGGTTTACTAACTTATTGGAGGTGGCTATTATAATCTCATAAGGCTGTTATTAATTTTTATTGAGTAATTATTTGAAATATTTAGAAGGAAATTAATTAATCATAGATTTCATCAAATATTCTAATATATTATGGCAAAAATAATCTTTAGACTTTATTAAATGTTCATCCTAGGAGACTCATGTAATTAAGTAATTTATAAATAACTATTGCCAAAGAAAATATTTTCAGTAGAATAAAAGAACCTTCTTTAAAGATAAGTTAAGATTACATAAGGAGTTTATATACCAACTAAACGATTAAAAGTTCAAGGAATAATAATAACAGCAAGGATTTAGTCTAATCTTTATTGTTGATAAATTAGAACCATGAATGGGAAATATATTGAAGGAACATTAAAATTAACTTGGTAATCGATATTGAAATTGACTCAATAAAGTCTGATTGATACATGTTATTAAATAGCAGCAACCTGCTTTCAAATAAGTGCAAACTATTAACGAGATATATTTCTTAGATAAGTGTTACTCCATACAGAATATATAGAATATGTAAAAAAGTCACTCAATTTAAGTTTTAAAAATATTATACTCTCATACTATCTATCTTAATTTGTTTTCTCAACCACAGCATTTTATAATGATGCATCCGATCACACCGACCAAAATTCCAAAGCCAATCAAAGTCATTCCTATTTCACTAGATTCATCACTAAAGTCACCAATAAGGAGAATAAAGCCAATTGACATCAATACGCAAAATAAGCCAATAATGATTTTTCTCCTCTATAATTCTCCAACTCCGCAGCACACAATCTCCGTTGATAAATTTTCCTCAATTTTTCTGTTGACTCTTTTAAAGTCTTCTATTTGTTTCTTCTATTTATCCCATTAGTCACAATTTTAACATGAACTATCATCGTCTTGTATATGATTGCATCGTAGACACTAAAATCTTATCATTCGAAATAATAAAATATATTATAATAATCCCATTAGCATTGAACTTATAAATCCAAAAGGGAAGCTAGAATATTTCAGTTTGATTTCGATTTTAAACAATCACATTGCATATTGATAGAATTTAAATATTTGGGTTTATAAAGTCTATTTTAATGTAACTTTAAGATAGATTATTTGAATCTGAATAAAAACATTTTAAGCAAGAGACTAGATTTTTCAAGCAGAGAATATTTAGGATAATTTAGATCTCTTGTATTTTCCAGATATCTTATTAAGCCATTTAAAATTTGAATATTTTATATTTATTGCTTCAGATATCTAAAACTTCTATTATAAGCGCTATATTCTTAACCTTCATTTTGATCAAATCAAATAGATAGATATTTTCTTTGAATGAATTTTGGAAGATAATTAAAAACATAATATCAATTTTTGATTTCTTGTGATTTGAAATTTTCATATAGGATAAGGATTGGGTGTGGATAGCATTCTATTACAACAAGTTCTCCTTTTTGATAGAACTATTTAAGCTACGTACTAGGCTAATTATATGTATTTTAGTTCTATTAATTTTTTAGAAATAAGTACTTGATTATTATTAATATATTAAATATTTCTTAAATCAATATTATTTAATATGAAGATTCTATAAAAGCATGGTTTGAGTATTAAATTATTTATCAATAGTTCTTAAGTTTTGTAGTATTACTCCCAATGATGGCCTGGCATAATTATTATTTTCTATTGAATTATTTGTCTTTTAATAATTTTTTTGGTTAAGACTACTCGTTTACTTATATTATATATTTTACCATATCCTATTTTATCAATTTTTTAAGGAACATATTAATTAATTGGTTAAAATTATAATCACAACTAAAAGTTCTTATCAAAATTAATTTTAATTAAATTATATTGAATAGTCAAAGTAAATATTATAACTAAATAATTTCCTCAAATATACATAAGCAAAATACAAGGAAAAAATATTATCTAGTATTTTTCAATTAATATTTTTATATTCAGAAAATAAAATATAGTAAATTTAAAAATCCTAAAATCTTTTAATTAAACTTATCATGCACTTGATCTCCATTTTTTGTTAAGAAGAAGAATAGAAAATTAATAATTGTCGCCGCTTATTAAGAGGGGATTGTCGTAAGGACTGTTTTTCTCAAATAAATTAAGAAAGTAATTAAATTTTTTTGAAATTGTTTTATTTGCCTTTTCTTTATGGCATTTTTCTAAAAATGAATTAAAATATACAATTAATGATTTGTTTGATATTATAAAATAAAAGATATGATAAATTCATAATTCATAAATTTTGGAGAAAAAAATTCATTATATTAATTTATAAAATTATTTGTCATTTACACAAACAAGAAAATGCAGATCAGCAATTAATTGTAATTAAGCTCAACTTTGCAGTAAGAATGATATAATATTTAGATAATTACTCAAACAGTTCTATATTCCTTAATTACTATAGTTTTAGTTAAGTATATACAGCAATACTAGTTAATAACTTCGATTTACGAACTAAAGTGCAAATTAAAATGATCAATTGATCATCAAAGAGGAGTATTAGGAAGAAGCCCAAACAAATACGAAGAGTACTCAATGCACGAAAACAAAGTTTCAGACAAAAAAATAAGGCAATTCCTCAGTTTTGCATAAATTAGAACATTCTTAGAAATATAATGATCAAGTGAAATCTAAAAAAGTAATCAAATGATTATAAATATTAATTTAATAAACTTACTTTAATAAATGATTGTACTATTTCATGAAGATCGCCTTGAAAATAAACAGGAATAATTTCCTAACAGTACAAAAATTATGGAAATATTTTACATTTATTATATTATTATTGAACATATAAATAATAATAATTATTTTTAAAAAATGGCAGAACCTTTAACAATAAAATTGTTAGTAGTTGGAGATGGATCAGTAGGAAAAACCTGCATATTATTGAGGTAAATCAGTTTAAAACCTGATAATCTATAGTTACACAACAGATAAATTCCCAACCGATTATGTACCAACTGTTTTTGAGAATTATTAATCTAAAGTAGTTGTTAATGGACAAGATGTTAATTTAAGTTTATGGTATGACATTATTAAATTAGGGATACTGCTGGATAGGAAGGATATAATCAAGTTCGATAATTGAGCTATGATGGAACTGATGTGTTTTTAATTGTTTATTCAGTAACTGAGAATACCACATTTTAGAATGCTCTCGATAAAGTAATCTTGAACTTAAACTCTAGTGGTATCCTGAATTGAACAAAGATAAATTAGCCTAAGTTCCAAAGTTAATTGTAGGAAATAAAATTGATATGAGAGATGAGGGTAATTCAAGACACATTAAAAAATCAGCTGTAATTAAATATTTAGTAATTCAAGGCCGAATAATTAGTAAAGGGTATCAATGCTCAATTATTTGAAGTTTCGGCATTGACATAGGAAGGATTAAAACCCTTATTTGATACGGCAATAAAAATTGCTTACGATAAAAAGTAGAAAGAGATCATGGATTCTAAAAAAGCACAATAGCCAGCTTAATCAAATTCCTGCTGCTAATTGATATGAATATTCATTTTAGCAATTATTGATATAATATAATAAATAAATGGATTCTGAAGATTTGCTTGAGAAATTATTGGAAGCATTTTATGATGAGAAAATAGAGCCTAAAAAGGAGGCAGCAAAGAAAATACTTGGGTTGGCTGCTCGATAGGAAAACCTAGAATTATTAATATCTCATGGTATTTATTTATAATAATGCATATAAGAATAATTCTTATCAACAATATCTAGAACATTGAGAGATGAACATAAAAAATCAACAGAACTTACTCTCTATTTATTATGCGTTTTTTACATTGTGTCAAACTATTTGGAATTTCATTAAATATTATCTGAGCATTAAATCGGAGATATTACAATGAAAATAATAGAGTCTTAAATCTAGAGATTTGATTTGAGATATGCAGAATTGATGGAAAAACAAGGTTAACCCCAACAGTTATAAGAATTAAGAAAATTAAATTTAATGATAGCAAAATAAGAGAAGTTATTTTATGTTGGTTTTACAATCTTAATGAACATGGCAGAAGATCCTATCATAGAGAATAAGATGAGGAAAAGGAAGATCATAACATTTTTGCTGAGAATGTTAGAAAGAAATAATTTCTATTTATTGATAGTAACTTTGTTGTTTCTGAAGAAATTGAGCATTGTTAATGAATGCAAATTGTAAATGGTCGAAGAGAATTGTATTAGAAAATTAAAGAGATTCTTCAGTGCTGATAATAATGTATTGCTACAATTAAGTTTAGGTTTTTTATTGATATAAATATATTAGGTGTTCTTAAGAATTTAAGTTTTGACACTGAAGCACGATTATAAATAGAATAGAATGGATTTATTCCAGATATTGTAAAGATGCTGAAGATACCAAATTATCGCTTTGTTTCAATAGTGTTGTTGTATTTGCTTACTTTAGATGATAAAATCAGATTAACTTTTGGTTTTACTGAATGTATGACTTTGGTTGTAAAATTAATGCTGCACTTCCCTGAACCTGTGATTGGAAAGGAATTAATTGCTTTGGCTGTTAATTTGTCAACAAGTTCAAGAAATGTAGATCATATTACAGAGCAAGAATTTCAATAAATAGTTTAGAGAGCTATAACGAATTCAGATACCTTATTATTTAGATTTGTGAAAGGGGTAATTGAAAACTCTACAAATCCAGAAGTGTAGACATGTGCTAAAGGGTTTGTGAGACATTTTATGAAACTATTAGTTACATAGGGAAAGGAAGAGGATATTAAATTTGAAATTATAGGGATTATGAGTGCATTAGATTTATAAGAAAATTGGATAAAGCTATTGAATGAACCATTTATTGAGTTTCTCCATAATAACCTAGCTGTTGGAATGGTTGAAGATGACATTGTGATAGAAACGATGATGTTGGTATCATCTATTATATCCCAACAAAATGCCGCTGAAAAACTGTTTAAGAGTCGAATATTGAATGCTTTGTCTTAAGTTTTTGTAGAAAAGAGCGACGATGATGAATTTGTTGTACAGTATTTGTATTGCTTACACTAATTTCTGTTTCATAAAATAGGAATATCACAAATTTTGGAATAGTAAGAATATTCATATTTTGAGGGATGAAATCCTAATTTAGATAATTTAATAAATAAATGATAAAAACAAAAAGGTGTAGTAGATGTCAGAAGAAGTCTTAGATATACTAAGGGAGTATGATTAAGAATTATGTGAAAAAATCAAAGAAATCAAATTTACGGAATATAATTAGTTATGGATTGAACAACTGAATGAATAAGAGCTCATGTAAGTGTTTAATCCAATAAAATAGGTTACAAGATGGAGGTGATATGGCATTTGAAGATGAGTACGGCGGTAACGAATTAGATCCTAAAATGTGGGATTCAGACAATGATTGATTATTTTGTTGCAATCCATAAAATAGACTATAAAAGCTATTTTCAAATATTCAAACTTATTAATATAATAATAATCTAATCGAGATGGATCTACACTATGCCTAGCCAGAAATGAGATGTGTAATCTGCTTAAACTTGATGTCTAATTAAGTAGGATCAGAATTCTTAATTGTTAGGTATTTTTGGATTAATGCAATCACTCCTTCTGTTTTGAATGTATTCGAAAGTGGTCTGAAAAAAATCACTAATGTCCATATTGCAGAACAATGTTTTCAAGTTTTCATTAAAAAAATGTTGAATCGAAAATGATGTAAATTCTATTTAATCATAATAGCATTAAAAGATTTGAAGCTTCAACAATAGTCAATAATACAGAAGATAAACGTCTCATGGCTTTGGCTGATTTAGATAATACTTACTACGATTTGATTTTACAACAAATTGATTCTATATGATTTATATCAATATTAATTATAATTAGTAATTAATAAGAATAAATTCAAGAATAATTATAATTAATTTGATAATGGAAAATCATTTAAGTATATTTAATATTAAACACCAAATCATGAGATCTATCAATCTGAATCAATTTAATCTATTTCTCTAGATATATTTATTCATGAAATTCAAATATATGATCATTTTAATATTATCTTAAGTGAAATATTGAACAGAGTTCTGAAAATGATAACTCATCTAGTAAGATTTTATAACAAAAATAACAAGTAGACAAAATAAAATTAATATTCCATAAAGTAAAATTAAAAATCAAACTTCTAAGTCATTCATTTTATTTTTGATTTCAATGAAGTGTCCATAAGTCAATCTAACAGGACTTCCTTCAGCAATATGTTCTATTTTTGATTTCTAAGCGAATTCATAAGGTTTGTTAAAGGTCTCTAAAGTCAATTGTGATAATTAAAAGTATGTGACTAAGTAATCTAATAAGACCACATCCTTTTCCATGTCAATTGGAAGGCTTTTGGATAGATCATCTGAGCCCAATTTTCTATCAATTTCCTTTTGTAATTCTTTTATTGCTTGACGCAATACAGAATTGAAAATGATATAAAAGGATTCGAATTCAGTGAAATTTTCATCAAAAACAGCATCGAACTTTTTATCAATTGATAATTCATTTTTGTTTTATTATAATGAAGACCAAATGTTCTTAAAATATGATTGATATTTAGTAAAGTTTTACTAGATTGTAATTTATATTGATTAAAACTAATTTGAAGCCTTGTATGCATCAAAACCTTGAATATCAAGAGAGTTTGAATCCTAAAATAGATTAATATAAGTTACAATGTCTTTAAGTTTATACATTTTGATCATGATATTTTTGATTGCAAAGAATAATAACTTATCCCTCAGCAAATCAGTTCTAAATAGATTAGTACTTTCAATCAAATTTGCAACTCTGAACAAATACTTGCAAAAATTGATTTGAGACATAATGGTATATTCAATATTGGTAGAGTTACTTTTAATTTCAAAACAACTAGTTTCAGCTACGAGATAAATAAATGAAAATACTTTATTTAGATTATTATCCTAATGGTTTAGTGATTTGAGTAGTGTGTTTCTTTCCACTTCTATGAATCGAATCTCCAGGTAACTTTTTGGCACTATTTTCTTTGCCTTCTTTTGGTTACTCTAAAGTTTTTTGTTTCATTAAGGCTGGTTATTTATTGACTTAGAATGCTAATTCAGGTCCTCTAATCCAAGGATGTTTTTCTAGTTCATCTATTGATGCTCTTTCTTATTCACTAACTACTAAACAACGTTTAATAAATTCTTTGCATTCTTAACTAACTTTAGTTGATGTGGGGAAGGTTAATGGTACACTCACCATTTTTTATGCTAATTCTTTTTCACTTGTTGCTTACCAAGGAACTTAACCAAATATTATTTCGAATGCTGAAACTCCAATAGCCCAAATGTCAGATTTATCAGAATACTTATTGTTTTTCAGGGCTTATGGACTCATATATAGAGGACTACCAACATTCACGTTAGGCAACAATGGAGGAGAATTAGGAGTTGTTGCAAATCCAAAATCTGCTAATTTTGGAGTTCCACATGATGACAATAACACATTAGCAGGTTTAATATCCCTGTGTATTATCCCATTCTATTTCAGTAGTTTGTAGGCCTTAACCATTCCGAATATAACATTTTGGGCTTGTTGCTCTGGGAACTTACCAATCTTGGTTAATTTACTTCCCAAATCACCATTTTCACAAAATTCTGTTATCAAGTAAGTGTTATTTTATGTTTGAAATACCTATAGGCATAAGACTAAACCATACTTTATATAATTTCATAATGTATTGACTATCTAAAGTGCTAAGTGCCTCGATTTCACTCTGCAACAAGGCATGATGTAAAGGTGTCTTCAGTAAGGCTTTGTCGATTACCTAAATAGACTTCATATTACCTTAATAGCTACTGTTTCACCTGTTACTTCATTTTGTCCTTTATAAACCTTGCTGCTGAATCCTTTTCCGATTTACTAATGAAGCCCATATGAAAAGTTCTCTATCATCTTTTTAACATTCTGTGATGATCCATTAGTGTAAGATGGATGTTATGAGTACATCTATTTCTAAGCCAAATACATTAATAATTTAACGAACTATTTTTATTATTAAAATTATATTTCATGCCTTATGCCACATAATAACTAAAAATTCAAAATAAAAAGGACTTTAATAATTCTCTACTATTTTCTAAACTTTGAATATGCTGATCAATTAATAATTATTTCGACATCTTAAATCTAAATTTCTTTTTTTTTCGCATCTCATCAAAATTAATTTCAAATAAGTTAGTTCTTCTATTATTGAAACTATTTACAGTAAAGATGTTTAAATGACAATCTAAAATATTTATAAGAAAATTATGGAATTCAAAATTAATTTTATCAATTTTCTATGAAAATATCCAATATTCAAATTCGAAATTTATTTAACTTTCCATTTTCTTTGATTTATTTACATTATGATAGATCCATTTGTATATATACTTTAGATGATGAAATTATCATTTAATTATTAGATTTATAAGTTCAAAGTAAGAAAAATACAGATTTTAAATCTAATTAAATACTTATGATTTGATTGTTACTAAAACTTAAGACAATGAATAAGAATGATATTACTGCTTGGCTATTTTATAAATTGAATTAAACATCATTATCAAAAAGCACTTTTTGAATCTTAATACAAATTTATTACAAAAAAGAAAAATACATAGAAATTCTTATTCGAAGTCTAGGTACATTATTTTCATATATGGTCTATAAATTCTTCAAATATGAAGCAAATTTAATTTGTGATGATTATCATAATATTCTGTCTACCATAAGCACAATTATATTTTATTCAAATTTAGGTACAATTTAAGTCTAAATTATTAAAAATTAAAGATTTTTTCAATAATGATTAGGGTCTATGGTATACGATTTTTTGTTTAATACCCATATAGAACAAGAGGGAATATATAAATATATATTATAATTAATGAATTATTGTTTTAGAACAACAGATTTAGCATTAATTCTTTTAATCATCCAATTATTAGGCCATCTGTTTATTCATTGGAATCAATACAATTGTGATATGTATGGGAACTTTTAAATATGCTTTTGGATATTTAATGTTCTTTTGAGATAATTACTTCAACATTAATAATTTAACAAATGGGCTTTATTTATTACTTTGCTAATAGCTGGAGAGACGGTCTCAATGAATGTGATAGCAGTATAGGAGAAGGAGTGTTCTCAAAAGCCAACTTTTATTTTTTATTGCATTTTAGGATATATTTTAACTATTTCTTCGTTTTCAAAAATGTTACGAGTTAATAAGAAGGCTGAAATATCAAAAATAGTTGATTCGTCGAGTCTATGATTATAATAAATTTATATTAATATTGTTCAATGAATATTTCAACAAGGAGAAAATGGAGCTTCTCCTACTTTCTGATTGCACTCTGGACAATATTGAACAACATCTTTGCAGGGTTTACAACATAAGGGTATCAACCCTCCGATGAACGTCAATATGCACCAGATACCACAGCAAATTAATGTCCAAGTTCCAACTTTATGATCAACCTATGATTCTTAAACTTTTGAACACTTATTGCAGAAAAATTAAGAAGATTCTCTTTCATTATTTAAACTTGTTTTATAATTCTTCTGGCCTTGACTAATAGTTAAAGGGACGGATTCTTCAGCCATTTTATTGATATTTTAGAGTTTATTATTAATAATGAAGATAAAAAACGATTTCCATATTTTATGTCCAAAGATATGCAAAGATAAAAGGTAAAATGAACTTAATATAAGGCCAATAAATTCAGATGAGTTTAGATTATTTCCAAATGAGAAAAAGAATTATTATAAATTAAATTTGAAATGGAATATGAATAATCGGATTACTATTTACTATTGGGATCATCAATTTTTATAAACATTACCTTAATAGCCATAACGATCTTCTTGTGGAAAGTCATATGGCTATAATATCCAATATTTATTGAAGAATTTTAAATAAAATCATTAAGCGATGCATATAACATAATTCAAACAGCAAATATAAATTTAATAATAAGTTAATGCGGTTTTGACGGATTGACCTTGTTACTGTTTGAATAGAAATTATTCATTGGTCTCAGCTATTATACCATCTTTTATTATCTCATTATGGGTATATGTAAAATATCGTGGAACTATTTAAATGACTATTAAAAACTATTTGTCTAATTGAATATTTTACCAAACTAAGATTTCATCATTAGCTCGATGTTACTCTTGGTAATATTTGCAATATTGATATAATTGAGAAAAGAACTCCAAATTATTTACATTCAAATGTTCACAACAGATTAATTTACTAATTATACCATAAGGACACTGCATATAAGGGGAATGGATTACGATGACTACGATGGAGTGATGATGATGTTAGAAATATTAAAATATTTGAATGATGTGGGTGATCTTGGAACAATAATGGGTATATCAATTATTCCTGAGTACTCAAAACTATTAGAATTGGAGAGAAATAGATCTTTATTTAAATATCAATTGGGAATTTTGGAATTGCAGAAACCTTTATTTTATCCTTTGCCAAATCTGTCACTTATAGAAGAATAGATTGATCAATAATTGTAAAAGCCATTCAAGTTATCAGGACACTGCTTTATCTGTGTAGATAGACTGTAAACATAATTAAAATTATGCAATCAAAATGCTTTAACTCAGTATTAGATCCAATTGGCACCTGATTTATATGATATTAATTGGGTCAATTTTACTATTGAAAGTAATTAAATTAGAATTTGGAGAACTATTATTCTTAATTTATTAATTATGACACTACTTATATTTGTGACATCCCCTTAAGCATTATATTAGTATTTATCCAAATTTCCTGGTTTGGAGTTCCTCTCATTTAAATGGACTATTTTAATACCAGAACCATTTGGTAGGATAATTAAGAATAATATTCCTCCAATAATTTTAATTTCAATCAACCAAATCATCCTGTATTTGTTAGATGTGATAAGTAATAATATTGTGATTATCTCTTTAGCTTAGGCGGAAAAGCACGAACGATGGTCATAATACCATATTTCCTTTTTCCACAAAATGTTTTTTTATTTGATTTTAAATGTCTTGGTAATTCCAGCCTTTTTATTGCAGTCATCAGAGACACTGTTTAATATCACATATAATGGATTTAATATCTAATTGTAGAAAGCATTCGATAATTAAACTAATTATGGGGTAATAATTTATGTTAGAATCTACTTTAGTTATATTATATAACATTTTTGTTTTATTCTGGAACTGGTGCATTTTTGGTGGAATTGATTAGACCATCTGAACTCTACTTCAATTACTTAAGTTCATACATGGCCTATTACATGCGATTATACGAAAACGATGCGTAGCATTATTAGAAGACAAACGAGTTCTGTGTGCAGTATGGATACATATCAGCTCAGATGCTTCTTAATTTAACGATCATATGCATCTTCAACACAACCTCACCTTTCATTTTGATTGCTGGTTTATGGTTCTTTGGATTCAGATATATTGGAGATTTTTTCATGTTGATGGTTTCTAAATAGGAAATGGTCAGCAATGGTAAATATCTTTACAGCCTCCTATAATTAAGTTGCTTTACTTTGGGACTCTGGCTGGTTGTCAAAGTTATTGGTTGCTACTTCCAATCTAATTATTTGATGATGTACTTGTTTGGAATAGAACTGATTGCCTGGGTGTTTATAGGCCAAAACTTTCTATAATAATTGATCGATATCAACTAGATATAAGACGAAGATATGAAACTGAAAATAAGCAATAAAAAATATATGAAGGAATGGAAAATTAAATATAGACATCCATTATCATGAATCTTGTTATTCATTAAATCTTGCGGCTGATCTCGATCCTAATTGCTTTCTTGCTAATTCACTGTAATCATGCTGCTGTATTTCTAATATATAAATTACAATCTCACTCGGTCTATGCAATTATTTATAGGCTTGATTTTTCTGATCATCTGGCACCCAAAACTGTTTATTGTATGTGGCTTAAGCAGTCTGCAATCTGTCCAGTAGTTACTTCAATATTATCAGATAATACTAAATTTTCCATTTACAGTTTTTCTCTTTCAACTCTTTTAGTTATTTACTGCGACTTAGGTATTTGTGGCATAGATGAAATATTTTTGTTTCCCTATTTCTAAATATTAACCATCTTATTCAACAATATATTATTTTCATAAACTATCTTATTCTCCTCAGCTAAGGTTCAATTAACTGAAGTTGATACCATGAGCATATTTGTTATTCCATTTTGAAAGCGAATGAGACGGTCTCCAAGGTGCAGATGTGTCTATTCTGCTCCTCGTGTTTGTTAATTTAGAAAGTAGCTTTTCTTGATCATTTACAATTTTCTTTCTTTAACAGATTGGATTAATTGAAATAAGGTTCCACATAATATCAATTAATTTTCTTTAGTTAATTAATATAATGCATTTCAATCAAATTATAATCATAGCCAACTTTATAGAAACAATATAATCTAGTTGAGGTCACGTTATCCTCATTTATTATATAATGGAATTTTACTTATACTTATGAATATTTAATTAATAAATTTCTAATAGTATTTTAGTCGAGACTCTAATTACATAAATATATGGACAAAATCCTATTGATTAATCTTAATATTTAGATTATAACTTAAAAAGGTCTAAGTTATTATGATAATTAATTAACCTATTATTAACAACTTTTCTATTGATTTGAAGTTAGATTATTTCTTTATAATATTTCACAAATCAAAATATATAATTAAATCTATCTCTGATTTGTAAATCAAATTTATCTGTTAAACCAAAATCTTTTGTCTTCTTTAATGGCCATAGAGAAAAAAAGAATAATTTTCAAAATATTCCTAATTACATTTATATAATAAGTGTCTAAATAAGTAAATCAATTAACAATTTTTTTCTTCTTGAACATGGTTGACAGACTCTGGTGATTGATGTTCTAGGAGATGTCTTACAAGGACTTTCTATACGCAGGTCTAATATTTAGTTTGGATGGCCTCAAATTTTTGTATGATTTTTAACTGCATTACGATGTTGCATCGGAATGGTTTTCAAATATTGCTAATAAGGCTTCTTCGTAGGGTTCAACAAGGCTCATAATTTGATTATTCTTTGTTATTAGGAGATCTTAAAGGGGTTATTCATAAATTACCTTTTAGTTCTCCTCTTTGGTCTTCATTAATTTATTCAGACTTATATAGACGATAAATAGCAAACAAGATTTTTGATTCATATTCGTTAGACATATAAATTATTATTCATTTTATATTAAATGAGTAGAGCTAGAGGGGGTGCATAATTATAAAATTTAATATTAATTAAGTTCTTTATTTTATTAATAAAGGCTAATGGAGAGACGAAAGTGCTAAAATTGATGAAAAATGAAGTGTATTCCATTGTGCTGCACTATTTTGGAAGCAATTTAGCCATTTTTTATGTAGAACAACCAATGAAAAGTTAGATACACAATTATCCTTAATCAGCCAATCAGATTTTAGAATTTTCTTTAAAAATAGCGCTTGGGTTTTCAGTTTAAAATATTAATTAAAATGGGCCCAACAAAATCACCAAAAGCAGAAGCAAAGAAAACAGTTAAGACTGTTAAAACAAAAAAATCCACAGATGACAAGAAGAAGGCAAGAAGAAGACAAGAAACTTTTGCTTTATATATCTACAAAGTCTTGAGATAAGTTCACCCAGAAATTGGTGTTTCCAGAAAGGCTATGAACATCATGAATTCATTCATCAACGATATTTTCGACAGAATTGCTCTTGAAGCCAGCAAATTAGTCAGATTCAACAAGAGAAGAACCCTCAGTTCAAGGGAAATCTAAACTGCTGTGAAATTGTTACTCCCAGGAGAATTGGCCAGACATGCCATCTCAGAAGGAACCAAAGCAGTCACCAAATATACAAGTGGATGATTTTTTATTTTTAATTAAGTTCAAATATATTGTAAAAGTGATTCTTCCTACTCCTGTAATTCCTTAAGTAGTTGTATTTTCTAATCCAAGAGTATTTTATTGCTCTATTCATTTTCCATATCTTTTATTTCCTTCTCTAATTTAGAAATCCTCCTAATCAATTATTCATATCCTTAATTTTCATTATTAAAATATTAGTCAACTGCGTTATCCAACTTAGAAACAAAACTTGTTTTCTTCTCACTTTATGTGAATCTAAGATCATCCTTCCTTGGTTCTTTAAGTTTATGAATGACTTATTTCAATTTTTGAATTTATTCCTATTATTCACTTAATTATTATCTATCACTTAATTGTTAATCCATGATTCTGCTTTAATCTATTAAAGATTAATGTAATTCTTAAGACAAACTTTCAATTTAAGCATCTTTTTATAAAATCTCTTCATCCTTCTTATATAACTCTTCTTCTAATTAAGATATTGTGATTTTTAGTTTTTTCTCCAACGTGTCAAATATGCCTTCCTTATTTGATAATTCTTCCACCAATTTTTGCAATTCGTATTGACAACTTTTTAATTGACTATGTAAAATCCTGTTTTCTTCCTCCAATATTGCGGACTTTTTTTGTAATGCTGCCATAGCATTAGCAATACTAATTTTATCATTTAAGTATTACTTACGCTCTTGATTCGGACATTATTGTTAAGTAATTTTATTTATAAAATTTATTTAATGTATAATTCTTGATTAAAGAAAAATTAAAGAAAATAAGAAAATCAACATGTCCTTAAAATTTTATTCTCATATTAAAATATTTTATTTGAATGCTTTAGTGATTAATTAATATTATAACTGGATAATCCTAACCAACATCAATAATGAATTTTGAAAAAATACTAATAAACCTATAAAAGTTGTAAGACTTTTAGTCATTTTTTGACATAATTCTTTTTTTAACATAAATTGAATTAATTTCATATTGGTCCTTTTAAAAGTATGTTACTCGCTCGCTATTATTTGTCATGAAAAGTGTCTTATTTATATTTTGTCTGACTCTCTTCCATCCTGATGTCTAAAATTTTTGTATGCCGAAGTATACTAGGCAAATAATAACAGTCACATCTAAAGTTTTTTAATTAGAGTAAAAAAGATAAGAACAATGAAAATCCTATGAGTAAATAAATTAAACTTTATAACCTATTTTATTCGATGGCCTGGGGTGGAAGCAATTATTAAAGTGATAAGATTAAATAGTCAGTTATAGATTATTAAGCATAATAAATCTGCCTTTACTTAAAATAAGCAAACTTAATGTATATACATTTAATGCAACTATGGTATTCATCATTTGGATGAATTAAGTAAATGAATCAATAGAGTTATATACTAGGAAATAAATTAATGGAAATCTATTAATCAACTTAAAGTACGTTTTATATTAGATTATTTAGCATTTTTATTGAATATATCATTATTTCTTTGCAGTATTTGTTGGAAAATCAAAGTTTCATAAACTATATTAAATGATCTCATGTTTCTTCACAAATTATAACAGAAACAATAATTGTTTTAAATTAATTTTTTGTTGATAAAAATTAGTAAAATGAATGATGATTAATAATTTAATAATAATATATGTTTCTTGTACTTTAAATATTCTTTTTAAAAAGTTTCCACTTAAAATCAAAAATAATTTATATTTCCTTAATCTCTACTTTAATAGTCATACTTTAGTGGCAACTTATTAAAGCAATTACTAATAAGTTAATTAAGTTTAACCCAAAGATTTAGATTTAATTATACCTTAGTACTTTAATTTTATGGGTCATTAATTTGATAATCAACTAAATACAAGCATATCTAATATTATTCATAGAGTAGCAACTGTGGTAATATTCCAATTTGAAATTTTAACTCTTATTTAAAGAGGTTGTTTCTTTCAATAATTGAAATTACTAATAGTCCCTATGTTAGTTTATAACCTCAACAATAACAGTGGATATGATGGACTTGATTTAGGATATAGTGGCTGGATTGGCAAAATAATAGAAATAAACCGAAGAAAGCTCTAGGTTGAAATTAAATAGGATATTGAATTGGCAAATGAAGTTAAATGAGTATGATACATTACAAATTTTCTTTAGATTATTTCTAACTAACAGTTGTTAATATATATATTAATGAAGATTAATTCTGCCAGTTAATAAAAGTTGACAATGAACAGACCATAGACTACTCCTTAGAAGGCAGGACAGTCACCTATAAAGAAGAATAAGTAAGAAAAGTAGTTGAAATAAAAGGTATTTGGTTTAATCAGGGGTATCATCGCTAGCTAAAACCGATAATAAAGTCTCAAAATCGACAGCGTTGTCACATGATTTAATTTCTTTGATAAAGAATGGAGGGAATGGTCATCATAATAGTCAATAATTGGATAGAAAATAGAATTCTCGTAGCAAATAATTTCTTGACATATATGATGCTAATTTAAAAAAAAATAGACCCAATTCAAGACAATAAATCCAACATTTAGTTAAAAGTAAGAAACCTGATAGCAATCTTAAATATCATGATGATCTAATTCAAAAGCAATATCAGAAATTATTGGATCTACAAAAGCAACATCAATAAACCCACAAATCGCCACCTCAAATACATAATAGAGCTATGAGTAATGGTGATTTGAAGCCTACAAGCGATATTGCCAATAAGTTGATAGAATATATAAAGAAATAATCCGCCAAGAAAATCAAGGGTTATAGATCAATATCCAACCCAGATATAATCGTAACTGATAGAAGGTTGATATCAAAATATGCAGTGAAGTATATTGTCATTAGAATATTAATAGAACTCAAGCTGGAATGTTGCATACAAAGTAGGAGAAAGTAAATTAGGATTCTTATGCAATTCATGAAGGAATAGGAAACATAGATAACTCATATCTCTTATAAGTGTCAGATGGACATGGAGTGAATGGCCATGAAGTGGCTTAATTTGTTTAAGAACGATTACCGATTATTATTGATTAGTTATTAAGATCTCATAAAATTGGGAAGAATGATTAAGACATGATGATACAAGTGATTTTGAGATAAGCATTTGAAAGAACAACAAAAGAATTAAATACTTCAGGAATAGATATCACTTTTAGTGGAGCCACAACTGTTTGTTTGTTGATTATTGAACATGTGGGATGGTGTGCTAATATTGGAGATTCAAGGGCTATTTTGGGAAGATAGAAGGATGGGTTACACGTCGTTGAATTGTCTCATGATTAAAAACCTGATTTACCTAAGGAGGAAAAAAGAATCATACAAAATGGAGGAAGAGTGCAAGCATATTCAGATGAAGAAGGAAATCCAATCGGTCCAGCTAGAGTTTGGTTGTTAGACGAAAATATTCCAGGATTGGCAATGTCTCGAAGTTTTGGAGATTATGTGGCTGCTTAAGTAGGTGTAATCTCAATTCCAGAAATAATTAAACACACATTTTAAAATGACAAATTCTTAATCATGGCATCAGATGGAATTTGGGAGTATCCTATCATTTATATTCAAGGTTTCTCGATAACAAATGGATTGTTGAAGTTGTCTATGGGTATTATTTGAAAAATGATGCTGAAGGAGCTGTTGAAAGATTGGTCCAGGAAGCCACAGAGGCATGGAAAAAGGAGGATGAAGTTATAGATGATATCACTTGCATTGTAGCGTTTTTGAATTGATAAACATAAATATCTTAAGAATATATATTTCCACTTTTCAATGCTTGACTTTATTAATTATATTATTTTAATGTCAGACAAACCAAATATCCCTGCACCTAATTCCTTGGTCAAATATGCAAGTGCCACTTTGGTGTCTACATCTGGAAAGCCCATTAAAGATAAAAAGAAAGGAAGAGATGCTGCTCCTTAGTCAATTACTAATGCATAAACTGAGGACATATTGAATTCAATTCTTCCTCCAAGAGTATCTATTTTATGTAATAAATTAGGAATACACAATGGAGAAATAATAATTATGGATTCAATGTGTTTCTTCCACTCCAGCGAAAAGAGTAATTCGATTTTATATTCAAAATAGGAAGATGTTATTCTGCTTTAAGAAAATTTAGATAAAAAATTGCAATAAAGACAAGCCAGAGAAACTGGTATATGTCCTATTCGAGAGGAATTATATGCTTAATGTTTTGATGAACTTATCAGACAAGTATTATATGTAAGTTACAATTAGATTACAATTAATTGTGCTGAAAGGGGACTTCTCTTAGTTAGAGTCAGGGATGAAATTAGACAAACAATTCAAGCTTATTAAACTTTGTATGAGAGTTCTATTGCCTTTGGGATGAGAAAAGCCTTACAAGCAGAACAAAGAAAAGTAAAATTATAAAAAAATGATTAGACTGATTATAACAACAAAATAAAGTAATTAGAAACTGAATGTCAAGATTTATCGAAGCAAGTTGAGAAAATAGAGAGCACTATTGAGGATATGCAAAGATAAGATTAAGAACAATAAGAACATGAAGAAGCCAAACATAGAGATCAAGTCAATTTCTTAAAAAATGCAAACAAAGTATACAAAGAAGAATTAGAGAAATTCCTTACAGGAGCCAATGTTAAAAAATGATTATTATAATATTACATTTGAAAAAAGTAAAAGTTTTTGTTTCAGATATATCACATATGTGACTGCTTTCACTAAATAATAACAAATAATTCAGCTTGGAAAACCTAATCAAATTTCTAGTTCATTGATTGAAACAAAAAAAGTGTATGAAATAAATAAAAGTGAATATTTAAAGTTAATCAAAGAATTCTTCAATTATGCTACATGCATTATTGTGCCTTTAAAGGGAATTATTTTTTGTTAAAAACAAATTGAACTATGTGATCCATGATTGAATTAATATTCAAGTAATGCAAAGATTACTCTATTTCATTTACAAGCGTTCTAATATGAAACATCCTTCATTAAAGTCATAGGCATAATCTATAATTTTGAATATTTGTGTACTTATAGTCTCTGTTAATAAATATATGAAATTATATATTATATATCGAACATTCTTTAAAGGTTTTTATTTGGTTCTTTTGATTAAAAATTAATATACATTTTATGGACTCTTAATACGAGGAGGGAGAAATAATGACCCAGAAAAGCGATAAATTAGAACGCATAAATAGTGAATCCTCTTTGCGTTCTCTTGTAAATTCTTATTTAAACATTTAGAGTGATACAAATGGTGATGAGAGGGTGCGTAAATCCTAATAAGAAGACTTAAGTTCTTTTTCTTACGTTTGTGCCATCTTTAATTTCCTAGGCCATTGTACACAAGTTGGTTGCAAGTATTTCAATTTATATTCTTTTCAGGAAAAGACATATCTTATTATAAGATGGATTAGATTAATTCATTACTGAGAATATGCATTTGTTAAATTAATTGATCAGTAGTGGAGAAAAAATTCGAGTTCCGTTTGAAAAGGTTCTAAATAAAGAAAATCACAATAGAAAACACTAGGTAATCAAGCCTAAGGTTATGACAAATTACAATCAAGAACTCTGTGAAAAATATAAAAGAGCCTTAACTCATAAATTGAAGAAGGACATTGACAAAATGTAAGACAAACTCAAAACCATTTGCTATCTCAAGAAATGGGTGAGACATAATTTTGTCGATGCAAGAGATTTTAGCGAATTATATTATTCACTAAATTCTACATAACAAATACATTTTATGAACTTTTTTTAAGTTCTTGAGTTATAACCACCCTCATTTCAATGATCATTATACATATAAATTTGTTTCTGTGTATATGTACAACAATTAACCAATCATTAATATAGTATATGTTAATCTAACAATGGAACTCTAGATATCTTTATCTAAATAACCAAACCTTACTCATTCAATCTCCATATTATTGAACGAAGAAGACAAATAAGCGTAATAAGAATCCTTATTCTTTGTTTCTGATTGTATCAAAGCAGTTTAAATTTATTTGCATATTTTATCAAATCTAATCTCTCTTCATAAGGACTAATGTTATTTAGATTCTAGTACTATATTTTAAGTTATAACTAATCATAATATTCCTAATAAACTAAGTTCTTAAGGTTGACACTAAATAACAATGAAAATGATCTTAATAAATTCAATCTATTTTATAGGAACCACTAATATTTTTAGTAATATCATAACATCGATATATTCATTTTAATCTTATTATGGAGCCTCTTGAAATCTTCAATATTTTTAACATATCTTTGCTATAAGTCGATTGGTTAATAGAAGAACAGATTTCTCTAAACTTAATTTATGCGTATTTAATCAAGTTCAATTGGCTAAGACACGAATTTCGATGATTTATGTGATAGCAATTATGAAATAGTTATAGAACCCTTATTAATATGATTAAAAGAGATTATTTGTCATTTCATTAAGTCTTTGAATAAAGGGTATAGTTCAAAAGCCACTAAAGAAGGATCGCCTAAGTGAGAGGTTCAAGCTACAATGACTTGGATTATTCTAAGCTAATCAATCAGATAACTGGGTTTTAACAACGGATGAGGAAAAGAAATCATTAAATTCAAGACCAACAAATATAGGCAAAAAATAGCTTACTCTCACAAAGGATAAGATCGATTCAGAACACTGAGCCAAAATTACAATTAAATGACCTAAAACTATTTAGTACTAGGAAGTAGTTTTAGCTACAATTTGATCGGGAAGTAACAAAACAAAATTCTCGATTGAGAGAACGAATATAGTCGATGTATGTAATTAGGAAGTATATAAAGTGAGCCCCAAATCAATATAAAATCTATGAATTAAGATTTTGAGAAACATTAAATAACTTTGGAGAGAATGTAGAGGTTTAAAAAAAAAAATAATAGATGTGTTCTAAAGTCGTTAGAAAGAATAGAAAATTGTGAATCATAGCAGTAAAATAAATATCTAAAATGCTACACCCAAACAATAAAAACTGAGCCTGATCAAGAATACAGTGCTTGGAGATCCAACACTAATAAAGGAATGAGTGTTATAAACCTCATTGATTGATTTTATTTTATAAGAGAATCATATATTATAATATTTTATTAATCAATTTGACCCAACATTTTGATAATTGATTCTTTATTGTATCCATTCTTAAAATTAATTCTATGATCTATTTTAATAGGACCAACAGTAAGTATTAATTAATTAAAACATGTGGACAATTAGATTATTTAATAAAAGTTTAAGGAACGAGAAATCTTATTATTTTTAGACAAATAATGCTAATATTAAATTTTTATTATAATTCACTCGAAAAGCCTTTCCAAAAATGTTTTATCTTTATCTGGTTTAGCTTGTTTTTATGGCAATTATGGTTAAGTTGGAATCTGTAAATAAATACATATTTTACTTGCTGAGGTGGAGCTGTTTAGGCTAATTATCCAGGTTAAATGGGTGGTAAAGTCTTTCTATAAAGTGAATTTCCTTAAACTGGCAATCTTTGAGCGTCTTTATAAATTGAAGATGGTAATCCTGTGGTTGTTTGAGCTAATTAAGTGGGTAGAACTGTAGTTGTGGCCAAAGGAACTGACGCTTAAGGTTAGACTATTGTTGTTGGAGGTCTAGTCAATGTTCTTGTTTATGGAATAACACTAGCTGTCTATGGGAATACGTTGGTTGTTTGAATTGTTTGTGGAGCTACACTTGTTGTTTGTATAGTTTGAGGGACGGACTGTAATTAAGTTGTTACAACTGGTGGTGGTTGTTGAACATATGTAGAAGTAAATTGAGTTTAGGGCATTATGGTATTCTACACTACGGTTGGTGCTTAAATTGTTGTAGTTATTGGAGGTTAGATCAATGTGGATGTTATTGGTTATTAAACTGGAGGTTGTGGTATTACTGTTGTTGTTTGGACTGGAGGAGCTTGATAGGTTGTAACTTAGGGTTATTAGGCTATTGTCAAATACTATTGTGGTTATTAAGTCTTGTATTTTATTAATAAATTCATACCACAATCTACTATTGCACTCTCTAAGTTTATATTGTTTAGGATTATGCCAGAGTTTATGGTTATAAAGTTGGTTGAGCCTTTAATTTATTATTGATATTCTTACAGGCAATATATTTTATTTTTACACTGTGTAATATTCGGTTCTCTCTTAGATCCTTTCAACTGGCACGTATTCTAATTATTATGAATCAGATATTACCAATTTACTTCTCTTATATTACTTAAGGAATATATTCAACTTCATATTAGACTGCATAATAATCAGTTATTTATCTTGTTATAGGCACTTAAACTTGTCTTCTAACTTCCTCATATTCGGTGATTACTCTCTCAAAAGGCACATATTCTATTCTAGATTCTCCCTTTATTGCTTATTCTGTCATTAATTATGAACTTAATTAGACAGGGCCTGTCTAATAAGGAACGCCATTTTATCCTATGACCGAGGATTAAAGTTATGGTTAAAATCCTTGTTGCTACAAATATGGAAGCTATTGAGCTGGAAATCCACTTATTGGTGCTCTTCCTAAATTTTAAGGTGGAACCACATATTAGGGTTAGCCTTAAGGTAAAACTTAGGTTGGGATTCCTTATTGAGGAATAAATTGGTTTTGACCTTGTGGAATATTTTGTTAAGGTAAATTTGATTGAGGTTTCGATTGTTATCCCGTTTATGGAAGCTATGACATTTTTATTAATATCTTATTCTCTAAATATATTCCTTTATATATATACACTAATAAATTACAATAAAATTATCTCATCAATGAATATATATTATGCTTAATATTATTAAATATTACATAATTCTTATACATAGTCATTTTATTTCTCCATTTAGAAATCCCATTTCAATTATTAATATAAGAACTTTTAGTCATTTTCATTAACTCCCAAATTGTTATTATTATATTAAGGATAATTTAGTGGCAAAGGATTAGAATATCATCTACACTAATATTGTTTAAGTAGCCTTGTTATATATGAATCATTTTAATGATATGAAAGAATTTTAGATTATTCAAAAGTTTAAATAAAATGTTGAATATATTACTAACATCAGGTTATCACTTAACAATTATGGCTTAATATTTATTAGACAGTCAATATGAAACAGGAATTTAATCATTATAAACATTACGCAATTCAAAATTTTAGAAAATACAACTTAACGAATGCTGGTCTTTTCGTATTAATTTGAATGCTATTAACATCTGTAAAATAACTAGAAGTTATTTATAAATTCAATTATAATAAATATCAATTTAGATTGTATATGAAAAATATTTAATTTCTCGCAACTCAAGTAATTTTGTGTTTTAAAAATCAATTTCACTTTGATATTATTAAATCTTTAAATATAAAGAGAAGGAATTTCATAAGTATTATGGTTCTATAATTTTTTAAGATCAAGAAGTTAATATGGTTACAGTATGTGACGGCTTAAATGTAATAAATTAATTTAGGTCTCTTTATTTACTTATTTATCAAAATACAGTAAATAAGAAAATGTTGAAATACTCCACCAAGAATCAGACATATATATTCGAAAATAGTTTACTTTTAAGCAATGAATATTAAGAATACATGCATAAAAAAAATATATTCGACAGCCAAAAATTCGTGCTACTATATTGAATCGGTTTGTTGCATATCAACAGTTGATCAACAAATTAAAGTCTGTTTATATGAATATTATATACCTTCTAATTCATTAATTTGTTATCTAATATATGTATTCTAGAATTTATGGATATGTAATATTATTTATGGCGTTTTCATTAGCACCCGCTACTTTATATCTAAATTAACATGTATTTAGTTAATTGTGTTAAAATTTAGAGATATTATTAAATTGCTATTATCATAAATTATTAAAATATATTTTAGAACGATAATGCAAGATAGAGAACATCTCTATTGAAAATGATATGGTTTGAAATACTTTAGGGGTTTGTTTGAATTGATTCGTTGTAATATGAAAATTTAATTTATTAAAATTTTATAAATGAAGATCTATTAAACACTTACTTAATTATTAAAATACTTTATAATTGAGATTATTTTGATTTTAGAGGATAGTGTTTATCTTTACTAGTCAAGTTATGTAAATATTATTAAATGAAGATATGTCTTAATCTTAATAGCAGCGATTATATTAGTAATAGTATATATCAAGTCTGTTTGAGATTAGTGAAAATAAAGATAAAGTCTTGATTCTTCAAAGAGCTGTGGGCTAATTATTTTTTATTTTAAAGAACTTTTTCGCGCTTTTAAGAGGTATATAATAAATGGCTCATATTTATCAGAGTGATAATGCAGAATATAGACCCAGCAACGAAGAGGAGGAAATAAACTAGAGTGAGAAGATAACTCGTAAATAAGACTTTACATGAAGAAAGTGAAGAAAATTACTAGGTTGAGGTTTAATAGAAAGTAACGAAAAAATATCAAAATTATTTACATGCCATTCAAAAAATGGGAGAATTCGATTGGACAGACGTCGAGAATACAAACAACCCCAAGGTTATTTACCCAAGTATGCAATATCTGATTTCTAGTTCAATTTTTGCAAGCATCTACTTTACAATTTATGATTGGAGCGATGTATTTCAATTGTGATCATGACTATCTTCAACATAACCTTTAAGAAGTTCAGAAATTGCTCAAGAAAACTGAATAAACTAATGGAACTTTATAATAAGAGTATAATTATCGATTAATTAAGTGATTGTAAAAAATAGAAAAATAAAAAAGGGTATGATGTGAATGATGATATATTCATTTTAGAAATGAGACAGTTGAGAATTCAGGATTTAGACGACATCATAGCCAATTAAGAGTAGCATTATTTTATATATAAAGATTGTAATTGGAAAAAATTTAGAAGGAAAATGAAGAAGCCCTACAACATTTTTTAACAGATGATATTCCAGATCTTAAACCATCAATCAAAACTGATTAATCTAATAGTCTTTTGAGAGATATTTTTGGATTAACAGAGTTTGAAAAGTAATACATAGAAAAAATAGAACTTAAAATATAGACAGATGGATAAAATGTTATTACTTAAGAAACAGGTAAGAAGACCTAGGGAGGTCGAAGTCATTTGCAACCAATTTTGGATGATGCTCTTTGTTAAGTTTGCAATGATGGAGATTATACAGATGATAATTTAATAGTATTCTGCTCTAAATGCAATATATCAGTCCATTAAAAGTGCTACCTAATAGAAGTAATACCAAATGAAGATTGGATTTGTGATGTCTGTTAGACATTTGGACCAAATGGATAATATTTACGTTGTGCTTTATGTCCTAAACTAGGAGGAGCCATGAAGCCAACTTAAATTGATGCTTCTTGTTTTGAAAACTTAAATTAAACATATTTTGAATCCCAAGGGGAAACAATGATGAAAAATGATTTAGTGTCTAAATTATGTAAGTATATTAACGACATAAATAGTCTAATAAATAGATGATGACGAAGAACTTTATTACGATTTTAGTAAATTGCCAAATAGAGACATTAGAGATCTTGAAAACAATAAAGATATCAAAGAACCTTAACCACAAAAGGTTTGGATTCATTTGTCCTGTTTCTATTGGTCACCTGAATGTTTTCTAGACGAAAAGCAAGACATATTGAGAGGTGTTGATAACATTAATCAAAAGAGATTTACTCTGAATTGTAGTTTATGTAACATCAAAAAGGCTGGAATGTGTATCTAATGTGCGAGAAGCAGTTGTTAAACTGGATTCCATGTTGAATGCGCCAGAAGATCAGGGATATTTTTAACTTAAACTATTGTAAATACAAAACCAGATTACTAAATATTTTGTTAAAAGCATGTTCCACTTAAAGTCAAACGAATTTTGGAATCGAAATAACGATTATATGAAAGAGAAATTATTGATTTCTTTAGAGCCTATGAAAGATGCAAATCTGTTCACAAAAAGTCTTAATAAAGAGTTAAGAAAGCAAAATCATCCAAGGAATCTCAATAATAGTTGGAACTCTAGGATCATTAGGAGAATGAGTTTGATTTAATTGATTTTGCAATAAAATTAAAAGAATTTATTGACTAACTATTAGATTAAAAATTCATAGTAAATTTAAGATAAGAACAAGGTAAATATGTTTTTGAGTCTCTAACAGAACCATAATTGAAATAATAAAAATAATATTACTTAACTAAACTACCAGAAGTATATTAAAGTAAGGTAGATTAAAATGGATTAATAATTACGTAATTCTATAAAAGTACTATCACTGCAACTGATGAGTTATGGAAATTCTTCAAATACAGAGACTTTGAAAAAGATATCATTTATAAAATGTATGAAAAATTGAGAAGAAGAGCAAGTAAGTTCATGCAAGAATTAAATCCACAAAAAAAGTAGGCCAAATTGATAGATATGCTTATGTTAAAGAAATTCAAAAAAAGCAAAAAATCTGATTAGAAAAAAGAGATATTCATTGAATAAGTAGGGGATGAGTATTATTAAAGAGATGACAATTTATATTGTGTTTGCAGAGGCAAATTTAAGGATGGAGATCCCATGATTTGTTGTGAATCTTGTGAGGAATGGTTTCATTTTGATTGCTTAGAAATAATAATCCCTTATGAGGAAATAAGCAAAATGAATTTCTACTGTTTTCTTTGCCTAGATGAATTGTCTAGGGAGAGATAAATTGAAATATATAGCAGTTATGCAAATGTATTTAAGGATACTTCTTTTAAATTGCAAAGAGAATTAGCAGATAAATGTGCATTAAATGAATCTCGAAAAACTAGAATGAATGAATAAAAGGAGGCTAAGTTAATTGAAGAGAACAATACAATAGAGCAAGACAATCAATAATTAGAATAGATTTAGGCCGAATAATAAAATAATAAATAAAATTTTGGACCTTTAGAAGAATCTGATCTTTATGTCAATAAATAATTGTAAAAGGAATTGAATTCTGGAGAAAATAATGATATATAAATAGAGATGCAAAATGATGGAATTGAAAAGAATAAAAAAGGGGATGAGCATGTTAAGACTCCCAGCAAGACACAATCGGTTGAGGATCCTGATAATAAATTAGAAGTACCAGAAACTTAAGAAAAACTAAATAGCAAACTTAAATAAAAATCTATTCATAACTATATACCTAAATAGTGATTCTAATATATTTCACATTATTATAAAATACAAGTGTCTCAAAATTTTAGGAAATATAAAAGTATTCATTTTATTATTAAATTTGATAACAATAACAAATAAAATATTAAATTCTTAATTTAATTAAATCAAAAAAAATAAAGGAAGGTACGGTTACTATTATGTGAGATTGAATATTTTAAACATTACTCGAACTCATTTTCTTTTTGGGCAATAAATTAAATTAATGAAGCCATAAATTTTTCAATGCTACATCATATCAAACAGCTTAGCAACAGTTTAATATAACAAATTATATTAACTCGTGACTTGACTATAAGCATTGTTTTAAGTTTGAGATAAGCATAGACTTTTGCGAAAAAAATAATTTAGAAATGGGGTTTCTTTTTTTTGAAATAAGTCACCATTTCTAACTTTTTTTTCTCTTTTTGCTATTATTTATGGTTTTGCTCTGAGAATAGTGTTTGAAATTGTCACTACACGTAGCACAAATTTGTGAATTATGATTGGAAGAGTGATAATAATAATAATATGGGGTATAAAAATTATATCCGTTTTTGAATTAGTTGTCTTGTTTTTGTATTTAAAGGCAAGGGTTGATTGGGAAATAATCATAAATATTATTAATGAAAGTTGCCATCACATTATTGGTTGTATTAGCCCTCGCTAACGCTGGTATGGTGCAAAAGTTCCCACTCACATACGGTGGAAAGAGAAGCATCATGAACATCATGGTTGAAGTCGAAAACAAAATCAAAGCCCACTCACCACTTGACACAATCAAGGGAGTTCTTGATAACTTCAAATCTGCAGTCGCCTAAGAATAAGGAACACACGATGAAGTCTATGGAGCTTAAAAGGCTGAATGCGATAGCGAAATTGCTTACAGAAGAGCTGAAGTTGAAGATGCTACTGGTACACTCAAAATCGCCAACGGTATCTTGAAGACCTCAAACATCTTATTGAAGAAGACCTAAGCCACCCTCGGTGAAACTGAAAACATCTTGAACACAGTCTCATAACACATTGGACTCATCAACGATGCCAGAAAGGAAGACACCCAATCATACAACAGAGGAGCCGTCACATTCAACGATGCCATCAACGCCATCGATGACTCACTTGATTTGGCTGCCGCTTTAGCTAAAGGAGGAGCCAGTTTGATCTAAGTTGCCGAAATGACAACCAAATTGATGAAATCATCAGTTGCCACCAAGATGAACAAGGCTTTCATGGCCCCATTGGCTGCTTTGTCTTAAATCACATAAGAAGAAGACTCAGTAGGTGCTGCTGAAAGACTTGCCCAATTATTGTAAACCTTGAGAACCAACGTTGAAGAAGCTTGGGCCTCATACACTGCTGAAAACACCAACGCCTTAGGTCTTTTCGCCTAATAAAAGGATTTATATCTTGCCTCATAAGCCAGACTTGATGCCTCAAAGGGAAGATTAGCCAACAAGGCTGAAAACTTATAAGGAGTTATCTCTGTCTAAACCGCAGTTGCTTAAGCCGCCACCAACAAGAAATAAAGAAACTAAACCTTATGGGATGATGCTGCTGACTTGTGCCACAGCTTCGACGTTGAATATGAAGCCGTCACTACCGGAAGAAGATAAGAATTAGTTTTGGTCTAAGAATTAGAAAGATTAGCTGAAAGAAGAGCTGCTGAATAATAATGAGATATAATCAAACCCATTTTTTATTCAATCTTTTCCCAATTCAATATTGTCCTTCAATGGACTTTCTTCCTTTTTTTCAATTGAAATGTCCTTGTTTCAAGGGAATTCTTAATCTTCTCAAATTCGTTTTAATTTACCTTTAAATAAAAACATGGATGTGTAAATCAAATAAATTATTAAAAGATTTTCTAATTTCTGCATTAATTACTTTATATTTATTATTATTATTAATAATAGATCAATCGCTACTACCAAAGCATCTATGCATAGCAAATCCTCCACATGCGATAACCATAATAATGTAGATAGCCAACAATCCCACTAATACAAGAATGATTGTCATTTTTTTGTTTCTCCACCACATTTATCTTCTCAAAGTTGTTGCATTTTCCTTCATACTTGTTGAAATGCTAAGGCTAATAAATTTTTTTACTTAACCATGACATTTGTCTTTTCCACAAGAATATCAATTTTCTCTCCTCTTTCCAATAATTTGTCTAAATTTTCCATCATTACTTCTTTGGTTTACTAAATGTTATCAGAAACCATTCTTAATTTATCTGCCTAGGGAGAATTATAATATTCAATTTTATTTTTTTATTCCTTTCATAGTTTTAGACATATTCTTACTATAGAAAATTATGAATTTAATCCATACGATATAGCTTAATCTCTTTGTTGTGGTTGAAACATCTAAAAAAATTTTTATTTCATATCCTCTAAACAAGCAAATGCAATTCTCATCTTCAAACCTCTTTCTGCCATTATCAAAAAAGAAAATCCGTCTTCCACTAAAATATGAAACTCATATTATTCATAATTGAATGATTTCTTAGCATTTTATTAGTTAACCTTTTAATCACAATATCACTTTACTTTTGAAATAATTGTTTTAGCAAATGCAATATAGTTACCCTTGGCTATTGAGTACTCTGACAAGACAACATTTGAACCTCTTACAACAACTGCGTATATAATCTATGGATTTGATGATTACATTAATTATACAATAATATATATATTAATGCGTCAATATATAATTATACATCTTTAAAAGGAAATCTATAAGTCTTTATAATTAAAACATATAATATTTTGCAATAAAATTAAAATATAAGTCACCAATTTATAAATATCAACACCTTGGAATATATATTTTGGGCATTTAGCCTTGATAGCATAAAAAGAATTAGAAAAATTAATAACAAAGATCTAAATAACTGAATTTAAAAGTTAAATTATATAAAAAGACTTCTTTGCTTTTCTATATTTCACTGAATTTTAGCAATATTAACTTAAAAGATACTTTTTAGTTACATTTTTCATATATTTAAGAAAAATATTTATTCCTATTCTTTAAATGATGATGATGAATTGAAAAATAGAATTACATCTATCTTTTAAGTAGAGAAGAAAACAAATGCTCATCATGAGGGTTATTTCTAATTAAATTTTAAGTATATTTTCTCATATTAAACAAATATTATCATATTTCCAAAAGTAAATTATCCAAAAATTATTGAAACCTCTTCTAACTCAATAATTTACCGAGTATAATCCTATTTACATATCTTTAAAAATGGTTCCAGATATATTAACAATCTATCGAATTTTGATTAACCTCATTATCATTAATCCAGTTCTATATCAAAATTATCTATTAATATGATATATCATAATTTGCTATCCTTTATTAGAGAATCTAATTAATTTATGTAGTTCGTTCTCGCTAAATAATTGTACTAGAACGCAGGTGTAATGATTTTTGTATGAATGAAAGCTAGGAATATAGATGAAATTTGAAACATTAATAATTGAAATGATAATTTTATTGCTGATTTAAACATGCTACAGTTCCAGTTTATTTGATAACTCAACTAACAATAACATTACAGATCTATTCACTAGATGTAAAATTAAGGGAGGGAATAAAGACAATCTATTATTTCAGTGTTCATAAATGAATGCCATAATTTCTAAATCATCATTGAATGATGAATTCATCTATGCATATTCCTTCAATAAAACAGAAGATGTGTAACTAAGCAACATGCTTCTAAGCGAATTGCTTATAGATCCAGAAACTCAACAATACCAAATTAAATTGCAAGTTTTATACAACTCATACTATGGAGATTTGCTGTAGGTGATTACATCACTTTCAGTTCATAAATACTCATTCTATAATTACTAAGCAACTGTGATTGATGGGATCTTGAACATGATTGGACTTCTAGGTAATTATATGATTTCTAAATATAGTAAGTCATATCAATGAACAGTATTTTACGTGTTATTTTATCCCAATCCATCCAAGTAGGGTCAATTCTTTTCCATTGAAGGCACTCAACTTTACTTGTGATACTACTTGTGATATCAGAGGATTTACACAATATTACAATAAATAAAGAAATAGCCTAATAGTTGTAATTGCAGAAACGAATATTTTAAATCTGTTAGAGTACTCCTTTTTGGATTGGCAATTGAGATATGTTTCGAAATATTCTGTTTCAGACTTCCTAGATAGAAATGAGACCATTATGGAATTAAAATCATTTGAAGATTATTTACTAGTTGAATTACAAACTTGTTAAGCATTATTTTCGATTTCCTCCATTATTTTTGAAGTTCAACTCTTAAAATTTTTCTCCAAATCCCCTTTACATTTTGATCATAACACTAATCTGATATTTTAGAAAGTCAACAATTAAACTCAAGTCTTTTACATAGAGAATAATAAAAATTGGTTCACTTAACAATAAGTTATTTAATAACAGATCTTAGATGCTCCTTTTACTGATTCCATATTTGTTCTAAATGAAAGGTAGTTCGTTTTTATTTATGACAACATGGAAATATTAAAAATATAAATGGATATATAACAGAATATCATTTAAGAGGAGGAGTGCTTAAACGAATTTACCTAATTTCCATATCCCAATTATTAATCTTTACTATATTAACTCCAATTCTTAGGAGAGGACATAAAATAAAATTCTTCCAAAATTGCACCTCTCTAAGAATTGTAGAATTACACTTCTTGTCTTAAGCCTTGTGATCTTTTATATTATAACTATGAGATCTCTTTAGTTCCATACGAATAATAGTGTATTAGTTCTGAGTTATTTTAATAATTTACCGATTATTGCAGTTTCCAAAGCAGTTGCTCAAAATGTAACACTCAAATTGGTTGCAATTGGCAAAATGATTCTTGCCAGAAGGAAACTCAAATGTATGAGATTGATTTATCCTCAAATGAGTAAAGTTCTAAGTGGTATTATGGCAAGATATGGAAATGCGAGGAAATACAATCCTAATCCTCCTCGGCCTTTTGCGACTACAATTAAACTGAGTTTTCATTGAATAAATAGTTTACCTATTAAGGGAAAATAAGAAAAGGGTAAATTTGTTCTTGGTTCTTTGATGCTGAGGAAATTCAGTAATTCAACATATTTTTCAAGGCTAACCTCGTGAACATCCCTTCTTATGTTTAGATATCTATTTGTTTAGGTTTAAATAAGAATGAGATTTGCACATAAATGAATTTTGTACCTTGGGATCTCAATTAGACCACGACCTATCCCTTCAAAGCCTATTACTTTAGATACACTATTATATTCGTTGAAGATAATTTGGCCAATAATGTTTCATTCTCCTTTTATAATTCTCCTCCAATTTCAATGGCAGAACGACTCAAATCTTCGTTGCTGTAGATGTTGGTTTGGCTCTTATGCGGCATTTTCCTATTTTGTATTATGGGATACATGGCTAAGAGAAGACTATAGTATTTGGTAGCCCAAACAATAGACAATGATCTAATCTACGTAATTGTTTGTATTTCTAATTTAGATTGCCCCGTATTTACAACACTAGGTTCCTTTGTCGAATGAGAGATTGAAGAATGTAATGCAGAATTTAATTGATTAAGAAATAATTACGAAATATCCATCTGACCCCTCTTTATTGTTGTATGGAGAGGATTAGTGTTCATTTTGCTTTGATCAATTTGATGTTTCCTAATTCGTCGCTCAATTATTTTGTGGCCATGTTTATCACTATAATTGTTTTGAGGATTGGATGAGAATCAAAGGGTTTTTTGATAAATGTCCGATTTGCAATTAGAAAGCAGATTACTTTTTAGCCAACAAAGAAGAGTATGCAATCATTAAATCTTAAATTTTGGACAGATTAAATGAGTCGGATAATCATACTTCTCATTTAATTAAATGACACTATATAATATTAATTAAATTATCATGTAACGAAGCAGCACTAACCCCATATTTCTGTCTCCAGATCAATTCGCCACTCTCTTCAATCAGGGAATTCGAGAATCACTTTATTTGGATGAAATGTAGGACCAAAGAGAACTCAGTTTCTCAGCTCCTAAGTTAGATGAAATGAATTAATCAAACCAACTTAATTAGTCTAGTAATTTTTTACCAGAATTCCCAAAGGATGATGTTGTCATAAGTATTATTCCTTAAAGTCTATGCTTAGTATCTAGGCAATTATATGAATAATCGTAAAACATCGAGTAACATAATAAACAGTTGAGCGAATCATATCAAAGAATATTGAAATAGAACAAAGAGTTGTTGAACAAAAGAAAAGAATTGGAAGAAGAGAACTCCGCTCTACTAGAAGAAAACTTTGACCTCAAGAGATAGGCTCATGAACTTTAATAAAAATTGACGCTAGCTCAAAGTCAAATGCTCATCAAGAGAGATTAAGAAATACAAACTTTAAAACAACAAATTAAAGAATTGTAGAGTTAATCAACCTCTAGAGATTCAGCTACCAAGACTGAAGGAAGTACTGCCACTTCTCACAAATCATGTTTTGGATCAAACACTCATCGAGTTCAATCCAATGAACAATCTAAAAATCCATCTAGATTTACTTCTCCAGTTCCAAAACAATAAACCTCAGAATTCTCAGTTTTCAATTAATACAATTCGAATACTGTCTTCGGAAAATAACCCTAATTATGAATTACATCTAAATGTATATATTATTTGTTTTAATATTTTATCCTTACATTTTGTTAAACATCATATTCTATTTTTGTATTTTCATAATTTATATAAATTAATTATATATCCTTATCATATAAATTGAATTATATATATGATTTAATACCTAATAGCTGTAATAAGAAAGAGAAATTGTATAACATAATAATTTACTTATTCTACTGAAATGGATGGGAGTGCATATGGAAAATAAGATAAATTATATATATATCTCTATTTGTAATTGACTTAGAAGGAGATGGATCAAATTTAAAGAAAAATAGTTGAATATAAATTACAATATTATCAACTAATAAACTGAATTTAGAAGAACACAATAAATTATAATTCTAAAAATAGAAAGTTAACTTTAGAGAGGTTTTTAAATATTAATAATAATTAGATTTAACTTCTATTAATAACAAATAAATAAATTATGTTAATATTTATATTTGATTACAACATCAATCTCAATACATCATAAACATTTGGTCTAAATTAGATTCTTATATTGTTTTGTCCCTGGCAAGTTTTCATCCATTACTAATCTGAATAGATTGTCATCTTATAGTTTTATTCCTTAATCTAGCTTATCCTTGTATGCTTCGTTTATTTCCTCTATAATTTTAGGTGTAAGAGTTTAATCGAGAGGTCTTTTTTCTTTTTTCATCTTAGCTACTATTTTCAGAATGATCTTCTTAAATCTTAAGTACTTGCTCCTAAGATAGGCATTTTGAATATCAATCATATCCTAAGTCATCTTGGTATGTTGCTTCTCTCTTGCAGGTGTAGTCTTGAGTGTTTAAGGGTTATAATTAATTTCCATGATGTGAATTTTCAGATCATCAGTCAAAATAAAATCAGCAGCAAAGAACTCTGCTAATCTACTGTCTTTTGTTATCTATCCTTCCACAGACTTAATAGAATGGATGATCATTCTATCAACTGTAGGATAGAGATAATTTTAGAGCCACTTTTTGTCCTTAATCTTCCCCTATTTTAGTAGCAACTCTTGCAAATAATCTAATTTCCAATCAATAAACAATTCAGATTCATCAGCATTTTCATCATCCATATCCAAATCAGATCCTCTCTATTTCAGAGTACTCTTCACGATGGCTGTATTACAAACATGAGCCTCCTTATTCAAAGAAAATTTATCAAAAGGAGCTATACACCTTCTGATTAAGGTGTTATCATAAGCATAGGCTATTATTGGGTTGGTGGAGGCCAGGACCCAATATATTCGAAACTCTATCTTATGTTTATTGTAGAGCATCGGATTTCCAATATACTATTGTGCTACTAACAGTGAATGATCTAATCCGCATCTCTTACCATATCGATAAGTCTCTTACAATTTTTTAGTTTCGGCAGGAAACAGGACTTTTATACCTCTGCCTCTATGAACCTCTAAACCTACTTTGGTAATAAATTAGGGTCCTTCCTCAGCTATTTTGTCCTAATACTCACTAGAATTCAAATAATCGAAAAATTCCTTGCAATCTTATTTCTAAAATAAACGATAGGTTTTCGGGATGAAGGTTGCATTGTTGATACACTCTTAATCAACACCTTTCTCTCGTAGAGAGTCTATGTATTTATATTAGTTATTCATAAGGTTGTCTTTATGAGAGAGAACGTGTCTTGATGGCAAATGGTTATATTTTTAGAACAAGCATAGAGAAGCTAATATCTATAAAATAATCTCTACCTTATCCAACTTTAAATTTATGTATCAATTAGTCGTAGTAGGTGAATGGTAAAGTCAATTGTTCTGGTAACACATATTTAGATAAGACTAGGTATTTATTAGAATATAGATGGTTACTTTAAGTATTCTGTATTTTAAAGTACATTTTGGGAATGCAATCATAATATGACGATCTCAATGCATCTCTGATAACTCCTCTGGCTTCACGAAAAGTATACGTGTCGGTCATAATGACATCAGGGTGATAAAATTTGTATATGTCTGATCTTTTACAATAGTCGTATTCTGGTTTGACCAGAATTGAATTATACTAAAAATGGCAAATAAATTTGTACTGCAGAATGATTGGCTGGAGGAGCATAATAGGTTGTTGTTAAGTATTTGTTCAGGTATGTTAATATTTGTTCAACTTCTTACTTATTTTTATACACAAGCGAAATCCTTATAAAATTGTAAATGAGAAGATGACTTAATATTGACATGATTAAGACAATCACTTTACCAAACATTTTATTTTAATTATATTCGTTTTTTGTTCAATAAAATTTATTAATCCCAATTATTATCTATATTAAAATTTTATACATCTTTGTAAGACTTAATTATGAATCACTTATTTTACCATTTTAATTAAATTAATATTTTCATCACTCGTTCAATTTTAACACATTTTACTTAAGATTTATAAAACAAAAAGATGAAACCTTATTTATTATCAGTAGAATATATCAATTTAATAACTTATCATAATAATTAAATATTTGATTGAAGAGAGTTTTAGACTTAGGAGATAAATATATGGGCATTTTCTAATGAGTTTGTGATAAGATGATATAAGAAAATTTGGATTGGGACACATTCATTTTTTAAAGAAAATCTATTGTAATTTTTTAAAAATAAAATTAGTTTTATGTTTATATATTTCAATTCATTCAGATAAATTTCCCGATTTTGGATGCTAATTTAATGCAATGAAATAGAATGGGATTTTATGAAGTCATAAATAAAATAGAATGAATTTTGAGAAGATAAAAATCAGTGATATAAAAATAAATAATTAGTTTTAGCAAATAATTCCCTTTATGTCTTGTCCTGTGAAGCAAATACTTATAGTAATTTCTCTTCTATATCGTGAATATTAACGGAATCTACAAGTGATATAATTTCTTATGAAAAATGTGAAATAGTTTATGAATGTAATTTCATTTATTGTTTAGAAAATAGAAATTTTGGCTAAGGAAATGGTTTTTATTAAGGTATTTCACTCATGGATGGTCGAATCAATACAGTTTTTTAAGGTGCTTTTTCTAGAATATTGGTATTTCTTGCATTTTAAGACCTAGCTCTATTGAACAAGGCTTCTTCTATTTTCAGCTATTCTAATAATCCTCTTCTTTTAATTTCAACAATATTTTAAGTTTTTTTGGAGCAAGCCTTCTCTAAACTCTCTTCCAATCTTTTTAGTCTCTGCATATCCTGCTATTTTTTATCTTCTAAACATTTTTAATAACGAGCCAAAGTTTCGTCTACTCTAGTACTTCTGGGAATTAAATATTAAGCTTATTTAAGGAGCTCCCATTTCTAGAGTTTAGCATCATAACTCATTCTTCTTTTAACTTGCTTATCTGTTATTAATTTCTATATCATATCTCGATTTCTTTAGACTTATTCTAGTCGAGAAGTATCTTAAACTTCTTTTTAAAATGCACGTAATTCTCTCTCGCTGCTAATTTATTTCCTTCTGGTTTCAATCAATTGCTCTTTATATGAATATTGTATTAATTATTATTCTCTTTAATTTTGTTAAAACTTCTTCATCTTCAACAATTTGTCATTAATTCTCGAAGTAGTCAAGTCCTCTTGTTTGTCTTCTGGAGATTATGATTTTTGGTGAATTTGGGTTTCTTCTGATTTTTTATTTAATAAGTCATTATATTCGCTCAGCAACCTCTATCTTCTTTTTTCGTATTATTTCATGATTGTTTCCTAATAGAATTGAGAATCATTTTCATATTCTGGAGGTACTTTGATTTTCTTAAGAGGTAATAGGTCTTGTTCGGTGATACCCATTTTTTTTAATATTTGTTAATTCATTAATAATAATGTAACATACGATTCACAATTTCATCTTTTGCTTGTTTGGTGATGTGATTCTGTTCTTCAGCCCAATCCATAGTCTTCAGGAATCTATTCTCCCATGTCAATTCGTAATTGGTCAGAACTTGTACCTTATCAACTAAAGAGATATCAATAATAGATGGTCCTATTGAGAGTGGTTCACCATCAATCTAGACATAAGAATTTGAAGGGTATATAATCTATATCTTTCTACCTTAGCCAAGTTGATATGGTTTATCCAATCCCACTTGAATTCGACCCAAATGCAGAATACTTGTAACTCCAATTATCTCTAAAAGTCCATCATTCATTTTTTATTGCTTAAAGTCTCCATCTTATTCCCATAATCCAGTAACCCCTCCACTCCAAGAATTGATGTTTAAAATAATAACATTTTCAACCTAATCTGGAATATCTATAACCTAATCATCACAAATGACTTTTATTTTCTTTCCCAAACCACTCTTTTCATTCTTAATTAAATCATTCAAACCCATCTATGTATAAATCAGCTTATTCCCCAATCTGCTTTTAAATAATTAAGGCGATGTCTATCTCAAATTATGAAAATCATAGCAAAACTTTGCATCTAATCCAATTCCAAAATAATTAAATAGCTTAAAATTCTTATTCCCTATCTTTACATTCCATCTATCCAATAACGTAACATTCTCATTGTTCATTATTTTTGATAACACATGAGATGCATCCAGTTATTCGTATGTTCCACCCTTATCTTATATTACTAGATCATTACCCATCCCAATGCTCTGCTCAAATCGTTTCCTGTTCCTAATGGTAGAATGGCAATAGGAGGATTCCAATCAAATTCCTTGATATAATTTATCACACTCGCAACTGTACCATCTCCTCCTGCAGTGATCAATTTCGCTGTCTTTATATGTGTGAAATTCTTTAATTTATGCATTTCCTAGATATTCAACACTTGGATAGGGTTTAAAAATCTAAATATAAACTCTATATACCTAAGAAAAGATTTATAAAAGTCTACGCCTACTTATCCTCCAGACTTCTAATTGATAACAACAATTATTGGTTTAGTGAAGTTTCCATTCGGTAAAATGATTGCATCTTTGAATTCCCCAAAGTCACATTATTAATTTACTTTGTCTTTGCATTCTTCATGGACAACCTTTTAACACCAAAGACAACTTTTGCCTTCCAAATCAAAGAAGTATCCACATGTTAATCCACAATGGCAACATATTGAATTCATAGGGAGATTTCCGCTCAGCCATTGATGACCAAGCTCATTCTAAGTGGATTTTATAAATTTGCATTATATTTGATTTCTTCTGCATTTTTTGTGAACATAAATTCCGCATATTAGACATTCATGATATTGTGCTCCCCATAGACTAAATAGCAGCTTTTTGCAAACATTGCAAAATAGTAATCCACTACTTTTAGATTCAGCATAAGAATGCTCAAGAGATTCATTCTCTTTTCCTTCTGTTTTCTCCTTTCTTATCTTGGATTCAATCTTCTACTTTAATGGTTTGGCACTCATGAAACAGCCTATTGCAAGTGCAAAAATGACCCCTAAAATTAAGTATATCATTTAAATAATAATGAGACTTACAAATAATAAAATATAAAATAATCTCAATCATTTGTACTTTTCAATATATATAATATTCAATTTTGTTATTGAAATAATTATAATGCGTACGTCTAGATCATTAATTAATATCACATAATACATAAAGAATAGACTTATAAATAACAATTATTTTAATGGGAAAAAAGACTGTTTTGATTCTTACATTTATTAGCTATGCGTAAATGCATGCAGCCAGAACTCTATGGTCATACATGCAAAAATATTTAACTATCGATGACTACAATAAAAACAAAATGGGCTAAGCATATTTGACATTCTTATTAACCTATGGAATAGGGATGAATACAATTGGCCCAATGTGTTGCAAAAACAGTTTGAAACATTCCATAGGAATTAGTTGTATGGCTGTTGGTATGTTGTTTGCGATCCTTGGAATATTGCAAGAGTTCCAACTCTTAACCTTGTAAGATTTAAATTTTAAGGAATAGCCCCTTGGTCATAGTCTTAATGGCTATTAATGGTCTAATCCAATCTGCATGCTACCCTGCATGTGTGAACGTATTGGGCAATTGGTTTAAGAATCACAAGGTAGGCCTAATGATGGGTTTATGGTCTGGTTGCGTAAATGCGGGGGATATTTATGGATTGATAATTGGTGATGTTGTCATTTAAAGACTTGAAATGCCCGTTTATTGGGGCTTTTACTTTATGTCCTGCTGTCTAATCCTAGTTAGCGTGGCCACATTATCTTTCCTATAGAGCGAACCGAGAAATCAAATTTAAGGTATGAACGAATCAGAATCTGCCCCTCTGATATTGAAATAGAAAAATAAAAATTTAAATATTCTATCAGCTTGGATGGTTCCTGGGGTTGCCATCTATGCAGTGGGCTACGCTTGTCTTAAAGGAACTTTTTATGGATTCCTAGATTGGCTACCTTTCTATTTTTAACAAAAGGGAGAGAAGCTCGAAAACCATTCCTCCTATATTTCATAAATGTTTGATGTCGGTTGCTATGTAGGAGGAATCTTCCTAGGATACTTGGGCGATAAATATAAGCGACGTGCTTGTTATTTCGTACCAAGTTTGTTATTGGCTATGTGTTCAATGTTGGTGATTAGATTTTGGTTGGATTTAGTAGTCTGGCCCTACTATCTTTGCATCTTGGCTATAGGTATATTCCAGGGAGGACCTTACAACAATATATCAGGAGTCATCTCTATTGAACTTACTAAGTAGTTTGAAAATGATAAGGCAGCTATATCGACTGTTTCATCATTAATTGAAAGTACTGGAACTCTTACAGCTGCGATGTTTCAGGTCATCATTCCAAGGATTGGTGACGAACATTTATTTACATTTTTATGTCTCATTACATTACTGGCGGAATTAGTTTGCTGTGTCCTCTTATTCAGAGAACTAAAATCTAAAAAAAGATCCAAATGATCATAATAATGTATTATAATTTAAATTTATACAATATCATTATTCCTATTAGGCAGCAAGTGCCGCCGCTTCTTTAGCTCTCTCCTCTTCCTCTTGCAATCTCTTCTGCTCTACTTCCCTGTCGTATTTATCTTTAGCAAATGAGAATGCCTTCTCCTTGAGTTGCTTTGTCACAAAGATATTATTTATTTTTTCTAATCTTACCATAATATTGATTGTATCTAATAGATAATTGGGACTTTTAGACTCAAAAGGGTTTCCTTTGTACAACAACCTTTTCAAATTTGGGAGAGTTTGCAACTTGGTAATTTCATCGAATTTATCAATTTTGTTCTCCCTAATATCAAAATGAACAATATTCTCCAAGACTGGGAATGTTTCATCAAACCCTTCAATCTAGATCAATATTAAGTAAATACTAAGTTTTTTCTTAATTGCAATATTTGAATAGAAGTGAGCAATTCAACTCCCTAAATCGCCTTGATTTTATTTTCACTCAACTTGAGTTCTTTCAATTCAGGTAGATTTTAAAACTAGGTTAAAGCTGCGATTTTATTTCTCTTCAAATATAATTGCCTTAATTTTGGGTTACCATCAAAAGTATCCATTTTTTCAATTTTATTATCATTCAGATTAAGTTATATTAATGGAACTTTGATGGGCCCTAATTCTATAAGTTTATTGGAAGCAGCATTAAGATACTTAAGAGATTTGAAAGCCTCCTCATTGGCAAGGGATTTCAAATCCTTAATATTGTTGCCTTCAACATTCAACCTGATCAAATACGGCAGTTATGAAACTAGATAGTATGAATTATACGTTGCACAATTTCAGTAATGTTATTCCCACTTAAATCTATAGATTCGATATATTTGTAATTTCCAAAGGTTTGAGTCAAAGCATCTACATTCTTTTGATTTAAATTCAAGATCGTAAAATGATATCCACTATTATCCTAAACCATCTTAAATCCTGATAGATTATTCATAATGAGTTCTTCAAAATTGATTTTAGATTTGGATTCTTCCTATTGCTTTTGTTACTTCTTAGGTTCTTTCTTAGACATATTAATTTAATATTAATATTAATATTATGTTTTATAAATCAAAACAATCTCTATTTAGCTTCATCACCATCTCCTACTAATCCCTTTTATTATGCAAATTTATAATGTAAATCGACAACATCGATTCCATCATGTACTTTAGTCCAACCATTCTAATGAATGTGGTAAACTAGAATGATCTTCAATTGTTACCTCTAACTACACCACCTGAAGCAGTGTCTCTGTGTGTTGCATGATAAATAGCTCTGACTCCCAGTTCTACTGCTTCATCCAATGATAAATCGTATCTATAATAATTGTCCAATACACCATAAGCATATGTACTACCACTGCCAACTGAGAAGATGTCTCCCTTCAATCTCATCCCATCATTATCAATGTAATATAAGTGTTGTCCAGATAGATCAGTACCAGCTATCATACAACCCATTGAGAGACCAGAGTTTTTATAACCAATAAGAATTCCTTACAGGAATTTGGAGGCAGCCGCCACACTCAATTTACTTCCATTTTTTAATTCATATGTTCTACAATGATTGGCTAAATATGCCAACCAATATTAACAATCAGCTGCACCTCCAGCCATTGTACCTATAATAATTTGAATTATACGCATACCTAATAGATACTCATTGATTTCAATGACCTTTCGCACTTGTTCACTACTCAAAAAACTACCCATACTAGCTCTTGAATCTACTGCCAAAAGAATGCCCTCTTTAAATACAAATCCCAATGTTGTTGTTCCATGTTTGAAATTATTTAATTTATTTCCTCCATTTGTTTATGTTGGACCATTTAAGCTTCTGTAAATCACTTAAGGTGCACTAGGCATACTTAAAGTATTAATTTCATCTTTGTCTTCCTTTTAATATGTGTGGGCTAATCCAAATGTTGAGGGATCGAAATCAATCATTTTAATATTTTAATTAAATAATCATCCTTATCTCAAGAAATATTATTAAATATTAGTGAATGGTCTTAGTTACAAATTGTGTTAAATTAAGTATTAAATTACACATATATTTTAAATAAATATACTTTATAATATGAAAAGCAATCATCATCGAAGAACAAAATCGAGTGGAAACTACTTTCCCATTTAATCTGAATTTCTTGTTTAAGATGATGATGATGACACCAATGAAACGAGAGCTATTATTAAAAAAATATAACAATAACCTATTCTGCATCATTAGATTGTTGAAAAACTTGATGATTAAAATTATGGATTGTTCAATACTATGTTTAATTTTGGTCAAATGAAATATAAACCAAAACAATCTTTAGACTTGAGCACAATTACAGAGTGCAGTTGTAATGAATTCAGTTATTCTTAGCTACACCCTCAGCTAAAGATGCTTAACCTAAACATAGAAAATGTGGAAGCCAATAACAATAAGTGAACAAATAACCTATACGTCATAATCATAGCTAAAGTCTCTAAATCCATCGACTTGAATAAGAATTGGAGTAAATGAAGGCATAGCAGGCTGAAATCTAAAATGTGAACGTAATGCTCATTATTGAAATTCATAAATCAAGATAAGAGCTACAAATATCCTAATAAGTAAATTATCATCCTCATATAGAAAAATGAACTAATCCTTCAAAGAATCAGAAAACTAGAAAAGATGTTGAAAGATGATTAAAAATTATCATGTACAACTAACGACAGTCTTGAATTTTCCTGAGAAAAATACTCATTTTTGTTAAACATTTAAATAACATCAATATCTAATAGGAATTCGGTTTCCACTTTATTATTTTCATATTTTTATGGACAGAACACTTATTTGTGAAAATCGTATTTTGTATGAACCTAGAATGCAAATCCACCTTATAGATAGTAACGATCAATTTCTTATAACAAATTTTATCAATTTTAATACATATTATGAGAAGTAGAATTATAGGCAATCAATTATACATTCTTAAAAAATGACATATCTACAAAATTCATTAAGACTAATATTAATAGGCACATTCAAAATATGATTTCTCCTTTTCCTTTGAATAATCATGTTAGCCTGAAGGTAAATTAGGAAATTTTGAGCTCTCTGTTACTCCAAAAATACTCAGCGTTTCTGACTGAAGTATCCCATGGAAATCACTTATTTAGACATTTTCAATTTGATTCTTAATCTCAATAATTTCCTATTTCTATTAAATGATATCTTACATTAAATGCATAGTTCCTGTTGTAAATTTTATCCCATAAAAATTCATCATTATTTTAATAATGCAATATCAATTGTTCTTTTAGATCATCTAAATTGAACCTTTATTATTCAATCAATAACTGAATTTATTCATTTAATTTTAGTACGCTATCAGTGCCTTAATTATAGAATAGTAATCCATCCATACAACCAATACTTTTAAAACTAACCTAAATTGCTTATTAAGATTCAAAATGCAATTACAACAATAACAGGGCTGCTTATGTAAGATAATCCCTTTATCCTACCAAGAAGTATTTTAGAACAGCATTTTGTTTTTATTTGGCTGGCAATTTGATTATATGAACCAAATTTTTTTCAATTTATAAAGTTTTCGTAATAGTTTCAATTTCATTAGGATGAAACTCTTAAACCAATTACTTAGCATTTCGGATATCAATATTCCCACTAATGAATGCTGTATACTTAATATCTGAAAACATATCTGTTAAAAATTAAGAGAATTCATTAAATTTCAAATCCTAAAATTCTTTAATTATGTCTGCTGGATCATTCACAGGTCGTAACATCAATTTTGGTAACCAGTATTGAACTAAATAAAACTGAGTTTTTTAAAAATAATACTCCTAAAACTAATTTTTTAAATCTTCTTTGATATTCTTAAACTTAGATTCATCCTTTATTTATTTTAAATTCTATAACACTTAATTTTTAACTGCTTCAAATGTTAGACTCCATCCTGATAGCATCAAGGATATCCCTTTCAAGCTGCTTTCTACCTAAACATTGAAACCAGCCGAAATGGCGTCCAAGTTCGATTGTTCTATATACATTTAAGCAACTTTTAGAATTGCCTTAGATTTTGCAATGCTATAACCATTAATTGGTTTGTAGAATAGAATTCCTAGAAACACTCTATTTGTGCGATTATCGTATTGCCACCACAATTCTTGAGATATCTGTAAAGGAGTTAAAACTGGAATTTAGTAATTTTTTTAAGATTGATCTAAATCTAATGGAACATAAGGAGTTATGGGCTTATAAATTGGTTCTATGTCATTAGGAGAATCATTCTGAAGCTTGGGTTCTGGTAACGTAATATTAGTTGGGACAATCTTTTTAGTTGTGTAAAAATTGTAATTGGGTTGCTCGATAGGAATGAACTGAGATAGATTGGGTAGTTTTAACTATGAAATTAATTACTCATCTATATTGGAAACAGTAGTATAATCTAACAAAATATTGGAGTATTCTATTGATTGCACTTTTTTATTCACGAAATTAGAGTTCAAGAATTCCTCTTTGTTTAAAGTTGTTAATTCTTGGTAGATAAATTACCCTTATTCAATAATAATGACTCCAGATTAAATATTATCAATAATTGCATTAAAATCCTTTTTGGAGAATTCCTTATCGTCAACATATTTTTAATAGAGAATTTATAAATTGTAGAAATCTTTATGGCAGTTTAATAATGTTTTTTCATTTTATCTCTTTAAAAATGATCCAAAATTATAGATTGCATTAGCTAATGTGATGCTATCAGCATTACATTCTTAAATATTAATTGCTAAGAAATCAAAATCTAAAATTTCAAATTGACATTTAAGAATTGTTTGTAAAGAATTTTATGTTTTTAACAATAACAAATGTTTAAAAAATTCATCTTGCTTAGTTGGATATATCAAAATTGTTGAGTTTAGATTGGAATTGATTCTGATTTGATTATATAAAATAGGCTCTAGATCCCAAGAATCAATAATGGATGTTCCAAATTCCTTTTACAATAATTAAGTATCAGAAACAATCATATAAATTTCTTAATTTGAGAGTGAAGACTCTATAGTCAACCTAAGTGGATTAGAAACCAATATTAATTCTATGTAATTTTATAAATCTTAAATCTGCATGGGCTCAGTCATAATTTCATTATTTAAAGATATAGCATCTAAGACTCTATCAATTTTGGAAATGAGATCTGCATCATTGATTTCTATTTCTTCACCGTTAATATTATCCAAATCATCTTAAGTGTATTCTCTTGCAAGTGAATCTGCGAACTTTCTAATGCAAGTTTCCATTAATTCGTTTTTAATGTGTATAGTTACAGTACTCATGTATGGTCTTTCATTCAATTGTGCTTAGGAGCACTACTACTTCAATAATAGATGCATGAATAATGTATTGTAATCATCATCATGATAGCCATGGTAGATTACAAATTACAAAGTACCAATTTCCACTAATTTTTCTTAGACTATCAAGGTTAAGCCATTCTTGTATTGCCAACCTTGCAATTGTCCTTCATTCCATGGTTCAGCTTCAAATATTAATTCTTCAAATTGTTCTTCTTCTGGTTCTGGCATGATGTTATCAAATTGAGTAACATCTTCAGGACTAGTTAAAAATTGCATGATGTCTTAATCTTCCTTATCCAAAACCATAGTATTATCAATATCATCTATATTCTCAATTTCATTGACTTTCAATTATTGGATTTGAGGGATCGCAGACGATTATCTTTGATTGGCCAAAGCATACTTGAAGAGTAAATATACTAATAAAATGAGTATGATGAGTTGGATTATGTAACAAAGAGTGGAGAGTATGCCACGTGTTTCAGGATCCTTAGGTTTCTTCACTTCTTGACGTACTAATCCCTAATTTTCTTCATCCATTTGCATTAATTAAATGTTTAATCCATTTCGATATATTGCTGATTTTCTACACTTGGTGTCATTTCTGATACTCATTTTAAAAATCCGCAAAACCAGAAATTGCTTAGGTAACTTATGAAATAAAGTATTANAAAAATCTTTATGACAATTTAATAATGTCTTTTCATTCTATCTTTTTAGAAATGATCCGAAATTGTAAATTGCATTAGCTAATGTGATACTATCTACATCGCATTCTTAAATGTTAATTGCCAAGAAATCAAAATCTAGAATTTCAAATTAGCATTTAAGAATTGTTTGTAAAGAGTTTTGTGTTTTCTGCAATAATAAATGCTTAAAAAATTCATCTTGTTTTGCTGGATATATTAAAATAGTGGATGTTTGATTGGAATTGATTCTAATTTGATTATACAAAATGGGTTCTAGATCCCAAGATTCAATTATGGAAGTTCCAAATTCTTTTTGCAATAATTAAGTATCTGAGACAAGCATATAAATTTCTTAATTTGAAAGTGCAGATTCTATTGTCAACCTAAGTGGATTGGAAACCAATATTAATTCGATGTAATTCTATAAATCTTGTATCTGTATGGGTTCAGTCATGATCTCATTATTTAATGATATTGCATCTAAGACTCTGTCTATTTTGGAAATGAGATCAATGTCGCTGGTTTAAATTGATTCACTATTAATATTATCCAAATCCTCTTGAGTGTATTCTCTCACAAGTGAATCAGCGAACTTTCTTATACAAGTTTCCATTTATTCGTTTTTAAAGTGAATGGTCACAGTACTCATGTATGCTCTTTCAATCAATTGTGCTTAGGAACACTACTACTTCAATAATAAATGCATGAATAATGTATTGTATTCATCATCATGATAACCATGGTAGATGACAAATTACAAAGTAGCTATGTCCACTTATTTTTCTTAGACAATCAAAGTTAAACCATTCTTGTATTGCCAACCCTATAATTGCCCTTCATTCCATGGTTCAGCTTCGAATATTAATTCTTCAAATTGTTCTTCTTCTGGTTCTGGCATGATGTTATCAAATTGAGTAACATCTTCAGGACTAGTCAAGAATTGCATGATGTCTTAATCTTCTTTATCCAACACCACAGTATTATCAATATCATCTATATTTTCTGTTTCATTCACGTTCAACTATTAAATCTAAGGGATCTAAGTCGATTATTTATGATTGGCCAGAGCATACTTGAAAACCAAGAAAACTAATAAGATGAGTATGACGAGTTGGATTATGTAACAAATGGTGGAGAGGATGCCACGTGTTTCAGGTTCCTTAGGTTTCTTCACATCTTGATGTACTAATCCTTAATTTTCTTCATCCATTTGCATTAATTAAATGTTTAATCCATTTCGATATATTGCTGATTTTCTACACTTGGTGTCATTTCTGATACTCATTTTAAAAATCCGCAAAACCAGAAATTGCTTAGGTAACTTATGAAATAAAGTATTAGGATTATCATTCAGAACTTAAGAAATCTATCTTGCAGTGTTCTGTGTCAGATATATTGATCTATTCATGTATTTTGTATCAGTCTACAATACCTCAATGAAATTACTTTACATCAGCAGCACTGTGTTCATAATTTACCTCATGAAGTTCAAGAAACCATATTGTCTAGTATTTAATATTGCTAATCCATAGTCCTATGATTCAGCTAGTGATGACTTTCCCCACTATAAATTCATATACACTGGAGCAGCTGTCTTGGCTCTACTCGTCCATACTGATTTGGCACCATTTGAATTAGGCTGGTCATATAGCATTTGGTTAGAAGCATTAGCAATAATACCACAATTACATATGTTACAGAAAATCAAAGATGTTAATATCATTTATTATTATTAGGTTGAAAACATTACATCCAATTATGTGGGAGCTTTGGGAGTGTATCGTTTCTTCTACATTGTTAGTTGGATTTACAAATATTCACTCACTGGCGATGTTTGTTGGACATCACTTTTGGGAGGAATCGTTTAAACTATATTATATGCAGATTTCCTTTACTATTACATCATTAGTCTAAAATCAGGAAAAGGTATGTCATTAGGAGTTTGAGATTTGTGATTATTACAATATTGAAAGCAGTTTAAATTAATACCCTTAATCTTAGCATTCCACAGAGTTTGCACTTTTTACTCATTACAATTTTTACTATATTGCTTACGTGGCAATCTAGAAATCATAATTAAAAATCTAGAATTATAAAATAAATCAAATTAATCTACAAACACTTTTCTTCTCAAATTCGAATAGTCTACCATTTTCCAACTTAACTAACACTATTTTCTTCTCCCTCTTCTCCACAAATTAACCCAATTCTCCTTTAAATTCTCCCTTGACAATGCAAACCCTTCCTCCTTTTTTTGGAAGTGTAACTTTAACATCCTTTTCTTTCAAATCCTCTATTAGTTCTCCATGAGAACCTAAAGCACTAAAAGTATATTCATCTTAAACATCAGATATAGATATTTTTTTATTATAAAATTTACCACCCTAATAATGCTTATTCTTAACCTTTACTACTATGCCTGAAGTTATCCATTTTAATTATTTTTGTGATTTACTTTTTGATCTACTTCTGCTCTTTTCCTCTTTATATAATTTAGCTTCTACTACTTAATCTGCTGCAATTTTTATTTTTTCTCCATTGCTTTTCAATTCAATTATATAAGTATCACTCTATCCTTATGTTTTAATAACATCTAATTTGACTCCTTTCATTTTCTTGTATTTTCCACTTAAAATGACCACATCTTGAAATTTATCATTATCCTATTTCTCCTTTTCCCCAACATACTTATATGTTTTCATTGGATTCACTCCTAACCCTTCTCTATCTCCTCTTGATTGAAATTCAATCGGTTTTAACAATGCTGAGCTTTTATAAGGATTTTTGCCAATCGGTTAACCTTATTGAAATCCCATTTTTGAAAGTAAGTTTTAAGCAAATTAAGAAACAGGAGCCATAGAGTATGTTTCTTCAGTATTATCAGGCTTGCTAGACAAAGTGAAAGTCTTTCTTTCTTAAACTGGTACATCATTTATCATCTTTATTAAATAATATTAATGCTATTTAAGAAAACTTTATAATATTTCAGCAATTAGGTTGCTCGATCTAAATTAGGCCAATTACAATACCAAGGGATTATGATGAAGGTACCTTTAGAAATGCAAAAAGAGTAAAATTCAGAAGAAGACAGATTAGTAAAAGCATTCTTCACAAAAAATCATGAGTAAATAAAAGTTTATGGTCATTCTCAGAAAGAACTTAATGAAAAGTGTAGTTCTCCTAGAAATTCATGGTATAAGGTAGTGTTGCCATTAAAAAGTAATCCCGAACTGAGTTTTAAATTTAGTAGGTTTTACACAAATCAAGTAAGAATTGGTCGTTTATTGGAATTAATGGATTACATAGCATCCACAGTTTCTTACAATTATATTCTGCCTAGTAATGGTGCAACTATAGTTACTGCTATGGTAGATAATATTAATTTCTTTGGAAAGATATCTGCTGATTAAGACCTTGAAATATAAGGATATGTAACTTTTGTTGGCAATTCTTCTATAGAAGTTTATATCGATGTTATGTAAGAAGGAGTAGTTAAAGTTTCGGCTAATTTCTTAATGGTAGCAAGAGACGGCAAAGATCACTCGAAAGCATACAAAGTGCCTACCTTGGATTTGAATGGAGAAAGTGATAAGGAAACTGCAGAAATGAGATGTTATTTGGGTAAACATATGCAAGAGAAAAGAAAATAACAAAAGGACAGGGGACTTGATAGAAAGGCACCAAGTTAAGAAGAAATAAATGAACTACATAAATTTTTCATGAATCCTCCTTCAGATAAAACTATTGATGAAACTCAAATTGAAAAAACATTGTTGATGCACATCTAAGATAGAAATCTCCATGGGAAAGTATTTGGAGGCTTTGTCATGAGAGAAGCTTTCGAACTAGGTTGGCTCAATGCCTATCTACATGTGAAAGGATAAGGATTCCCATAAATCATTCATATTGATGATATTCAATTCCTTGCGCCTGTTGATATTGGTAGTGCTTTACAAGTTTAGAGCAGAATAACAGCTGTAAAGGATCCCATAATGCATGTTGAAGTTAATTGTTATAAAATAAGTGCAAATTAATAGAAAATTAGATCAAATGATCTTCATTTGACTTTAAATGTTCCAGGAATTGATATTCCTTAAGTTCAACCTAAAACATATAATGAAGGTATGTAATGGTTGAATGCTTGTCGTCGTATGAATTATACAATCTGAATAGATGATTATTTGCATATTGATTAGTATAAATTCACACACACTAATATTTGTATATTCTACCTAAAAAGATTTGAAAAAACTAAAATAAAAAAGGAGCACAAATATAAATTAATTTTTCAATATTTTTCCACTTTCGGTTATTATTTTTTACTTGGCTATTAGACTTGCATTGCCATCATTTCTTGCATTTCTTACATTTATTATTATTGTTGTTATTGCATTCTTCTCATTTCTTCTCTCATTTGTATTTTAAGCATTCCAATTTCAGCCAATTGTATGAAGCCCAAGATTATGCCTCCAAATATAGCATTTCTAACTGCAATTCTTGTACCAGCTAAACTATAATTCAAAGGCTATACCTCTTATGGCTAAAAATCCTCCTGTAAATGCACCAGCAACTATGGGATTAATAAAATCTTATTGGTTTCTCAGATGCATAAGAGTGCAATCTGTAATACTGAACAATCCTCCCCAAAGAGCGAATGATCCTCCTAAAATTGGGGCTCTTCTTTTTAGTAATTAGATTCCACCGAAAAATCTCTCCCTCTTTGGAGCAAATGACATGCCTTTTAAGAAATAGAATATGCATCCAGCAAAGCATCCCATCGAGAAAGCTCCTCCAAAATCATCGATGATTCTGTAAGGACACGGTTATTCACGCATAGCCATCTTAATTCTGGTTAAAATTAATTAATTAAATGCTAGTCATTGATTAAAATAATTAAGTAATAGTAATAATGGAAGGGGATCATCTTTTGTGTGCTAAGGTTCGGATTCTGCAATCACTACGAATTCTGCTATTAGATCTCAGAACAGGATTATTTGGTTCGCTCTTCTTCTTTTGATGGCAGATTATTTGCTTGTGTTTCCTATGATTATTTCGGTTTCGATAATAATCCCAAAATTGATCGTAATTTTAATCTTGGTTTATATCATATTTTTATGTAAAATCTGGCAAATTTTATAAGGGCAAAATTTTTTTGAATTTATAGAAATGTAGCTTTATCTTATTAACCAGTTTTTGAGTTTCTAATGCCAATTCCTCTTCAGAGATATATTCTCTTCTTTTTGGATAAGTCTCAAAGCGTATTTTATACAGCATCTGCAATTAGTCAGTGGGAGATAATTTATCATAATCACCAAGATGAATTCCCTTTAGCAATATCTCATCATTATCAAACACATCATGTTCCGACCCAGACGAATCTGAATCTGAATTTACATCTATTGGGACAATCTCTTATTCCTTGGGTTTTTTAAACAAATTATTCATAAAATCAGAGCCAATAAATTTAATAGGTTTCAGTCTAATGTTTTATAGCCTCGGAGAAGTTTTTTCTGAATCTAAAGTTGAGGTAGATGATTTTCTTGAATTCATAAATAAATTTTATTTCTGAAATTATTATTATTATAATCTCATTTAGAAACTATTTTTTTTATAATAATAGTTTCAATTTTTTAAAAGACAAACTTAATTCTGAGTATTTGCAAATTCTAAATCTCATTTAATGATGCTACAAAAAAAATTGGAGTTTGGTGTCTGAGATTATATTAATTTGATTATTGTAGTATTAACCAAAAAACTTCAATTAGTAAAGATAAATATATTTTAAGAGTAATTATCAATGGTTAATCTCCTTAAAAATAAACATATGAATATTAGAACATGTTAAATAATTATTAATATTAATAATTATTTATCAACTCCTAATTCATAATCCAAAAATAGATTAATATTATACAACTATTTCATTGAAATTTATATACTATTCAGATATTCAAAATTTATTGTATATATAGTTCCAATGAGACTCTCATGTTTCTTAATCATGAGTTTAAATCAATTTTAATTCCATCTTCAAAAGATAAAATAACTAGAACTCGATTTGAAATAATTTTGAGGACATTTTCATTGTTCTATTTTTAAATAATTGGTTCCATTTATAACGATTATTGGTACACATAAGTATTATGGATAGAAAAGAGCACTATAACTCAGACTCAAAGCTAAAAGAAAATAATAGAAAATAATTAGTTAATTAATTAATTAAAACAACCAAAATAAATTTATAAAAATATTATAAATTCTCAAGGATTTAAATTAATTTTAAAAGAAAAAGATGAGGAGATTAGATAATTTTAGATGTCATTAAGATTATCCATGTTGAGTATTTAATATTAATTGAATATTTCAAAATTAGTTTCCCTGAATTTATTGAGCGTATTTAAAGAATTCGTGATTTACAAATTCAGTAGCAGTAATTCGATTGTATTCTTCTGCCAGTCCCCCTTCTATTAAATCTTTTAAATTCTCCAATAATTCCTTTGGAGTATTTTCTCTTATTAATTACTAATCTACTTTCTAGATAAAATCAAGTTGCCAAAACAGGTCAGGCTGATTGATTAATAGTTGATAATATTGATCATCTTTAGTTGGAAACTATCCCATAATTGGAGGTCTTTTGTAAATAGCCAGAAATAGTGCTGTTGTTAAAGCGTAAACATCTGCACTAAACAAGCAAAATTCTTAAAGTTCTCCATCTTCTAAATTGAGTCTAAAGTTAACAATCTCTGGACTTGAATAAGGTGTGAGTGTTCTGGGTAGCCATTTTGAAAGGAGATCTTCAAATGAAGGTCTGTAGCTGAAGCCAAAATCTGCTAACTTGACGCAATTTCTGTTAAAGACTAACATGTTTTCAAGCTTAATGTCGTTGTGTGCTATATACTATGAATGTAAATATTCAAGAGCAATAGAAATTTAAGTGAAGTACTTGATTATAATTTTGAGTGATGTTTCATTGGTCTTACAGAGTGTATGGAGATCACAGGTGGCATTCTCAAGGAGTAGACTACAACATTAGAGGTTCCCTCCCGCAGGATCTAATTGATGATGAGGGATGAATTCTTATGGCTTAATGATGTTCGGGTGATTGAGTTAACTCAATATTTTCCATTCATTCTATAGATCTTGGCATTCTCTTTAATGAACAGAGTTGCAGGTGTGATCATCTTCAATGAAAAGTTGTCCATGAAACACTGATTTAATGACTACAGTCTAATGAACTTAGAATGAAACTTTACATCAGATACTCCTACTCGACGGTGGATGTAGGAATTGTTGCCTTGTTGGATTAAGTAGAGATTTTCTGCTATCTAGTTGATTTGCTGCATTTATATTTTTATATATTATAAATGTTTATTTTTCATTCTTCTTCTTTTTTTTCTTCTTTTGGTCCTTAAACGACAATCAACAAGAATTCCTTATCGGGAGCGACCATAATCTCGTTATTCTTAGACTTTATGCGTAGAAAGGTCAATTCATTCATGGGATCTAGGTCTCTGACAGTTGATCTGCAGATGATTTTGAGTAACTTACTTGGCCTTGGCTGCTAAAGTCGGGATTGTTCTTGCAATATTTTCACCTTCTTTGCTTTCTGTTCCATAGGTGCTGCGTATGATTTGCCCGTCATTGTTACAAATGACTATTCCTTGTACTGATTTATGAGTTTTGATTCTATTGATTGTTTCCTCTATATCAGACATTATTAATTATAAAAATGAAAGCAACTTTATTTTAGTAGTTAAGAAAGATTAGAGCAGAATCTGCTAAAGTTGGAGGTAATAGAAATAAATAAATGCTTGATACTTCGGAACTTATTGGAAGACAAAGTTTTAGTAGAAAAAGACGACTGGAAGACGCCAATTATTCTTTGCTCGAATAACCAAGTTCATTTCGGTTTCATGACAAGGAAAAATATGAATAAGAAATCAAATATCTAAAAAACAATTTACATTCTTTGGAAAATGAAAATCTCAAACTAAAAACTAAAATCCATCAATTAGAAGGTAAGCATTTCCAATTTTAAATTAGATAATCAATTAAAACAGGAGAAGATGCTTCAAGAATTAGATCGTATTGGGCCTGTCAAAACATAACTGTTAAGATCAATGAATTATGCAACTGCTTTGAATGCACTAAAAAAAGAATTAAATAATATGAAATTAGAATTGCAAAAAAAGGATTAAGAACTCATCAACATGAAAAAAAATTAGAGATTTACTTAAATGAACGAATTATAAATCGAAAGAACTGCCTTCTAAGAAGAGACAGTTAGATTAAGACAATAAATTGAGTAATTATTTTAGGCTAGTTTATACAATTTACAATAGAATAATGTAGAATAAGCCATTTAAGAGAGATTATTTCAATTAATAGCATAAATATAAGAGAATGCTATTTAAAAAAGCGAATTAGAAAAAATAATTGAAAGACTTAAAAAAGAATGCTTGAAATATAGAGTAATAATCTATCTTTTATAATTTTTAGTCTTAATAAATAGAATAAGAATTTAGAAGCAAAAAGGAAATTAAAAAATTAATATTCCAATTAAAGGATGAAACAAATAATTCTTAAAAAGAAAATAGTAAAGAAACCTAATAATTCACTAAACCAGATGAATTGTAATTGCTAACAGATTTGATGTTTGCAAAATAAGAAAATTAAGCAAAATAAAATGAAATAGATAGATTAAATCAATATAATTTAGATCTCGAAACTCAAATTAAAGAACTAACTATGCTATAAAAATCAGATATCTAAGAAATCTAACCTCAGTCTCATAGAGTCGATATATCAACAAAATCAAAAATTACTAAAATCTAATCTCCTGTTTTTGCAACTGAAATTATGCAAGAAATTGCTTTGCCTTTTAAAAAATCAGTAGTGATCTAAGAGGAAATCTAAAAATAAGTAAAGTAACCCCAAAGAAGAAAAATTGTACCAGTTAAATTTGAAGAAATCAAAAATATAGGAGAAACTTTGAAATATAGATTGATGGCTATGGATATTAGCATTTCATAATTAGACGAATATTTATTTGAAGGAGACTCTATGACTTTGAAAGAACTAAAAGATAAGTTAAGACATTATCCTTTTAATTTAACAACTGAAGAAGCTCATGTGGTTTCTCGTTACATAATGGAAGGTGAGAATGATGTTTACGAATTGTTGGATACTGCCTCGAATTATAATCCTTATATTCGTTCGGTTTTAAGGAGAATATTGTCAAATTATAAATTGGAGATAGTGAAAAATTAATTGCTGCATTCTGATAAAATAAAAGATGTGTTGACTAAGTTTAAACCATTCATTTAAAGCAATATCAAGCAACTTTATGGAAAGGATTGTATAAGAGTGAGTAAATAATAATTTAATGAGTCATTGATGTCATTAAATATAGAATTGAATTAATTTGAGTTGGACTATTTGATAGTTTAAGGAATTTTGGAAAGTAAGGGAGTTGAATCATTAAATTATGAGGAAATGCTAAAATATGAGATTAAGGAAGCATAAGATTAGTAACTCTCTTTTTTATTGACTGAATTGAACAATTAATAAAATTAAAAACCTGAGATGTCAGTTATTGAAGAGTGTCCAGAGAAACTATCAGAACTGGATTAATAAGAATAAGTAGATCATAAATAAGTGTAGATTGTGAAGGATAATTACAAGAATGGAGGAGATCAATATGTTACATTTGATAAATATGTGAGTGAACAGTTTGAGTCTGAAAGTGAATAATCTAAGTAGGAAATATTGACATCAGCTTTTAACTTGGAATAATGATAATTATTAAAAATTTTGAAATTTTATAAAATAACAACTTCTTTTTAGGAATATGATAATTTTAGTATTTAAGTTGTAGAAAATTCTAAGAGAAAGAAGCATATTCAAAATTTAGAGTTTGCAATTACCATTATCAATAATTTCAATCAGCAAATATTTGATGTGGATTAATAAATTTGAATATATAAAATATATTATTATATTTATGGATCCAATGAACATTCCTGCTGCTGGATCGCGACCTTAAAAATAGACTCTAGATTAAGCACCATCTGTTAGATAAAAGTAGGATTTTTCAAGATATAAAATAGTCAACAATAACGATCTGATATCTTTGGTGTTAATTCAGGTCCTGTGGTCTAAACACCAAGCAGACAATAGTAACGTGCTAAAACAGATATCTTTGGGGTTGAATAGAGTGCAACTTAATCCCTTGCTTAATCGAGAGTTGAAGTAAAATGTTACTCTATAATTTCTAGACAAGATAGACCAAAACTTATCAATCAAATATATTTTAGGTCGATCCCTCTGCCAATAACACACACACAGCTAAAGAGACCGTTAAGACCTAAAACAAAGGAAAGAATGCTGAAGCAAGACATCAAGATCATGGAAAAGATTTTTTATTTGGAAAAAGCGGTATTTTAAAATAACGATCTATATATTAGATTTTGATGAGTATAAATCAATCAAGCGAACATAAACATTGAAGGAATTCAAACCAAAAGAGGAATATGATCCGGCCAACAGAAGAGTAAAGGAATTGTATGGAAATGAGATAGGAAAGGAACATTTACCAACACAAAAGGTATAACTAGAAGAGAAAAAAGAAACAGTTAAAAAGTAATAGAAGTAGGATGTTGATCCATCTCAAAGAAAATAATTGGAAAATTCATCTAATGTTTTTGGATAAAATGAAAAGAAAGTTTATTAATAATAAGGTAAGTAAGAAAAGTTGACATCTCAAAATCAAAAATGGTCTACTTCTACTAAGGCAGTTGATAATAGTGGAAAGAATTATGATCCAGACACATTTGCAAAGAACAAAAAAGAACAAGAGTTATAATCTAGTGTATTTGGAGGTGAATCAAAGCAAACACAAAGCACGGCCACCAAATAAAAGTTAATCCCTACAAATTAAACATGGCAATAAACTGATACTGTTAAGAATATGAAAGATTTCGACCCTTCTTAATCATAAATGAATGAGATTGATCCCTCATAAAAGAAGATAGATACCTTAAAATCAACATTAGATACTCATGATTATAAGGCTTAACCTGTTAAGCATAACGAAAAGCTTAGTGTGAAATAATAGAAATACAAAAAGGATGTTTTTACAAGGGGAGGAGATAAGGATCAAGCTCCTTCTCAATAAAAATAAAAACAACCAGCCTAATAATAATAAAAAGAAGTGCATGAATAATCAGATATGATTTGAATTATTGTATGAATTATTGTGATTATCCTCTATTTTTTAATTTATTCATCTCCTTTTTTCGTTTATTTGCTTAATTATACTCTATTTCCTATGTAAATATGAAATTCTATTGATTTCAAAATAGAGAAGTAATTATCAATAAAACTTAAAACAAACATTAGAAGAAATGAAATTATTTAGACTTTAATGAAAAACTCCTTTTTTCTTCAATAGATAAAATGTATAAGAATTCCACTTGAAGTTATATGGTTTTATAAACCAATAATGATTTGTCTAAGACTTGTTATAAAAGTTAGTGATAAAGTGTGATGAGCTAGAATTTTAGTTCATTAGTGTAGAATATAATTTAATTGGGTGGAATGATTGGATAGCCTAATTATAATCTCAATATAGCAATAAATAAATAAATGAAGGAGATGAATATTCATTTACTTTATAATATTTAAAATGTCACTTCAATTTGTTTGCTTATTTTATCAGCAAAATTCCTGTCCTTCATTTGTCTATTTAAGATTAATAATTAGATGCATTACAATCGAAATTCTTCGTTTTATAAGCAATCTAGCATTTTGATGCACACAGGGTATTTGATGTACTTCAAAAATTCTGGTCTTTTGAAGTACAATAAGTATTGCAAGTAATTGACAAATTGATCGTCTTCAAAATATTATTTTATTGCAAGCTAATAGATGTATTAGGGGTTGGCCAACAATTATACGAATTCTAGGTCCATTTGAAATCTCTTGTAGTCATCATAAATTTATTACATTAAAATAATTTATGTTGACTTAGATTACAATTACAAATTCGGAAGCAAAGCAAGTGATGCCAGAATTGAAGTTGAAAACATTTGAATTCAAAAACCCATAAGGACTAATTGAAAAAATGAATGAGTTGAAATTAACAAAACACAAGTAAGTGCAAGTGATGAATATTGGATGTTTAAAAGACCTATACTTGATTGATTTAAGTTAAGAAATGATCAAAAGTATAGTCAAATTCATTTGAGTAATAACTTTTCAATTTCCCTTTTCAAGTTTCCCTTCCTTAACTCTTATAGTAATATTTTGGTATCAGGATAGGTCTCTAAAATTAAGGACATGTCTCTGTCATCAGCTTTCAACATTTCTCGGATTTCTAAATCTATAAATATAATTTCTATAGGTACATTATGATTGTTCGCTCCTCCTTCTGGTCTACATCAAGGGGGCCTCTTACTGATCTATGACTCTACGTTTTCTCCTAAGACTTATGTATTTGTGATCTCCACTTTACTTTTTGATTTCATCGTAATCTAGAATGCTGTCCTCTTCCAGAGGCAGATCTTTTATGATTTTGAGATTTAGTTTCACCTTTGTCCCTTTTACAGAGACGACAATGTCATGATCGATTTTTTGTGAGGGTGGATTCTGCGGCTAATTTTAGAGTGGCATAGTCGGTTAGGGCAGTGTTTGTATTTGGGGCTGTTAAGGCATCATCGGAATTCTCATGGCTGCCATTTGGGGTAGTTGTTGCATCTACTGCATTTGTTACAATTGTTGCATCATCATGTAGTAAGTTGGGTAGTTCATTAATGGTTGTCTAAAACATTATAAGAGTGTATAGTAATAAGTATATCGGGTATATAAGGGAGTAAAGAGAAGTATGATGCTTACAGGAATTGTGGATTTGGATAAATCATAGGAGTTTATGAAGTTTACTGTACTGGAGCGTAAACTGGAGGTTTGGCTTTCAGCATTGCCAAGTAATCCTATTGCGGGAAGCTCATTTTTGAGTTATTTAAATATATCTGTAAGAATACATATTGAGATTCGATATTTAGATTTACAAAAGATTTTGTGGATAGAAAAATCAGATCATTTCTGACCTAGTCGATAGGTTTCTAAGTTCAGTGTAGAATTGATTGAAAAAGATCAAGGAAGAATCTAGCTACAATGGGGTGCCATTTTTCTTCAAGTAATATCACGAGAAGTCTTGTTAATATAAAAATGTAAAAATCTCATTCTCCACAGCCTCGTCGTACAAACAGCAAATATTCATCATTCCCTTTCAAATTACCGATCAATAACCTCGCCCTTCCTTCAACCAACAACAACGTATAGTCTGATTAGGGTAGAAAGGTGGTAATACATGTAGGATAACAATCAAGCAAAAAGATTAAATAACTTTTGCAGGTTAATACAAGGCCAGTTATAAATCCATCAAAAGTTTAAATTGACATTGAAAAACTACAAATCATTATGAATGGGAAATATGAGAAAAATATCTCAAATACTTCCTTTTCATAATAGGTTGAAAATACTATCAAAGAATTGCGAACTAAAATTGATGAATAGGACAATCTCATTAGATTGTAGGAATTCAAAATCAATAGATTGCAATAGGAGCTAGTATTCTCAAAACAATAATACTAACGCATGATGTCAAAATTTACACAGCTTGATGGCAAATAATACAATTATCCGCAATCAACTAAATTAACAAAATCTTAAATTAGTATACCATAAATTGAGCAAATGCCTTCGGTAAATAAAGCACTACAAGTAGATAACAAGAAGAAAAGAAACATAATAGAGAAAATTTAAGGACTTGTCTTGGAAAATAAAAAATTTAAAGATGAAGTTCAAAACAAGTTCAAGGTAGTGCTTCAACTTGTAAATGAATTTGCAATGAGTGTAGTCAGTTAAGCATCATCTCTGTACATTTAATAAATACAATCCATTGAATCAGTTTTTGAAATGCATAACAAGTAATTTGAAATTAAATGATAGTTTTACAAAAAATGATTATCAAGGCATGAGGGCTTAGTATGATATTTTGAATAGGGAAATCCAATTACTGGAGTAGTAGAGGGAAATATTATATGATAAAGTAATTTCATTGCTTTGAAAATTATTATAATTAATGAACGACATATAGCCTGCTCCAAGTCTTGTTAAATATAGTAATCCCATTCTCATTTCAAACAGTCAAAAGAAATAAATCAAATAACAACCTCCAAGCAATACTGAAGATATTTTGAATGCCATTCTGCTTCCCAGGGAATTTAATCATCAGAAGAATCAATTGTAAATGTAATGTGTTTCTCCTGCACCCTCAACCAAACAAGATGTGCTTGAATTATAAGATAAATTAGATAAATGGTTACAATAAAGGTAGGCGAGAGAGACTGGTCTATGTCCAATTAGAGAGGAGTTATACTCATAGTGTTTTGATGAATTAATAAGACAAATTACAATTAATTGTGCAGAGCGAGGTATGCTCTTAGTAACAGTCCGAAACGAAGTGAGAATGGTCATTCAAACTTATTAAACTTTGTACGCATCAAGCATTGCATTTGGGATGAGAAAATTTTTATCAGAAGAAGAAAAAAAAGTATTCAAAAATATTGAATTAGGCTGAATATAGATTAAGAATTAAATAATTGGATTAGGAGTGTTCGGAATTGCAAAGACAAGTGGAATCCTTGGAATAAAAATTGTTGGATACAAAATAGCAAGATGAAATTAAAAGACAGCAAACTAAAGAAGCTCATGCAGATATTGTTTCCTAATTAAAGGCGGATATAAAGGCCAAAGTAAATGGGGATCTTGAAAAAATACTCACTGGATAAAAAAAATTACCTGATAAGAAATAATGATAATTAAGTTATTTTCATTATTTTATATTCGATAATGTATTTAATGAAAATAATAAGTGACAATAATATATTTAGATATTTTATATTGCATTTTGTTCATAATATCAATAATCCTAACAATGCGATCAAGACTTTGAACATCATTGCATTTGAACTTTGATCCTCATCATCACATGAGACTCCTGCACAATTCTCTGAGTTATACGTAAGTACTTAATCTTAGGATGGACATGTGCTAGAGGAAGTCTCCTTGATGCAAGAAACAGAAGTAGAACCGACGACTGAAGGATCATCAGCTGTTTCTTATAAGATTCTAGTAGCTGTTGTCTCTCCCAATGCGGCATCAGAAGCGATGGTGACTTTATTACCCAAGAAGTTTAGTTTAACTTGATACATCTGTTCCCCATTCTATCCTTTATCCAACTTTTTAGGCTTTACTGTCTTTGACACTCCATCTGCAACCACTGTAATTTCAGCATCCATGGGTTTCCACTTTCCTCCTTTAAATCCATCTTAAGTGATTGTTTATTTAACATAAATGGTGTCTCCAACCACGAGTTCATTTGTTGCGAGAGGTGTTTCACAGGTTTCATCAGCACACAATGTCAATGTAGATTGAGCAGTATTGACACATTTTTCTCCAGCATCATCAGCACAAACTTATTCGGCTTGTACTTTCGGTTTGATCTCATTTGATTTAAGGGTTGCTAAATCTTTGCTGAAAATAGCTGAGAATTTAAAAGCAAAGAAGGCCAAGGGCTTTACTCCATTATCATTTGGTAATAACAAGGTCACAGATATGGCATAAAATCCAGTGTATTTGATCTCGTCGTTAGATTCGTCCTTCAAAAATAATGAGTCGAATTAACTAAATATAAAAATTTTAAATACTCTTTATTGACACTAAAGGTCCAGATTCTTGAAGTGTCTTATTAGGTCGAGGTAATTACAGAAGCATCTGCCACTTCATTTGTAAAGGCAGCACCGAATCTTCTCAAATTGACCTAAATACATGTGGTGCTTGATCCAGTTTCTGCAGAAGTCTAGAAATCTTTGGCATTAGTAAATGTCAATGAGAATTGAAGATTTCCATCCTTGTAATCCACCGTGAATTAAGGTCTCTTGGCTATATGTTTCTTGCCGTTGGCTTGAGTTTGCTTAAAGAAGCCAATTTAAGTTTTGCAATTTTTGGCATCCTTGCACTTTCCTTTTACTAACACTTGGTCATCTGTGCAAGTGGTTGCTGTCTCTGCTGCGTTAGCAACATAAACTAAGATACTTAGAAGCAAAATGTGAAAAATTTTCATGAAAATAGTATTAATAAATTACTGTCATTTTTCCATAGTGTATTTATAGTGCAATTTTAGAAAAGATTCTAATAATTAATGCGATTATTAATTGTGGATTAGAATTGCCTCTCTAGAAAGCTAAGATTTTTAAATTATACTGCGTAATCACTAAAATAAAAATTTCAAAATTTGCAAAATAAATTTTAATACCCCCTCAAAATAACAATTTTCTAGAATATATTATCTCTAATTTATTTTATCTATAGAGAATGTATTTATAAAACTTAAAAAAATATAATTTTAATGATGAAGTTCTCATTTCCAACCTAATTTTGTATCATTAAGTTCGTGCCTGAACAAGATGGAAAAACAATTATGGATCAATTTCATTAGCTTATCTCACAATTGATAATAATATTTTGAATAATTCTCATTTAGTGTTTTCCAGTTTCTTAAAATTTTAATCATCGAAATTAGCTTACTAGCTATGATGTAGAGAGGGATGATCATCGAGAAATCAAGTCGAATTTCACATTAAATCGAGTTCTGATGGACCAGAAATGATAAAGAAGAATCAAATTCTAATTGATTTATATATTAATTATATAATTTAATATATTGTAATCCGCATAATTTGTATATTTGAGTTTGTTTTTCTTTTACACATTTTATTTTAAATGAATAAATGTACATAATATAGAACATGATTATTCGGAAGTATTTAAACAAAAAATCTTTATATCCTTAATTAATAATAATTAATAAGTGATGAAGAGAGCAATTCTGATATTAGCTGTGATGTCATCGACAATCTTGGCTTAGAAATGCGGTAAGAGGTGTGTTGATTATGTTTAGACACAATCAATTAGCATTACAATGTGTACGCTACTGTTAACGAAACAAAGGAATGGGATATGCGAAGATTTTTCTTCACAGGGGAGAATTTGAAGTTCAAGATAAACAATGATTGTCCCTACTTCGAAACAGTGGACCCTCTGTCCGAAATTGGTGATCCAGTGCCTCATGGTGATCGTATGAATAATTAATTAAATTAAAGCTTCGATTGGGCTGATACAAAATCTCAAGGCTTATAGATCTTTCGATAATGGAGCATGGTTGAACGACTTTGTGTTTTTAGAATAAAATAAGACCGACATCGACGTATTCTACGCACTTGGGTATGTAGAATTTGATTAAATAATTTAGTGATCCTTAAAAAATGGATTAGGTCCCTAGATTCCACGCTTAGGTGAATGTTAGAAATACAACAGTGTCTTTTGTATGCCACGATTTGGATTTCTTGACTAACTATTTAATAGTCATAGATTGTCAATAGCCAGATTTGGAGGACCCAGTCCATTTGGGATGGCATAATGGATTTATCGTGGTTGATTTACAGGATTCATAGCACTACGATCTCTCTCCAAATGAGCATCCAAAAGGATATCTTTATAATTATACCGAAGACAGAAAGATAGCATTTCACAATTTCAGTTTTTCAACATCTGAAGAGGATTTGGAAGGAGGTGTGGGAGCTGACAAGATATCATTATTGTTCAGAGCAGAACCTGCATGGGCTACTGATTTTGCTGATTTGGCTAATGATAAGTTGGATGATGATTGTGAATTGGAAGTGTATAAATTTAGTAACAAGAAATTTTCTTCAAGTCCTGTGGCATATTTGACCAAAATTGAATTGGCTGCATTATTGGGTACTGACGCAACAAAGTAAAAATTTACAATTATGGATTTCCAACTGGAACCAAATGGTGACATTTACGTATTGGATGGAGACAGTGGTGTTTATGTTTTGCAATTCACATCCTAAGCATTGGAATGGAAATTAAAGGAGCATATCTCCTTCCCTTACGTGACAAAGAGTTACGGATTCGATTTCAATTATTTGGTTAACAATGATGGGACAATAACCAGACATATGGTTTTGGTGTTCAAAGATAAAGCAAACTTTTATGAAAATGGAGTTATGAAGTTTGGTATCAAATTGCCAGAGAATGCAAGTTATGGAAAAGTGTAAGTTTAAATGAGTCAATATTTCTTAATTTTGAAATTGGACACTGTAGTACATGTTTATCATTCTGACGATGGATCCAAATTGTACACTTATACAAACGATTTATTCGATCAATTGATTATCAATCCATATGAACCAGATTTGTTGGGAGTCAACAAGAACTCTGCACACAGATTCTTAATTTCCAATGGATACTTGAGATTGAAGAAGTAAGACAGCACAAATGATGGAACCAAGACCTATACTCTAGATGCCATTTCATTGGATGACACCTCATAGAAATGCTCAGTCACACTAAATGTGAGAGTCTTGAAGAAGGATGACACTTAAATCTATGAACAAAGCAACCATCCATTCCCATCAACTTTGAGAGTTCCCACTGATCCTATTGGTATTGATTTGATTGCCTCTGGTCCAAACCTCTAATATTCTTCTTTGGCTACTTTGGAACACCCAGAATTAGGAGCTTCCAAAATCATTGTGACCATCAAATCTGCTTGGAACTTGTAATTGAATGGAATCAGACTTCCAGACGCTAAGGAAGTTATCTATTCTGACATTCTTGTTACTGACAGTGCAGAATAATTCTATTTATTGGTATAGATACCCACAAAGATCATCTATGTCTATTTATGTACCCATAATCTTTCAGATCATGAGAACGCAAATTGTAAAGATTTTGATAATTTTTCTTTGGGAGTTCAAATTGATAAGAAGAAGCACTCATTCTACTGGTGGATCTTCATCAATTAAATTTCTTACATGTATTAAGATACTGATTACTCAATTCAAATCTATACTAGTACTGGAGGTTAAGTCAAAAACGTTGGTCAGGTGGCTGTTGATAGCACTGACCCACTGAATAAATTCACATCAGTTACTATGGTTAGAAGTGCGATTTATTGTGTTTAGGAGGACAGAAAAACAGTCTAGATTTATGAAGCTACTCTGCCATTCAGAAAGATTTATGAAATCAACTCTTCGATTCTTGCTGAATACAAGATAGAAGGATATTTCACTCCTAAAAGAGTCTTCAGTAACAAGAAGGCAAGAGCACAACTTGTATTTATACAATCCTTAAATCATTTATACGTTGGAGAATTCACAAATCAAAAAAGCTTCTCAACATTCATCCTCTTCAAACAAATCAGTATTCTTGCCGCAGCAGAAGTGGAAGTTGCCATTGGTTAAGATCATTTCTTTGTGGTTTAACAATTAGATGACTAGGAGGTGATTGAAGAATACAATTATTAACACATCCAAAGAATCTACAAAACCAAGAATTTGCCCTTCTTCAATTACAAGTTATAGAAACCCTTAACAGTTGATTACTCATCACAAACAGGTTGGTTATTTGCTAGAGCAACTGATGGAAAGGAAACCGTAGTCTTGGTGTATGAGCCAGGAGTTGTCTCTCACATTTGTTTGCACAAGGTCTTAGAAACCAAAGCCATGGACTTCGACAAAAAGACTTTTGATATGGCAGTTGACGGTGGCAAGTAAATGTTTTCCTATTTCAACAACAACACTATCCACAGAGTCGTAAGCATTTTGGCAGATGCTGAATTATACATCACTCCAGAATTAGAAACCCAATAATACGTTAATGATTTAACCACAGGAGTTCAAGTGTCTAACTACCCTGGAAACAAACCTTTGAATTTAGTGTCGAAAGTGACTGTCCTTAACACTCAAAGTGACATCGTCATCAAATCATCTATATTAACAACCAAGAAAAAAGTCTTCAAATTTGTTAAGCAAGCTCAATAGTAAATTATTGATATGGGAACAGACTGGTATTACGGACAACAAGTAGGAATCATTGTTAGATGCGAAACATGTAAAAGTGATCTGAAAGTGAGAAACAACATTTATAGAGTTTTAGATGGAGCAGATATGCCTTTCGATATTTCTGATGGAGTCTAATTTGGTACAGCTGGTTAAGTATATCAAACTAGGGATGCCTTGATCTTCCAAGATGCTGCTGGTAAATTCAAAGAGAGAAAGGAAATTCAAGATAGAACCATTAGTTGTGAATTAGTGACTGTTTCAGCAGACAACAATTTTATATTGTCATCCTACACAACCATTAAAAACGAAGCTGGTATCTTTATTAATTAATGCACAAATTTGGCTAATTGTTAACAATTCAAACAAGGGTCATAAGCAATTGGAGGAGCCAAGAAGATTTCAAAGATTCTTATGCCTGACAACAAGAACATCATTATTTTAAATACTGATCCAGAAAACTTCGGATCCACTGACAGTTACATTATTGTTACTGCTTTGGACTATGATCAATCTAAATTCACCATTTCAAATAAATTCACCATCAATGATCAATATGTCGGAAGTAAACTCTTGTAAATTGGAGATTTCGATGTCATTAAATATCAAATCAACAGTGTTAGTTACAATACTATTGTCTTCACAGATGTCAACAATGGTCTTTACTTTGCTCATTTTGCTTATGATGCCCAAGGTGTTTACTCTAAGACCATCAATGAACAAGTCAAGTTGAGATCATTTACAAACGATCAATATCACATTGCAGATGATGCCTAATTCTTACAAGTCAAAGTGTTGAGCAGTCAAATTAATGGGTCCACTCTCTAAATCAATCTAGTTATCACTACAAGTAACTCAGCTCATTATTCCTTTGGATTTGATCTTGATGCATCAAAACCAACTTCTGGATTGCCTGTCATCAAAGCTAATACTGTTTTGAATTATGTCTTTACTCCATATGGATCTTGGAATGCAATCGACAAATCAGCCTACGTCAATGGATTTTTGGCCATTCCTTACAGTAATGATAAGGAGGTCGTTATCGGTGTTTATGACATGCCTAGCGACAGACCAGGTGTTGTCAAAACTATTTCATTCACCCATGGAATCTAGGCTGATTATCACAAGGCTTTGCCCATTGATTTTGCCTTGGTTTTAACTAAGGATGCTTCAGCCAAATATGTAATAATAAATCTTATTCATTTAGCCTACCTTATACACAAATATCAATTATGATGCTTTATCTGATGAATATTTAATTGAAAAGTATGAATTAAGAGCTGATCCTCAATTGATCCTAACCAATTCAGCTGCCTACGCTGATTAAGTAGAGTTCAAACTCTTTTTAACTAATACCTTTGTTAGTGTTCCATCAATGGCTTACTTATCAACCACAGAACCAACCCCACCCACTCCTCCTGATGATGATAAAGGAAGGTACCTTAACCCACATATCTTTATAGCTCAAACTGGTGGTGGATCACTTTAATTGTTATCTTTGGTGTTGCCATTTTGGGAGTAGGAGGCTGGTTTGCCTATTAGAAGTTTGGTAGAAGGGGAGTCGACCCACTTTTAGGATGATGTGATATTTTATTCAGTATATGTTTTCATACATATATATCAAAGTGTATATAATTCAAACAATATCATTATGTTTCATGCTATTTGTTCATTCTTTTGGGGACCTAGGTATAAATTCTCTGGGGATTAGCGTTGCAATCCTCATAGATTGACTAGCAATCTGCTAAATCACCCACGTCAAATCTGAGCTTAGATTAATTCAAAGGAATCTCATTTAAGAATTGATTCTAATTTTGTTGACTCTTTTAGAGTGATTAGAAAAGTTATTAGATTTCTGGATCTAATGATTAAACTAATTTTTAATTAACCCCTGATTTCCAACCTTAAGACACCACTTTTTCATAAGCTTAAAATGCCTCCTAAATTGCTATAGATTGCAATTATTAATTTTACTTTGACTAATCCAAGCATTTTGCCTGTTCTAAGTCTTAAGCTATGTCTGGTTTAGGCAAATATTTGAATAATTTCTTCTACTCTTCAGTCAAAATAACATCCCTCAGTTGATCAAGTTCATATAGTTTTTGAATTATCAATTTCACATCTAATTTCTCCATATATTTCTCCTTTGCCAGCTCTAACATCTTTCTCTTCTTTTTATCGCAACCAATGAATATCCAAATAATTGTCTTAATGTTTCTGCTTATTTGGTTCTTCTTCCTCAGAATTATATTCAAACTTTCATTCTAAATAGTCTACAATTCTTACAATCATGGCTTCCTGATTATTTTCACTGTTCAATCTGCCAGTGTCTCTAGGAGATAACAGCTTCCTCCTACTTCTGACTATTCCAGCCAACGCATCCACGACTTTATTGTCATCGGATACATTTAATTTATCCTTTTTATTGTCACTGAATTTGAACAATTCATTTGCCATATCGATGTCCAACATCAATTGAACCAGAGGTTTAATGAATGCGGCCAACAGTAGAAATATCATTTAATATAAGCCTCCCACTCTGCTTAAAATGGCTTGAATCTTCACATATGACCTTTGGTATTCAGTGTATTTTGAACTTAAATTGATATTGTGCAACACCAAATATTCTTCATTGTATAGATCAGTTGACTCTCTTAGGGAATCCTAAATGAGCACTTGCTATTCAGATAAATCTGAGAACACCACTCCAGAATCTGTGTAAGTATCCACAACTTTAAATTGCTAAAATATGTTTTTAGATGTAGTAATTGAAAAGGTGTAATATTAGATGTTTATGACATCTAAGGACATATTGACAGCTCTATTCATCTATAATAGTGAATCACTTAAATGAACTGCATAAAATCCAGAACTGAGCTATTTTTTTATGTCCTCAATTGGAGCACAATCACTTTTATTAGTGGAGTTCTTACACACAGCAACAGTTATGGTCAAAGAGGAATATGCAGGACTTGTTTTAATCCCTTGTAGTACCTTATTAATAATAACTTAATTTATTTACAGGAGGATTACTATCCCAATAATCCTTTTTGATACACTGTACGGATCCCAATCTAATCCTCGAGAAGTAGTCAATCTAAGTTTCAGATAGAAAATGCTCCTTTGTGCATGCTTCCAATGGGATTATAGTGCAGCTATCATTTAGAATTCAGTTTACTTTCTTGTAACATTCGAAGTTTAGGATGTTTCATTATAAATTCTAGTGGTTTAACAATTTTTAAGCGAAATAGTAAAATATTTATTTATCGTTGTTAAAGGTTGACTATTAAGATCCGCCATGGTAATTGCAATTGTGAAATTATTCCTTTCGAGAAGAAATGGCTAAATATATCAGAGATGTACTGATGTCTCTACTACTTATCTCTCTGATGAAATCACATTTGGCGAATTTTTAGCTATTAATTCTTAAATCCCTACGACTAAATAAGCCAGAGCAAAGAAAATAGTCCCTAATGTTGACAATGCCCCCAAAGTTGAATTGTATTTGCATTTTCCCAAAATTCTAAATTTTGGAGGCTATCCAAACATATCAAATTGTAAAAAGAATTACCTAATTTGAAAGAATAATGATTATTGCATCTTAATATGCAAAAATTTTAATTTTATTATTATCAAAATCCTCATGAATATTCTTCAATTTTTCAATTGGTAAGGAATTTAATTTATCACCTATCAATAATCTTGAAAAAAATCCGTGACAAGACACTTCGATTCATCTTTAATTCGAATATATCAACGATTATTTAAATATGACATTAAAATAGACTTTATTCCTATTGATGTCAGAAAACAAAGGAGTCCGTTTTATCAGGTAATCGTGATCTATGTAATATGGATTAGAGAGGTATGCATATAAAGTATAAAAATATGGGAGAATACGTATTTAAATGATCCTATATAAAATTCTAAAATGAAATAATTGAAGTTTTTATAAAAAATTAATGTCAATTGCAAATGCAAAAGGATAATCAGGTTAAAGTGATATGACAACACAAAGGAGAAAAAATGAAGCTAATTTGAGGGTGGCATTGCAATACTACTCTTCATGTGGAAAATTATAAGATGATCATTCTCTAGAATAAGTAACTCCAGGGTTGGCTACTTTGGAATTCATGAAACGTAACTGCCCTGAAGGAACAAAGCTGGAGGATTTTTGTATACAATCTGGGCAATTTTTTGAATTTGAATAATACAAATATGGTGACATTATATTCCACTACGGCGATGTGGGAGATAAAGTTTATGTGATTCTCAAAGGAGAGGTTGCAGTCTTAGTACCAAGATCCGAGAGTGAAATAGAAGCAGAAAGGGAAGAGATCAGTTAGGCTAAGCAACCTTTTGAATTCGAAGCGTTTTGGAGAAATAAGAAGCCTTTGAAATAAATTTATATAGAAGTGATGCTATCATAGTTGAACTCCAGTGTGTATTTCCAGGAGAATGTTTGCATGTTTAAGAAGGTTTTTTAATTTTATTCTGGGTAATCGTTTGGAGATGTCGCTCTGATTTCCGATAAACCCAGGACTGCAAGTATCTTGGTCACATCTGATCAAATTTATCTAATTAGCATGTGCAAGAAGGATTTTAAGATCTTGTGTGAGAAATCAGTTCTGGAGATGAATTAAACTCTAGACTACTTCGTTAAATTGTTCCCTAGTGTTGGGAGAATGCAAATAACTAAATTCATATAATTCTTTCACAAGATTGAGCTTCCTCCTCAACAGTGGTTATGGAGGGAAGGAGAACAAGTCAAGTTTTTCCTATTGATTCTTAAAGGAAGAGTCGAAGTCAAATAATAGTAATTGCCCTTATATCAAGTGTCCGATAATTCCTTCATTGGTCACGAGGAGATCTTAGAATGTATGCCTTTTAGACAGTATACCTGCAAAACGTTAGACAACACCACTGCTTATTATATGGAATATGAGGATTTCAATAGTTCTAGAAAGACATCTCCAGACATTGTTAAGTTATTGATAGAAAAAGCAAAGTTAATGACTTCATATCTTGAACAAAGAAAAGAAGAAGTAAAGAAAGGACAGATTTATGTGGAACCAATTTGCTTGCCAGTAGAAAGAAGATTAGTGAAAGATATGTTTGTAATTAAATCTCCCAGAAAAAATGAGGTTAGATCCAATCAACCGAAATGTTTAAGTTATTTTGACATTACAAAGTTCAATAAATAGAAAGCTAAGCCAAATAATACAAATTAATAATAATCTATTTCAGAGGATTTATTCTTCTCCAAAGAGAAAAACATTAAAACAACAAGATCTCCATCTTATTTAACTCAAAAACTTTCGCCAATAAATAAATAGATGAAAGAGATTTTGATGAAAAAGTTTAAGTTGAATTTCAAATTTAATGCTTTACAGTCTTTTTAAATTAGCTCCTGTAAGTCAGTTCATGAATTCGGTAGTAAGAGTCGATTTAAAACTGAACCAAGTATTGACAATTGATATTAATCTATTATTCTTTTTTTTATATAAATATGAATAGAATTTCAAATTATAAAATTATGGATTTATTATTTGTTTCAGATAGGCCTTCAATATTCACATTTATTTAATAACAAACAGGATTTAATTTAGTCATTTTTAGATAAGTCAGAATTAAATGGATTTGATCATACATTAGCATATCCTTTGTCTCATATTAATGTCCAATAATTTTAAACCTGATTATGCAGTAAACTCAATTATTTACCAATAATTACTAATTTTATCCTCTAAACATATTATCAATGCAATTAGTTAATAACCTATTAAGATAGAAGTCATTTGACGATGTCAAAATATTGAGATAGATTTTCTACTAAGCAACATCTAAATCTTAATTTGTCTATTTATCTAATGTTTCCTTGTATTTAGAAATTAGTCTATCACTTTTGAATAGGTCAGAATTCTTAGATTTTCATCAGAGATAATTAATTAATGACAGGTATTATGGAATTATAGATATTTAATAAAATATATAGTATTTTTCAATTTTTCTTAGGAATAAGTTTAATTTTCTTCTGTTATTATTATTAAATTTATGAATTATGGGATAATTATGTTGATTATAATTATTATTTTTGTTAGCAGTTCAAGTGCAAACCTTTTAATCCTTTCTTCATAAGTAATAATTTCTATTTTTAACTTTATTTGGCCAAAATGAATTGGTGTCGCTTTTTCTTTTGTCCATACTCGTACCATTTAGAGAAAGATATTCTTAAAGTATAAAAATTTTTGGATTTCTAATATTCTAGTATAGATTACAAGAAGTACCTTCGAGTCTCAATTTCTTTAGATATACAAGAGTTTAAAACTTATAAAAATATTTTCTAATGATGCAAAAGTTTCTAAAATGTTTAGATTTGAATGCCAAATGCTTTTGGAAATTAGAAAACAGTTTGAATTTGTTCCAGTATTTTCTTAACCTAAAGAGATCTGCTATTTTATTTGATTGCTGGTCATCTTCTTTTGTAATGGTTGAAATTACACTTTTTGAAGATTCTCTGCCTGGTGTATAAAATTTGATTTCATTTCTTGGAGTTTTGGATTAGACTGACTTTTTGCCTGCACTTTTACGAATTAAATCCTTCTTGGGTGGACTGTAGGGTAATTGTAATTTATATGGTTGAGGCTGTTAACTTTGAATTTTCCAAGCTAAAAATATTTCCTTTAAATTCCTTTTATTTACTTTATTGCTAAACTTAAATAGAGATTATTAGATACTTGCTCAAGGATCGAAAATTCTCTTTTCATTTATTCAATCATATTTATCATCAAAGGTTAATAAGCACTTGCAAGATTTCTCAAATAATAATTATTCAATTTTTCCAAACCTTTTCTTATCTTTTGAGGATCTGGCTTTTTCGGTTGTTTAGTTTATTTTGGTTAATTAAAGTATGAATATTTTATAAAAGCTCTCATTGATATGAAATATATTAATAATTTTTTAAATATAAGTAACATAATTATTTATTCAATATATACAGATTACAAATGATGCTTGGTCTCACACATTTTATTCTATAATAATCAATATAAGTGAATTGCCTATCCTGAATCTATGTTTATATAAATATTAATATTAATAATAAATCTGATCAGCCATACTAATAGAAGAATGATAAAGAATCCTAAAAGTGAAGGCGATTTTAGGCTCCAATAATACTCGGCCTCAAATAGCTGCACTACCATCCCAGACAGAATTAATTAAACCAATATTCAAGAATCAATTCCTGAGGAAAGTTATCCGCAGGCCTAGCAGTAGGAAATCACCTATACCTTTTATAATGTTAGGCAGATACTTCAAAAAGAATATGGTTTAAATATTGAGTTACCTTATTAATAATTATTTACATAATAGGAATTTGATCTATTGTTGGAGAAATATAAGCCCGACTAACCCATTGAAAAATTCGATGAAAGCAATGGAAATAAAGAGTAGAAATTAGTGGATTTGTTTATGGACAGATTAAAAAAAAAGTTTTATTTTGATGCTTCAGATATTGTCAATATTGAATTCTCTGACGATGATCCCATGAAGATCTACATAGATATATTCAAATACTTAGTGAAATAAAAAGATAAGTAGTATAATAGAAGCAGCATCAATAGTGATATTCGTATACAATTTGAATCGAAGGAATAGCCAAAAGAATAAAGCGATAGTTGTTAGATGTGGCATCGAAAAGTTTATTACAATAAATATAGAAAAAACCAATTGAAACTAAATGGATTTAATTTAGTCTATGATTATCACGAGAAATTAGTAGAACCTCTAATCATAAACTAATAAAGGTCTACAAATTACATAAGGAATGTGGCTATTTTGGTTTGTACTTTTTAATTCACAAAAATAACTGATTTTGCTAAGTTAGATTAAGACATTATACCGATATTGAAAGTTGCCATTAATATTCAATCTGACATTAGTAAAGATCGATCTGATTGCAAGAACTTCTACTCTAGTGATAATAACTTAAGCTAAATAAATTAAATCAGTTCCTAAAACTATGAAAAGTAATCATTATCATAAAATTATTTTAGAATCAATAGATCCAATAATTTTGCCAAGAGTGGTACAAGTTAAATTTCAAATATCTTAGAAACTCCTTTGAGATAAGCGTATTATAAATAAAACTTGTAATAAATTTAACAAATGTGCAAGGATATTAAGCACACCGATCCTTATATGTAATTGATTTTAAACTTCATTGGAATGGATGATAAACAATTTCAGGTACCCTATTTTATTAAGAGTAGGAATACTTATTAAAAGATGATAATCGACTTCATTTTGAGGATAGAATGATTCTGACTTTATTATATTGTGATGATAAGCTGTTGAATGAATTTTCCTTAAAGAAAAAACCACTCGATTAAATTATCAATTATGGAGCCCTAGATAAAAGATCAGTTGACTGTTTACGACTTTATTTAGAAGAAACAAGAGATATTTAATTAGTTGGTATCTTGTCAGCTCACCTTTATCTACTTGAAAATAAAGATATTTAATTATTGACTTGGTTTTAAGAGTATCGAAATTTCTTGAATTCTAAACAACTTTACAAAGAAAGGATGATAATAGAAAATCAAATTAAGGATTTCTAAAATAAGAACCCACCACTCTTGATTGAAGACTTGCTATTAAGCAAATAATAACAGATAGTTTAATATTGCCAATGCAATTCTATAGCCAATCCTGAATGTCTATCTTGCTTAACATTATATCCAAAATGCTCGATCTGTTACAACCCAATCTAAAATTAATTATATGTTGTTTGTTTGATATGTAGACATGGAGGACATGAGAAACATATTTAGGAGTGGTTCAACATTTACGACTAATGTCCATACAAAAAATGTTAATGTTATTGCAAATATGAATGATTCTTATAATTCTGTTTTATTACAAAATGTATTAAATTAATTTATTTGATTTAAACTATACAATTCCAATTAATATATTTGTATTGCAACAAAACTAAATAAATAATAAGATATGCATTGAAATAAAAATTTTGTCTCTTTAATATTTTGGTTTAATTTTAATTGTTTAAATTTTATACAATTATCAATAAATTATTCAAAGTTCCTCCGAATTCTTTATTAATTCTATAATTTATTTAAATTCACTATTTGGATTAGCTAGCAATTATTATGGATGATCAAACTCTGTTATTCTTCCATCATTTAAAACCATTATTTTATCCGAATTCATAATAGTAGTCACTTTATGAGCAATTGATATCATAGCAACATTCTGAAAATACGTATCAAATAACTAATTTAATTAAACAATTAAATACATTTTTAACATGCTCCTCTATTTTAGAATCAATATTAGATGTAGCCTCATCTACTAAAACAATACTTTTGTTTTCTAAAATACATCTAACAATGTTCAACAATTATTTTTCTCCTAATGATATATTACTGCCAGTCAAAGCAATTTCACTCTGCAATCCTTGTTATTTAAAACTCTGCATTTCTAATAAGCCACATTATTGAGCAATCTCCTAAATATGGGATTCTTCAAATTTATTCAAAGGGTCCAAATTTTGTTTTAGTGTCCCCATAAAAATAAGAGGATCTTAAGGAATAATTGCAAACTTTTATCTTAACTCATTAATGGAATAACAATTCATATTTTTTCTATCTATATTTATTGACCCCTCTGTTTATTCAAGAATTTAAGTTAAAGCTAAAATAATTGAACTTTTTCCAGCTCCAGTTCTTCCAACCACACCAATCTATAAAGTTTACGCTATTAAATACTTTTTCTTTCTTGTGTAATATTAATGATAATTCTTATAAAACACACTTAGAATTTGGTCTATATTAAAATGAACAGTTATCTAATTGCAATACGATATTGTCTTCATTATTTTGTTTATCATCACTACTATCAGTTTCATTAGCATTTGGGGTTACCAAAGAAATTGCCCTGTTCTCTTATTCAATTTTACTTAATAATCAATATAAAATTTACTTAGCCAAATGCAAACACCTTTCGAAACTAATAAGATACATTTAAATGTTCCCATAAGATATGGTAGAGTTTAAAAGCAATTATGATGCTGTTTGCATTTAATTCAATACTAGAATTGTCAGTTGTTGGGTAGTTCCTGGAAATATAAACTATGATAAAATAAATAATATACACAAACAATAAATAACAATGCTTAAAATATGTTTGTTATTGATCCTGCCAACGATTAATACCAATATTGAAAGCCAAATAGATTGATCTAATTACCTAGATCTACATCCACATTTCTTTACTATTGAATGACTATTTTTTCAATTGGTAAACATGTTCGAACATATGTTATTCCTCTAACAATTTGTTAAAAAAAGGAAAAGATAGGACTTTTTGAGACTGCTTCAATTCTCGTAATTTCCCTTAAACATCTATAATAAATTATTGTTAGATAAATTAGAATAATGAAAAAGACAATTAATAATGGTAATGCAATAGGATTCAAGTACAGAAAACTAGCAAATAATGGAAGTAAGAGAGTTGTTGCTTAAATAGTTAAATTTTGAATTTCATTTGGGAACAACAAATCTATATTGTATATATCTTTGCTTAATCTATTCATCAATCTTCCTATAAGAATTGTATTGTAAAATTTTGTATAGGAGGCATTCAACAAGCTTTAAATTACTGAATTATGAATTTTCCTTGATGTGGATAAACCCATTAATAAATAATATGTATTTAACAGTACCATTGCTAAAATGATCGGTGATTAAATCATAGGGAAATAAGTCATAGCCAATTTCCTATACTCTTGATCTGTCAGATCTTATTGGGCCATAAACTGATTACCAATCAATTAACAACCCAAGACAATACCAAAATAAAGTATATTACTTAAAATAGCTAAATATTTTCCCATGTATGCAAAGACCTATTTTATAACAGACCTCGATATATCACCTTTTTCCTAATCTTCCATTTGTATTAAACTGGATCTTACATCTAGATTTTCAGGATCCTCACTTTTGTAATGTTTTTCTTCAAATTAAATGTCAATTATTTCTTTTTAAGAATATTATTAATCATCATTTAAACCAGCAAGTTAATGGAACTTACCTTATTTCATAATTTTTCCATTATCAATAATATAGATCATATCACATTCTTATAAATTGGATAAAGAATTCGTAAATAAGATTCTAGTTTTACTCTTAAGGTATCCTTAAATGCATTACTAATGTATTTGATATTTAACTTTAATATCTAAAGCACTAGTAGGATCATCTAGTAAATAGATATCTGCATCATTATATATAGCCCTAGCTAAATTGAGTCTTTTTTATTATCCACCTGATAAATTATCACCTTTTTCTCCTAAAATGGTGTCATCTCCATTCTTAAATGAAGCAATATCTCTTTCTAGCCCACATATTTTAATAATTTATCTATATTTAATACTGTCAAATGAATTCATGAAGGTAATGTTCTTTTTGATACTTCCACTAATAATCCAGGGTTCTTAAGCAGCCACACTAATTGTTCCATTTACTAAAATATTTCCTGACTTTTTATAAGTCTCTCCTAAAATAGATCTCAATAGTGTTGATTTTCCAGAAGCAGAACTGTATTTATTAATATATTAATTTACTTTCCTACAAATGCAACAAATTGTCCTTTCTTGATTTCTAGATCTATATTAATTTGAAAAATATTCTAATCTGTTATTTCTTAATTTTCATCATTTATTTCTATTACATCTTTATTCATTTAATCATTTGATTTCCAACAATAACTACCATTATTTATTTTTATAGCATAATTTGTATTTTCACTAGATCTTTCAATCATATTGCAATCCTATTATAAAAAATAGTTATCAATTCTAGCCATTGAGTTTCTTGAAATTTAGAAGTTTTTATATTGATCAGGCAAGCTTGTGAGAATGTTGAGTATACTTTAATAATTTTACATCATGATGCTCATAGTTCCAAAATTAACTTCATTTGAAAAATAAAAAATGCATTCCCATGTCGATATTTATACAATCCCATAAATCAGTTGAATTGTAATCATCATTAGTACTTAATTTCTTAATTATTGAAGTTCCTTCTCTCTGTAATTTTTTATCTATTAATTATTATAATAAATAATTACTCTTTCCTCAAAAAAGTCTTCAAATGAATTCAATTTAACTTGCTTAGCATATATTAATGCTTCATCAACAGCTTTCATTCTATTATCCTTTGCAACCATATATCTCTTTTAAACAATCCCATACAAATATCCAAATATCAATCCAATTATGGCTTATATTATTGCTCCCACAGCTGGAACTATTGCTTGATTTCCTAAAGTGATAAATATTACTATGAAAGCACTTATCAACTATAACGGGACAGTAAAAATAATTATAGCATTATAAAAATAATTTGCAGCCTAATTTATATCCACTTACAGCATATTGATTAGTTCGCCTGTTGAATAATGTTGAGAACGAAATATGGGAAATTTCAATGTTTTTGTTAGGATTTCTTATTATAATGCTCCTTACTATTTGATACTCAGCAGGGAAGAATAAAACAATTAATAAGGCTTTATTAAAGAAAGTGTTATCATATAAATAAGTTGAATTGCTGCAAACAATAACATGCTTGAAAAAGAAGGTTTATCTTCAGGTTGATCATAAATAAAATATTTTTAAGATTCCTAAGTTATTATTGGCATACATAAGGATAACCCAGAAACAATTAAGTATAATACTCCACAATATAGGATCAAACCTTTAGTTAAGATATTTACATACATTTATACGAGCAGTATAAAGAATTTATAAAATTCTTTTTTTTGAAAAAAGCAAAAAATCTTGAATGGGATGATGACATATTTGACTCCTAATCAATGATCACTAAGTCTGTTTGAACAAGAGGCTTATTCTTTCCGATCTATTATTAATTGCTTAAATTATTTTTACAGCCATTAACCGATATATCCATGTAAAGAAGAAAACCTTTACACAATTTTTTGAACTGAATTCCACCTATGTTTAAGACACTAATAACGACGTTTAATCCTTTGGGTCAATGATTTTTGCCATAAAATATAATGAATAAAGGAAGAAATATAGATTAATATAAACTTGAAAATATAGAATAGACAGAATTTTTGTATACCTCAATAATATATTGTAAACCATAATTATTCTTATAAAATTGATTAATTTAAATTAAATTTAGCATTCTATAAGACAAAAGAAAAATGTTTTCTCAATTGCTATCAATAATTAATAATATTATTAATAGAAGTTGCTTTTCGAATATGTTATTTTTTCTTTTATTATTAATGAAAAGAAAAATGCATATTATTCAATAAATTTCACTAAACAAGCTGATGATTATTATTTTAATTAACCACTTAATCAATAAAGTGAGGAAGTTGATGATTCAAATACAATCAATTATAGCTGTGGAAAGATAGATTTTAACATTTAATTAATTAGTAAAGACATAAGATGATATTTCAATAACGAGAAGCTATTAGGATTTTTCATCATCAAATTTTTTTTAATGATTTACACGTATTAGCATAATAATTAAATTTATTTATGATTCCTGATAACTTGATGAAATGAAAAATTATTTTTGCAAAACATTTTACATCTGATAAAATTTCCAAATATAGTTATTTTAAGGTTAAAAAACCATAATCAATTGAATAACAAGCACTATAGGAAAACATAGTATAAATAACATGGATATCAAACTTCTTAACCTTTGTAACCAAAACAATTATTTCTAAAATCATAAACATTTTTAACTGAAACTGAAAATACAAACAGTTTAGTTGATAAAAGTTCTATTTTGTTTCCATTAAAATTAATAATGGAGTAGAAATTTTAATGAGAGCATTCTTTAAAAAACAAGTGTCAGAGCTATAATATAATATAAAATTAATTTTATTTTTTAATTTTTGTATGGATATTCTTGATGCTTCTTTAAAAGAATTGAACAAACGCATTTATCCTTTCGCTTTAAATGGAGAAATTACATTTATTTTCTTTATTCATTATCTAGAAATTTCTATGGAATATTTGCCCTTCGATTTAACTAATATAGATATAATAACTAAAGTTTGAACTTTTAGATGTATTTCTTAATTTAGAATATTTGAATACTACAATATTTACTATGTAATAAGTAATTTATATTACTAAAATAAAAAGCATTTTTAAGTAACAGAAGTCAATTTGCTTTATTCTTTTGTTATTCAAATTAATTAACAGATTTGAGACTATTAATTGACTAAAAAATTAAAAAAGACTGTAATTATAATTTAAAATTAATAAATTTATGAACTCAAAAAAAAATGATGTGTTTAGTTTAACAAGGCCTCAAATGTGCTAAGATCATAATAAAAAACTATAATTAGTTTGTTCTGATCCTGAATGTAAGGAACATGGCTTGATTTGCATTGATTGCCTACTTAACAATCATTAAGATTGCAAAGCTTATATTAAAAAGTATGATGAATTTCTGTAGTCTTTGTATAAAGAAATAGAAAGAGTTCAATGTATGAAGGAGAAAGTAAAAATAGTATTTAATTTTGAAGAGGTTTTAGGATGCATAATCTATTCTACTAAGTTTAGGGAAATTATAACAAAAATTTAATGATATCATTCTAACTCTGTAATTAGTAATAGAATATTTTAATTTTTAAGAATATTGAAACTTTCCTATAAGAATTCAATTAAGAGGACGACAACCAAATAATGATAAAGAAATTGTTTTAGGCTAATTTTGAAAGTGAAAATGAATCAATAAAATACCTAATATAAAATCTAGGCAAGCTTTCTTATAAAGAACAGGAATGTCCATGGGAGTCTTAAGGAATATAAATTGTCGAAAGTCTCTCTAAAATTCTATAAGGCATGAAGAATTTAGAGTTTTTAGAATAAAAACAGCCCATAGTTTCATCAAAATATTAAAAGGTCAAGGGAATAGAAGATTTAAAAGGAATAAATTATAGCATTCCAAAACTTCGGATAATATTGTATTCATTTAAGTAAATTAATTAGATAAGAAAACAATTGGGTAGGTGTAAGAAATATATTCCCAAAATTTGTTGCTTTAAATAATTTATAAATTACTGCCGTCAAATCCCCTTTAAAAGCTCAAATTTTAGAAGAAATAATTAGTGCAATGCAATACTTGCCTAGATTAGAAAAAGTTAAGATAAACCTTATTGGTTCAAATGCAAATGATTAAACATTAAGATTGATTCTAAAAATCATCACTAGTAAAAACTTGACCGAATTCGGAATTTCATTTGGATATAGTTAAATTTTATCAGATGAGTTTATTAGATAAATAAATTAGTTTAAAGAATAACTAAAGGGAATATCGAAGATATATATAAGTAATCAGCTACATGAATTTACGGAGAAGCAACAAAAGATGCTGAAAACATACATAAGTTAAATTGAATTTATCATGTGAAGACGATATGTATATTAATTATAGATTCAATCTTAAGGAATTTCTATTTAAAGGTTTTTTTTTTTAATTCCAACCACCTTTTTTCTTCCACTCTCAATAGTTTGTTTTTTTTCTTCTTCATCTGGAGGGGATTTTTGAGATGGAGATTGTTGATTGATTATCTCTCTTTCAGATTTTTCATAATCAAGGAACATCTTTCCTGTTTGTTTGTTTTATTCTGCTTACTCTTATTAATACATTCTATTAGTTTTTGTGAAAGAATTGGTTTGGCTTAATATTTGTGGTTAAGTATTAACATTGTCTGTTCTGCTTTCTTATTTACGATCACAAGAATTGACATACTATTGCAATTTATTAATTTCCTCTTCAAGTTTTTTATTTCTAGTCTATTGTTTTTTACGAATATAAATGAATAGAGCAATCCCTGCGAAAACTAGAAATATAATAACAAACACAATTATGTAAACTTCTGAATTATCTGAGTCTTAATCCATTATTGAAATTTTATTATTTAACTATTAAAATATTACTAAGTTGTAAAATATTGTAAATAACCTAAAATTCTTTGAGGATTTAAATTAGAAAAAGCTATAAATTTAGAAACGATTCAAAAACTCAACATATTTATAATAAGTTTTAGTATTTTATTTACGATTATTTTATCATACAAAACTAAATTGACTTACTTTGTTGAGTTATATCAAAATCTTTATATAATTTCATGTCTTTCAGTGTTAAATTTTAATGCTATCATCTTTGACTATTGTTCATTTTAAATATTGAGAATGAATCAGATAAAATTTCAATTATAAAAATATAATTAGAAATATTAAAAAGAAATATTTAATGGTAAAATCTTATATTATTTGTCTTCGATTAAATAAATCACTCTTGGTTTAACTAATTTAAAAGATTCAAAATTTCGGATGCCAATTCTTTCTTGGATTAGAAATTTACTAAAAACATATCCTATCCTTCTTATCCTAAATCAGTATCATCAAAATCGCCTAAAAGTATTGATTAATTTTTTACCTTTAGTTGTATTTACAGCAGGATCAGTAAAATAGGTTCCAACTCCTTAAACATCATTTATCATATATAATCCTTTACTAATAAAGAATGTATAATATGAGAAGGCTTGAGCAAATTTATTTAAATCTGAAGGATCTTCGTTTATGTAACCAAAATTATTGTTATATTTTACAAATTCACCTTTGAAAAACCTTTCTGCAATCCAATATTTATCTAAAATGTTATAAATTTGAAATACCTTTGCTTTCCTCTAAAATCAAAAAGTCACTATAAACTACATTAGGAAATTTACGATGAATATTTTATAATTCTTTAGCTTCTTCAATGTCAGCTGTAAATTTTTTCATCAATTATTAACATATCAAATGAGATCTACATTCTTGGACAGCTTCATGTTGTGATGAATATGGTTTACTACCAAGAGGAGTTTTTATGACATATAATTCATCTGATCCTCCATTTTTTTTTTTCATTAAAAAGACATCCTTCATCATACCAAAAGCAAATGGGAACTAAGTTCTGATACATTCCCACTTTCCTTCTACTTTGATTACATAATCGTTCTATGGATTTTTTCCAATGTTATTAATGGTCTATAAATTATCAGCAAAAACCTAATCATTTATTTTTACATTTAAAACTGTAAACACAGTGTCAACTACTTAAGTTTATTTTTCAAAGTTCTAAAAATCTCCTTATTTACATAAAGCCTCAATAGCACCATCTTTATTCTTTGGTCTATCCTATGATGGTTTTTTTGATTTAGTTCCTGATGATTTTACTTAGGTAGCTGTTACTGAGGCACTTCCTAAGGATCCAGCCATTTTTTCGGCTAACTGAGCAACTTAAAGCCCTGCAACATCAACATACACAAAATAATCAGAAGCATTTTTAGCTTCATATATTTTTTTAAATTCTTCATACATTTTAATAGTTTTATCATTTAAGTTAAAACCTATTAAGATAATTTATTTTTCAATCAAACGATGAAGAACTTCTGTGATGTCATCATTAGGATGAAAATCACCAGGGAATGAATGATATTTTCTTCCATGACATGGGGAATCAGTAATTAAAATTGCTATCCTAAATTTATTCTTCCATTCAAGATTTGTAATCATTTATTCTAAGGCTCCTCTAACATCTTCTGGTATATCTCGGCCTCCTTCTATTTTAACTCTTGTAATAAAAGTCTAAAAGCCTTAGATATCGTTTGAGAATGGATATTGACAATAATATCCATCTTTTGGTTTCTATTCGATATCGTAATAGGCAATAGAAGAAACAATGGTATCTCTGTTAGTTTGTTATTTGATAACTTTTAAGGATTCTTAAACACAGCATCTTGCCTGCTCAACGTATGGTTCCATAGATCTAAATATATAAATTAATGGATACTTAGTACAATCAATGACATAGCAAATGTCTAATTTTCCATATTCTTCTAGAGAACCTTATTATTTCTTCATCATTATTTCTTTGATCATCTTGTTTTCATTTTTTTTATCATCCATTCTTTTTTAATCCATCATTGCTTTTTTTTTTTTACTTTCTTAGATCTATTATTCTTTCAATAATCTATTTTTTTCCAATTCTTCATCATTTTTTTTCATGTTGTACTCCGCTTCAGCTTTTAATTTTTGTAATTATTATTCAAATTATTTTTTATTTTGATCGTTTGATTTATTATTTGAGGAATTCTACTAGTATTGATTAAATAAGGCTTCCATGTCTTTCAACTGCTTTTTTAATAAGTTAATATTTTCTTCTTCTCCTTTCAACCTATCCTGTAGATCATTATTCTTTTATTTTTATTCTCTTAATTACATAGTTATATTATCTATTGATTAATCTTTTTCTGAGAGTTGCTTTTAATACATAATTTCTTTTTTTTTCCAATTAGCAATTTCTGCTTATGAGTCCAAAAAATACTAATGTTCCTTTTAATTTAGATACTCTAATTCCTTAATTTTTGCTACTTATTCTCTAATAGTTTCATCCTTTTATGACAATTGCTCCTCAATACTTCTTTTCTAATCATTCAATTATTTAAATCTTTTTTTCTCTTCTTCTGATTGTCCTTATTGTTGGTCAAGCAATTGCTACAACTTTTTCTAATCATCTTTTTACATTAAAATTTAAAGTTATGATGAAAGGTTTCTTTTATTAACATTCAAATTTTGTATTTCTTCACTATTATTTTACAATTCTTCCTTTTAGGTTTTGCATAGCGATTCAAGCTATTTTATTTTTAATAAGGCTTATTCTAATTCATATCTAAGCTTTGATATTTCTGCATCTTTAGTTTAATCATCTTTTTATAATTCATCTATTTAGTTGTTCAAACTTGTAATCTTATTTTCTAGTTTTTTAATATCATTAGCTTTAATTCTAGTTAGATCATAAATATCATCATTCAATTTATCAATTTCCTAATCCTTTTCTTTTAATTTAGCCTATAATTATTTAATTTTGTCATTATTATTATTTTGCATTGGCATCGGCTGGTTGGGAAAATTTTAAAATGGGGTTGAATAAGGGAATGGTTAAAATGAACCATGATTGGAAATCATTGGATACATTGGATTCGGTAGGTTCATTGCATCTATGATAATTATTCAACTTTTGATACTTGGGTTTCCCATTATTTGAGGCTAGACTTAAGGGTTTTAATTCACATTTGGGAGCTATTAACCGAATTATTGGTATTATTGAGCATTTTGTTAAGGTTATCCCATAATTTGTTATTATTATGCGATGAATTGTGTCTGACCCTGAAATTAGAATTGATTACCAACTATTTATTTATTTATTTAGAATAATTACTTTATTAATTCTGGTCAGGTGCTTGATTAGATTATTATTAGTATTCCTACCCATATTGTTGGTTCATTTGATAATAAAATATTAAAAAATTACGGAAAATCAAAAGCATTAAAAATAGCATTAATAGAATTTCGAAGAAGATATATTTATTTTAATATTTAAGTCTATATTTTATGAATTAGTTACTGATGATGAGTTTTCAGACCTTATTAATTATTGAAATTGACATTTGATAATATAATTTAAAAAAATACAACTTGAAGAATATAAAAATTGTTATAATAGAAATGTTAAATAAATATAATATATATATGATAAATATAAATTTGCAAATCCCTTCGTCAAATAAAATAGGGTATGCTATTAAGTTTCACCAGAATAAATAGATGTCAGAATTATTTGACTGGATCTATGATAATTTCAATTAGTATACTTTTATTTAAGCTCAGGTTCTTCAAAGGGGACAATAAAAATAAACTAGAATTAAATAATAAAAACAAGAGACAAACCTTTCGAAGTTCCAATTAATTGGTGAGCTCCTGTATAAGTGAAAAAGATGTCTTAGAAATAAATGAAGTTGAATCAGAAATATCATTTCTATCTTTTTGTTTGCAATCAGAATTCAAAAATTTAAATGTTAAGATTTAAGATGATATTACCATTCAAGAACTGATAGATTTTGTTTATAGCAACTTCGATATTCCTCTAGATATCAAAATAGAGATGATATATGAAAACTAAAACCTATTTAATTTAAGTAGAATTTAAAAATTAGCTAATCTCAATGTGGAAAATGGGGCGACTATAAAAATTAAACCTCTCTATCCTTTGGACAACAACTTAATAAACCTATAGCTAATATGCAAAGATAATGGAAAAAGCTGGAGGTACTAATTTTAAAAAAGTGACATCTTAAATACAGTCATAAATAGCGCATATAATTGTTTAGGATTAGATGAGTAATTTAAATAAATGTATTCTAGAAATTCAGTGGGGTTTAGCATTGTCATTAAAAGCAGAAACTATAAAGGTGATGCCAATAAGGATAGGTATAAAACATTATCTTCCCTTAAACTTGAGGATGATGACATAATTGAAGTCAGGATTTTATACAGTGGAGGATGATATAATTAAATATATAAGAAGAAGTAGAATATTTTATAATATATTATAAGCTACAGAAGAAGGAATATTTAATCAATAATATAAATGAAATAATTCTCAATTTTATTAAATTAACAGTCTTATAATAATCCTCCAATTTTGTTGGCAGCCCATATTAATTTTATTACTTATATATTAAATAATTCTACAAAACGATTAAATTGGATATCTCAACATTTGATAATGAACCATAGAGATATAGCTTTCTTAATATTTTGATTGATCAACCCTTGGAGTGCGCATAATCTTTTGGATAGTTTATCACAAATGTTTTAAATTTCTTAAATTTCTATTGTATAATTTCTTATTTATTTGGTTTAGAAATAGAAAATATGCTATAGGATCAACATAGGCTTTGGCAACATGATGAACTTATCCATTATGAGGCCGATCAACGAATTGAAGTATTTTAAATTTATACTTCAACTTATTTGAAAGGAGAATCTTATGTAATAATAAAATATTTATTTTGCAAATAACCTTTAATATATTAAATAAAATGAATTCTCAACCATAAGGATTTAAACTGTACAATTCTGCTCAGAATAATGAAATAATAAATAAAAGAAGAAAACTTAGTATAGGAAGTGAAGGTAGTGATTCAACTGGTGAAAAATTAAATGAGAGCTTCAATAGATTAACTTTAAGTGCTGGAAATCCATAAAGCTCTTTCCAACCTTTTGTTAAGATTCCCATAACTTAAGTTCGACCTCCAGAAAGACCCTTAAATCACCCTTCTTTAATGATGGGAATTTAAAAATATCTGAAATTGGGGGAAGATTTGGAGGCAGAAGATCTCTTAACAAAACCTTATAATGATCTTTAGTAAATCTAGAATCTTCAATAATTACCGCAGCAGAGACTACATTTTATACCATTTGGAATGCCTGCAAATTATGAAAAATTGATGTCAGAAGCAAAGAATGTCTTACAAAGTGAAATAAAAGTTGAGGAAGAAAGATAAAAAAGAAACATTGATGATTATTTGATTGAATAAAAACTATTGAACCCAGGTTAAAAATTAAGTAAAGAAGAAAGGGCTGCCAAAGTCAAGGCATATTTAGAAAAAAAGCATAATCGTTTATGGAAATAAGTGAGGTATTTAATTGATTTAATAATCCACAGATACCCTGTAAGAAAAAACCTTGCTGAATTTAGAGAGAGAGTATAAGGAAGATTTACTAAATCTGAAAAACCAAGATTCAATTAAAGTCTAATACTGTTAGATAAAGAAGAACGAAAAATGGAAACCTTAACTAATTCATATGCTTGATCTATTATTATTTAATCTATATGAAAATTTATTTAAGATTTCATATACCACTTAATTATCAAAATTTTGAATTTATTCATACTATCTATTGAATATAGAAACAAAGCATATTTATGTAATTGAGTTTTATTTTTACATCTAGTATTTCTTAAAAGCGCATAGGTTCTAAGAATATTAACTCTAGATTAAGGCTTCTTTAGTTGAATGAAAATTATAGTTCTATTAATGTATATTTTGAATATAATTAATTTAATTAGATTCTGATAAATTCAAAATGATTATATTTGAGGTTGTGTAACTAACTATATTAAGAAAGGAGAATTAGAAATTTTTATTAATTTTTTGCTATGTAAAATTAAAAAATCAAATTGAAAGACTTGAATAGGATAGCTTACCTGATTAAAAACAATCGTTACTTCGTAACTATATGAATAAATCATAAAATTAATTAGCGTGCAGGCTCTTATCCATTATTTTATTTTGATGGATTTTAATGAAAATTGATTGATTATTAATATTAATGCAATCATTTAATGAGGGAGAGTCCCACTCAACAACCTTAGAGCCATCAAAGTAAAGTATTGTAGTAAGTAGGTCATTCAAATCTAGATCGATCTTTGATACAATGGAAGCTTCAACGAAGTAATTCTATATGTTTGATAATGACACAGGGGATATAATCGACCTAAGAACTTCTTAAACGGTTGAATGTGACTAAATATAATTCTAAAAAGAAAATGCATGGCAGGATTTTTGGAAAGAATCTTAGTTGAAAACTTTGGAGCTTATTAAAGCATGCAAATTAGGTTAGTTTTCGATTGTAGAATCAATATTGTAATCCTCAAACTTCATTGATATAAATGCTAAAGATTCAAATGATTAGACATGTTTACACTTTGCTTGTAGTTCTGGCAACTTTCAAATAGCTTATCACTTAATTTAAAAAGGAAGTTAGGTGAATGAACAAGATTGTGATGGATGTACTCCTTTGATGGTCAGTGTTAAAAACAATCACTTAGACTTGGTTACTTTACTTTTATACAACAAAGCCAATGTCGACAGATAAGATTTTTCAATGAACACACCTCTACATATAGCCTTGGACAATAACTGTTTGGAAATCATTAAACTCTTACTCAATTACAAAGCTGATCCCTACATATAGAATGGTGAAAATGTCAATGCACTTTAGTTAATATCAAATACAGAACAGTAACAAATATTCAAATAATTTGGATATGAAAAATAATATGTGAAAGAAAGACTGGTTTCAAGCAATAATGAGAATAAGGAATCCAATTCTTCCTATCGTAAAAGTATAAGTAGAATAATGAAATTTTTGGGCTAATCAGTTCCTACTAATTCGTTGTAGAAATAAACTTATCAGGCAAGGCAATCTGTGGTTCCAATAGGAGGTCAGAATATTGGGCCAGATTCCTTTACTTATCACAAAGAATTAGGGAAAGGATCCTTTGGTATTGTTTACCTCGTTAAAAAAAAAGATGAATACAATAGTTTATACGCAATGAAAGTGTTGAGAAAAGAGAAAATTAGTTAAAAACTATTACCCTATATTTAAACTGAGAAATCCATCCTATCAGTGATTGATCATCCTTTTATCGTGAAATTACATTATGCTTTCTAAACTCAATTCAAACTGTTTTTGGTGATGGATTTTTGTCCTGGAGGGGATTTAACTAAACTCCTAGATTTAAAGTCCAAGTTGGCAGAGCATGTTGCCAAAATGTATACTGCTGAGATCATCTTAGCCATTGAAGCTCTACATCAAAATAAAATCATGTATAGAGATCTAAAACCGTAAAACATTATTATTGACAATAATGGTCATTGTATGTTAACCGATTTTGGATTAGCTAAAACTGATATAGAAACCGAAGATACAAAGTCTTTTTGTGGAACTCCTGCTTATATGGCACCTGAGGTTGTCAATAAAAAATTATATAATCGTTCTGTTGATTGGTATCAATTAGGTACTATAACACATGAAATGCTTTTTGGCATGCCTCCTTATTATAGTCATAACAGGGAAGAATTATTTGAAAATATCAAAAATAAATAACTTAGATTCCCTTAAAATAATTTATCAAAGGAAGCCCTTTCATTCATTTAATAAGTAATATCATATCTATTCCAAGTTGTTAGAGAGAAATCCTTCGAAGAGATTAGGCGCAAAAAAGGACTCAGAAGAAGTCAAAGCTCATCCCTGGTTTTCAGGTTTCAATTGGGATGATGTTATGAATAAAAAATTACCTGTCCCCTCCCCCAGCATCATGAATCAAGCCAATCAGACTCTGCAAGTCAATTTTGATGAAGATTCTCAAATCCAATAGAGAAAGGCTATAGATAATTGGACTTTTATATCTGATTGATAATATATATAAATTAAACTATGGAATATGAAATTATGCTGCTATGCAACACTTTAGGAATAGGAATTGTTGTGATGATAATCCTCTATCATTTAGTTGGTACCAAAGCAGATAAGAAAACATATTGATTAATATTCATATTTCGTGTCCAAGCCTTACCTTATGATGACCCTTTGTAAATATAAATTCTGAACTCTGATTTCTTTATTCAAGTTTCTTTTATGATTGATTCAATAAATTGTTTATCGAGTCCAATGTACCCAAACTCCCATCATGTCTGACCTATTCACCCCATAAAAACGAAGCAGTTTCTAATGCTTTGTGCAATTTGTGTTACAACACTATTTTATTTACATCCAAGAATTACAATTTTTGTTAATTGGGTCTATCCTTTCCATTCTAGCTTAGTATTTCTTTACATCATCAATTTGAGAAAACTGATTTTATATTATGTAACAATACCATTCCTTAAATGTCTAACTTTTTCTAATTTCCAGATGGGAAATATTCAAATTTATTTAGTTTGCTAAGAAAATCCTGCTTCTTACTTTGATTTTTTTCCGCATGTTGTTTTTGCATCTAATAAAAAGGGGTTTATTCGATCCCAATCCCTGGAAATCTCACGTACTAATTCTTTAACTATAAGGTTACTTCCTTGTTTTTTCCAGACTCATTTATTTTCTCCCAAACTTCCTTCGTTCCATACGCTTTAAATGGATTAATTTATTCCTTTTAATTCATTTATTATATGTTATTTGATACTATAATAAATACTTTAGACTAATTTCTAGTGATAATAATCTTAATGCTGAACATTGTATAAAGAGAATATAATATACATATGAAAACTAAATAGAATATGGATAATATAAATAACAATAAGATTTATAATTAATACAATATATAGACTCTCTTACTGAGGTATCAAATTAGTTGCCAATTACTACATAAATATTATCGGATAATTTTATATAAAATCTCCATTGCTTCTTTTATTGATTATTAACTTTCTTTTGTTTAGGGGAATTGGGGAAAGATAAAACAAGGTAATCTGAAAAGATTATCTTATTTAAAAAATCGATATATGACTTAAAAGAGATAATATCTCAATATTTAACCTTATTAGTTTACTATTAACCCAACTTTCGATTGAGAAAAAATTGAAAAATGAAAGAAAAATATCACCAGCCTTGATTCTTTTTAATATACAACTTATATTATCTCAATGATCTAATTTATAGAATGCTTATGCTTTTATAATGGATAGATAATCATTGTCATTATTTCCTCCTCTATTGTAAAACCTAATTTTATCAACAAATTGATCTGCAAATCTAATTCTAACTATTCCTGCAAATGAGGTAGTTTAATAAACCAGTTTTTCCTTTCCTTAATAGGAAATATATAATTAGAAATTATAGTGTAAGAAAGAGAAATAATCGAAAATTTCAACAACTATGGTGTTGATTTCATATTTCTTTAATAATTGGATTTCAATTGAATAATAAAGATGACAAAATGTAAAGCCCGTTTTACCATCAATATAATATATGGCATCTCGATTTAATTAAGAGTTCATTAAACCACCTTCAAAATAGGTATTTTTTCTACTAATTATATTAATTTAGCGAAAATTCAGCACATCCTAATAATTACCTCTTATAATCTTTTTATCAATTGAATCTATAGTACAACAATCAGATAGAATAATTGTTAATAATAGTAGTTGAAAAGTCATTTTGTTATTTTATTTATATAATGAGAATAATAAATTTTTTGTATGAATACTTAAAGTAAAATATGAAATAAGATTCTCAAAACCCGGTTTATTCAAAGTACTTTATTGATTACATCAATAATATCGATGGTAGAATGCTTATGCTTTAATAATGGACAGGTATCCATTGTAATTAGATCCTCCTCTATTGTAAATTCTGATTTTATCTACAAATTGATCTTCAAATCGAATTCTAATTATTCCTGCAAATGAGGTAGTTTCATAAACCTGTTTTTCCTCATCAAAAAAGGAAATATATATTTAAAAATCGTACTGTACATCAACTAAACGATCCCATATTTCAAGAACAATAGTATTGATTTCATATTTCTTAAATAATTGAATTTCAATAGAATCTTAAAGATAACAAAATGTATAGCCCATTCCACCATTAACATAATATATAGCATCTCGATTTAATTAAGAGTTCATTTAACCACCATTAAAATAAGTATTTTTTCTACTTATTAAATTAATTTAATGAAAATTCATCACATCTTTGTAGTTTCCTCTTAGAATTCTTGTCTTTTTTTGCAACTAATTTATAGTGCAACAATCAGAGAGACTGAGAGTTAATATTAGAACTTGAAAAATCATTATTTAAATATTTTATAAATATAAGTGAAAATATTAATTTGTTGCACCATTTTACAACTAGATTTTTGGATTAAAGAAGAAAGGAAAAAAATTAATCTTTAATTGTTATAATCAAACCCATCTATTTCTAACAGCATCATAATTTAGATGTGACTTTCCTCCTCCTAGTTGATTGGGTCTTCTCGGTAATGCAAGAATTGGACAATAATTTTCATCTCTTTATTTTTCTATATAATCCATTTAATAAGTAGAATTTCCAATTTATCCTGGGTCTCCATTAATGTTACGTTAAACTGGATCTCTACATCTTTCCTATTTGCTTATTGGTTTTGGCACATAGGATGTCTTATAAGTCGTCGATCCAAAATCGGTGTTCACATTGGGACCATCTTTTACCTATGGTTTGAATTATTCAGATCCTCCAACAGGTTTTTAGATAAAATCTACACCATACGTAGTATTCCATGGTACTTATCTAGGAGCTGACTTGTAAGGTTGCTTTAATAAAGCACATTTCAATGGCAATGGAAATCTATTTAGTAACTGATATACTTCTAATAATTAGTTTAATAGTCTGATAAGCTGGAGAAAGGTTAAGAAGGTTGCAATTCAGGCAATTATCTCGTTTCTCTTTCTGGCAATGGTCTCTAGATGTATTCACTCTAATATTAACTCTTTAAAGTAGATGGATCATAGGAATGTTACTAGGGCTACCTATCATAATTGAATGGTCTTTATTTGCTCGATTTCCATGGTTAATAGTCATGTCTAGCTTATTTGGATATATATACTGGAATGTAGACTAGAAGTCACCATGCATATTATCAGTGTGAATTGGACAATGATGTTTTCCACATTTACATATTTCGCAGACACATCTGTTGTGAAACTGATTTGAGGATTGTGCTGTCTTAGATGAATGAAATAGGGATTTGATTGTATTATTAATCATTAAATAATCATTGCTATTACTTCTATTCTTTTATTATATTGCGCAATTCTTCAGATTGTTTTTTCCAATTTGGATCAAGAGGAGCTTTGCCCTATTTCTTTTGTAATTGCTTCTCCTTTATTTAACCTTGTCGCATTAATTTTTATTAATCATTTGAGACTATTCTTGCCTATTTGGAATTGAACTCTTGTCTTTTCTATTGAAACACCTGTTTACACACTTTAGTATGTTTTTCCAGAACATCTTATTTAAACTGTCTTCCACAACCTTCAGGACAAAGCACTAATTCTAGATCTTCGATGGGTTCAGCTTCCTCTAATTGTATTACCATATTGATTACCAAGTTATTATTGCACTTTGGTTTGATCAGCAACTGCTACTTTATTTTCAATGGGATTTTTTGAACCTAATAATGCTGCTTCTCGCTTATTCTAATTCCCAATCGATGGCATATAGGAATCTGATTAAGTTTGTTTGGCCTATTAAACTTAAGCCTGCTAAACTTCCTTCTTTTCAACTTGGATTTGTTTCCTAAAAAGCTCCTCTTGTCCAGGTAAATAGAGTCCTTGATTAAGAGGGGCAGTATTTTTCTTTTCGTCTGATCGTTAGATTCTATCTTTAAGAGGTACCTTCTCTTAAAATGAACCTGTTTTAAAGAAATCTTCTTTAGTGCTTGTTAACTAAGGTTCTTATTCTTATGGTTGAGTGGAACGGTTGCGAATATTGAAGGATGGTTTGCTGGCAAAATTGGGTTTCGAATTGTTGGCAGAAAAATCTGACTTTTGAGTACTTTCTAAAGATAAAGTTTATTCTTATTTTTTAAATGACCCAGAGGTACTGTCCATCTTCAAATTCGGCTTGTAATTCATTTATTTTATTATTATATTTTTATAATACTTTGTAACAATTATGCTTTTTGATAAATAATTTAAACTTAATTTCTAAATAAACTCACTTTAATATATTAATAACACCATAACATTATGATTGAACTCGTATTCATGTGAGTGTATTAGTTTATCGATATAGTTTAGTTTTTATGAAAAGTTAACAATCATAGGTAGAAATTGGTTATCACTAAATATTAGTTCAGGTTTAGTGAAAATTGATTTATTGATGATAAAAATAATAAATGCCAATTCGAAATTGTAGGTGTATAGGGAAATTAAGATAGCAAGTAATATAATGAATTGGTAAAATTAATTAAATATATTATGATTTTAGATGTTACATAGAGAACTGAGCCATACACAACCAATTTTCGTGTATCAAAGGAGTAATTGTGTCAAGTGGCTTATGCATGTTAGGAAAGGACATTTACTGAAGAGATAGATCAATTGGAGGAGTTGGGAGGGCAAGAATTTCTAGAGGTTTAAGATAGTTTAAACTTTAGATGGCTTTGTGCTCAAATTATAAGGATGGGTTACTATTGAATGATGTAAGTTTGAGAGAACAGAATTTCGGACATAATCGCAAACCACTAATTCTTCCGAAATCTTATTGTTAATTGTTGTGGGGGGCTTTGGAAGACTTTACTATGAGGATACTCTGTCTGGCAGCTTTGGTGAGTATTGCAGTTGATGTAGCCACTGCATCATCAGATTATCGTGCTTATGCATGGATAGAAGGTAAAACTATAGAAATGTAAGAGTGCTAGGTTTTGCGATCCTTGTGGCAGTGATAATCTCGACTAATGCTAATGCAATTAATGATTATTAAAAGGAGAAATAGTTTCAAAAGTTGAATGCAGTAGCTGATGAACGAAAAAGAGTTACAGTAATAAGAAATGGATAGAAATGTGATATTCATATGAGTGAAGTTATGGTTGGAGATATCGTAATGATATTTGAAGGAATGGAAATCCCAGCCGATGGTCTGGTACTTGAAGCCTCAGATCTGACAACTGACGAGTCAGCCATGACAGGAGAAACCGACCCTATAAAAAAGAACACATTACCCTATTGTATAGCTCGAAGGAATCAAACTGACTCCGCAACAGCTGGTCATCATGAAGTTCCCTCTCCTATTATGATGAGTGGCACCAGGGTCTTGACAGGAGAAGGCAAGATGATTATTTTAGTGGTTGGAGATTTGTCATGTGCAGGCAAAATCAGTGCTTTACTCCGTTAAGATGAACCAGAAGGTACTCCTAATATAATATCCAATTAGCCACTCCTTTATAAGTCAAATTAGCTGCTATTGCAGAAGATATAGGGAAATTTGGATTGTACAGTGCAATCATAATTGTTGTTGTTATGTGCATTAGATTTGCAGTTGAAAAGTCATAGGTTGAATGGGAAAATAAGTATATTGTAGAGATAGTCAATTTCTTTATTATTGGAATCACAGTCATTGTGGTTGCAATTCCTGAAGGATTACCCTTGGCAGTAACACTCTCTTTAGCTTATTCAACCAAATAAATGTTGAGAGATTAAAATCTAGTCAGGAAAATGGCAGCATGTGAAACTATGGGAGGAGCATCAATGATATGTTCTGATAAAACTGGAACGTTAACTTAGAATAAGATGACTCTAGTTAATATTTGGAATGACAATTTAATTGAATTGGAAACCTATTAAGCATGTAATTTGACTGAGTATCTCCCTTAACATTTAGCAGATATATTTATATAATCAGCCATTGTAAATTCAAGTGCGATGCTTAGACCAGAACCTAAAGGGTCTAAGACTGAAATATCATTCTTAGAGTTTATGGATAGATGTCAAAAGCCTTATGAGGAATTTAGAGATAAATATCCTATTGTAGTTAAATATCCATTTAGCAGTCAAAGAAAGAGAATGTCCATGATTTTAGATGTCGGAGGATAGCAAAGATTAGTATGCAAAGGAGCTTCAGAAATGGTATTAGCAGCATGTTCTTAATATCATTCAAAATCTAATGGAGTCACAACAATCAATTCTTTGGTAGTTGAAGATGCTATTGAAAATATGGCAAAGAAAGCTTTAAGAACAATATGTTTGGCATATAAAAATATTTCAAACAGTGCTGATTTGACAAGTAAAGATGATAAAGGTGTATATAATATTGAATAAAATGATTTGATTCTCTTAGCTGTCTTAGGCATTAAAGATATTATCAGATAAGAAGTACCTAGAGCCATCTAATTATGCAAGAAAGCAGGAATCAAAGTCAGAATGGTTACTGGTGATAATATAACAACAGCAAGGGCCATAGCAAACGAATGTGGAATCATCACTAATCCTGATGATAGTATTGTAATGGAAGGACCTGAATTCGTTAGAAGAATTGGAGGAGTCGTTTGTAAGAATTGTCATCCAGAAGTTTGTAATTGTGTTAGGGATAGTCAGACAGCATAAAAGGAAGGCAAAAAGTTAAGGATTGACACAATAGCTAATCCTGAAGAATTCGATAAGATATATCCATATCTTGATGTCTTGGCTCGTAGTAGGCCAGAGGATAAATATGCTTTAGTAACTGGTTTGATTGAAAGAAATCATGTGGTAGCTGTAACTGGTGATGGAACAAACGATGCTCCAGCTCTAAAAAAAGCAGATGTTGGATTTGCAATGGGAGTCTCAGGAACTGAAGTTGCTAGGGAAGCTGCGGCTATCATTCTGTTGGATGACAACTTCAATTCGATAGTGAAAGCTGTTATGTGGGGTAGAAATGTGTATGATAACATAAAGAAGTTTCTTAGATTTTAATTGACTGCTAATCTAGTAAGTGTATCATTGACTTTAATCGGGGCTGCAGTACTCAGATAGGAAGTTCTAAGACCAATTTAATTGCTATGGGTCAATTTAATTATGGACACATTAGGCTCATTGGCTTTGGCAACTGAACCTCCATCTGAGAAACTGTTGAATCGGAAACCTCATGATAGAAATGAATACATAATATCAAAGAAGATGTTTAAGTTTATTGTGGGAACAGCTCTCATTTAAGTGGGAGTTGTTCTTGTGATAGTATTTGTAGGTGACAAATTTCTACCTGAATATCAAGATGCCTATGATACAACTGCATTTAGTGGACCAAAGATAAGGTTTAAATACAGTAATCACAATTGTGTAACAGATTTTGAATCATTAAAATCATTGGGATTAACCAAGTTAAATGAAACATCATCAACGGACGATCCAGATGATTCTGATAAATGCTTAAAAACTAGATGTGTATGTTAAAATGATGAATGCTATGAAATTTAATGTCCTCCTTGTCTTTATAATGCAGATTCATGTTCAATTGTGGCTAGTGGAAGATTAATGACAGTTCAAGGAGACTATGATTATTACATTATGTACAACATAGAACATGAAGGAAGTAGACATGTAATTGTTATAATCTAATTTTAGTTTACTTATGTGTTCAATGTATTTATTATGTTGCAATTGTTTAATTTCTTGAATAGCAGAAGGATCACTGATGAAATCAATTTCCTTGATAATATAACCAACCATTCTGCCTTCCTCATCATAGTGCCATTCATCTTCTGCATTTAGGTGTTGATGGTTACTTTTGGATCAGCAGCCATTGGATTATATGGTTGTTATGGTTTATAAATAAAACAATGGTTGATTGGAATTGGATTTGGTAGTATCTCATTATTAGGATGCCTTATCCTTAAATTAATCCCTGAAGATAACTTTTGTAGTTAAATGGGATCCCAAAAGATTGTACCTCTCCAACAAGAAGTCAAAGTCTCCTCATAAAAAGTCGAATAAACTCCTAATGCTCTTGCAAAACATTATAACTCAATTTAAAGACATCCAGAACATTGAATATAAATTATTTAATTAATGAATCTACTCAAAAAGGCAACGACTGTCGTTTGTTCTGTTCAAGAACATTAAGAAGTTGACTAGAAGATTATCCATCTGTGTCTGGACTCCAAGTGTTAGATTTCCAAAAAAGCCTTATGCGGTCTATGTCTTGGAGAAGAGCATTATGGCCATAAATCAATCAATCTCTCTACATTGGACTCTCTAATCAAGAATGAGTGGACTCGTGAAATTAAGCAATACAATTAGAAGAATAAAGATCTAACAGATTCTATTCAGATGAGCATAAATGCGATTCTGAATAAGGCCAGACTCCTTTAAGACCAGATAGCATAGTTTGTTAATTAGGACATGTAGGAGAGTAAAGTAGGCATTTTGAAGCGCAAGTACATCGATTAGCCAAATCTAACTGAAAAAGATTATGAATAATTAGCCAAAGATGTTTGTGATATTATCCATTATAATAATGGTGTTCCTGATTTTAAGCCAATCGATTATGAGCCTAATGACAAATTCTAGAGTCTAGCGCAAAGGTTGATTTTTGATGCAACACTTTTTTGCAAAGATATTTCACTTATTACCAAATCTAACATTGTTCACCAAAGTTTTGCAGAGCAAATACAAGATCTGTTATTTTAGATTAATAGTATAACGAATCTAATTGAGAAACCATTGAGTTATTTGATGCAAAGTCGCCGACTCTTTCCAAATGACAAAAGCGAAACCTAATCTATGCAAAGAATCGATTTTGATTAGTAGAGCGTATTTGGCACCATTACATAATCACCCTTTTGCATTTAGAAGTAAGTGAAGTTCAAGACTTTAGAAATGAAAGGGTTCACTAAAATTTACGAAGAGTTATTCAACAAACCATTTACTTAAACTCATATTGAATTAATAAAGCAAAGGTGCACTCCTTAATCTTAGATATGCATAGGTGGAGTCAGTGTCAATGATCCCGACTCATTTATTTTATGTGCAACTGATTATGCCTCAGAGTTTTACACGGAAACATAGGACTTAAAATTGGCAAGGAAGAGTCGAAATGGAGAAATATTTTGGTATTATGTTAGGAATCGTTGTATTGGATTTAGTCCTATGAGTAAGGTCGATTTAAAGTATCCTGACGTAGATAATGAAGAAGGAGATTTACGGTTTTCTTTGTGGCTCTTTCATGGACAGGGTGGGTATAGAATTGGAAGACTAGAAAGTTTAGAGTAAAGTGTTGAATATAAATGTGTGATTTATTTAAAGAAATGATATTATGAGAGAAAATAAATTAAAAAATAAGTTTGCTTTAGTTTTAGTAATGCTATAATTTTAAATTTTGTGAGTTCAGTTTTTCTCCATCTAGATTTACTTAAATAACAGTTAATATTTTAATTTTTGAATTTATTTTACAAAAATGCTAAGTATGAATTTTAGTATATTGAAGCACAAAATTTCTATGATTTAAGAGTAGGTGATAAGATGAGCACCAACAACAATAGGTAATTGGAAAGGTATGAAAAATTGGAAAAGATCGGAGAGGGTAATGCATTATTCAAATGTGTATAGGAACTTATGGTGTAGTTTACAAGGCTCGTGATTCAGTAACCAAAGAGTTAGTGGCTCTAAAGAAAATCAAATTGGAAAATGAAGATGAGGGAGTTCCCTCTACTGCTATGAGAGAGATCTCAATTTTGAAAGAGCTTCAACCTCATCCAAACATTGTGGGTTTAAAAGAAGTCATTTATTAACCAAATGAGAAGAAACTCTATTTAGTTTTCGAATATGTCGAAATGGATTTTAAAAAGTTCCTTGATTAAAACAAACACAATCTTACCCTTAGTCAAATCAAAGTAAACATTTGAACACTAACAACATATAGCATTTCACATTCTAAATCTTGAATGGACTTAATTATTGTCATTCCAGACGTATCATCCACAGAGATCTTAAACCATAAAATATACTAATCGACAAATCAACTGGCATTATTAAATTGGCTGACTTCGGTTTGGCTAGAGCATTTGGAGTTCCCATCAAAACTCTGACTCACGAAGTAGAGACCTTATGGTACAGAGCTCCCGAGATCTTATTATCATAAAAATAGTATTCTTTGGGAGTGGACATCTGGTCTGTCGGATGTATCCTCACAGAAATGGTTGAAAAGCATGGCCTATTTTGTGGTGATAGTGAAATCGATTAGATCTTTAAGATTTTCTAATACCATGGCACACCCACTGTTCAAGATTGGCCTAACATAGCGGATTTGCCAGATTTCAAACCTACCTTTCCTCGTTTTAGACCAACCCCTCCTGAATAATTTTTCAAGAACTTTGATAAGGTAAATTTATCATCTTAAAGGAAAGGTTGGATTAGATTTAGTTACTAAAATGATTGCATTGGATCCAGCAAAAAGAATTTATGTTAAGGAAGCAATGAAACACCCTTTCTTTGATGATCTAAACAAGGAAGACCTAGCAAAGTATTTTCCCCCAGGATAATAAAACTTAGCTATGCAATATGGAAAATGATTAATTAAATAATATTCAATACGAAAGATACTATTTAAATTTATACTTAAAATAATACTAAACTTACTTTTTCATTTAATAAAATGAAATAAAAAATAAATAAAAAAATAAGAATTAAGTAAAGAGATGAATAAATCTCATCGATACTGATGGGTATCATCTTAATCAACAACTGAATGATAATGGTTAAAAAGATCTATAGTTGAATTAAAGAAGAGTTCCTGCATGATTAGGAAACTTATTTAAAAATAAAAATTATCATGTTTTTTAGAGATAAGCAATGACAATTGATATGTCATCTACCACTTCATCTTCCTAATGCCATCTTTAAGTAGAGAGTTTGACTATTTGATCGCATATCTCGCTTAGTTTTTTGGCTGTCATATTAGGTTGCCAATGGGAAACAACAATCTTTTAGATTTCATCATTAGAAAAGAACTCCCACACTCCATCACTTGCTACAACTAAGAATGCTTAATTGGCATTCATTCTGTAATGAATGATTTCTGGTTCACAACTCACTCCAACAGTTGATGCCACATAATCTCCAAAGGATCTGCTCATGGCCAATCCTGGAATTTGATCGTGCAATAACCAGACTCTGGGTGGACCAATCATCTCTCCATTTTCACTAATGTAGGGTTCCACTCTCCCTTTACTAGAAATTATTCTTTTGTATTCCTCAGGTAGATCTGGTTTATGGTCATTACTCAATTCGATGGTCTTCCATTTTTAATTATTCTATTACTAAATTAAAATCTAAATTATAATTTCAAGAAAGCTTACTGCTCTCGAATCTCCTATATTGGCACACCACAAATGAGGTCCAGAAATCAAAACCAAAGAACAAGTAGTTCCACTAAATGTAACATCAATACCACAATTGGACAAATCTTTCTGCATCTTCTAAAAGCTTTAAGTCATAGCTTTAGTGATACTAGCATAATGATTTTCACCGATATCTTTCTCTTGCATTCCTATATTTGATTTAAGTTATTAGTCTATGATATTTGGTAACAACTTCTTAACTAATTAAGACACATAATGTCCATAGACACCATGACCATCGCAAACTGAAAATATATATCTATTTTTAATTCCACCCAAATTGTTAGTAATGATTATGCTGTCTTAATTGGTTTTAGTTTAGCCTTATCCATTCTACCCAGCTTGGGATCTTATTATTATGCAACAATACTTGGAATGATACAAATTCACATAATCTTGCATTTCATTATCTAGGATAAATGTGTTTACTAATGTCGCTTGACTGGTTGATCTGCCGTGTAACATCACCATTTGGCTAGAAACCTTCGGCTTAACTTCTTATTCTACAGTTTAAGATGCCAATTTAGCTCTGGATACTGAGGGTCTAGAGTCAGGAGCAGACTCAGAGATCAGTTTGATTATTGACCCTCTGATTTATTGCTAGGTTAATTAAACGATGGATTTACAGAAGGAGTACCGTCTGTAGTTGTGTCTTTTCTTTTTGAACTTTTCATCTCTTGCAAAGTCTCATCCTTGTTTTGGATGTTGTTATTCAATTGAGTATCTGCTCTTCTAAGATTTGGTAGTTTCATCGGAGATTATGACTATTTAAAGATTCGATATACTTCAGCATAGTTTGCTCCACTTATTACTCTCTTCTTTGGGGATGAACTCGTTGACTAAGATGGCCTTTATTATTGGGCCTATGAAAATCGTAATATTAGCTACTAATTAGAATTTTTCCTCTTGTTTGGGTATTACAGTAAGTCGTTTCACATTAAATTTACCCTTAATTGGCGATTGCCCGTTTCTTCAATCAAATTTGAATTACTTACAATATGGGAGACATGTTTAAAAGAAATGGTTTTTCTATCAGTTTTTGAGTTGGTTTTTTCTTTAACTATGGCGAACTTGAAGTGCTTTGAGTATTTTGTAATTCATTGAATTTCAATGGAAATACTCTGACTGGATTCATTATATAAATAATATATAATTAGTTATGTAATTTCATTATTTCTTTTGGTACCAAGTTGGGTATAATTTGGGTGCGATTTCAGGTTGAATTGAGAGTTCCTCTATAAATAATACTCACTCATTAATTACCCTTAGTAAAATCAAAAAAGTCTGGTAAAGTCTAATTGGGAATGCCGAACCCTGCTTGTCTTATGTCATTAAAGAAAGGATGTGCCAAGGCTTCTAACGGTCTCAATCTTTCTTTGGGGGGATACACCATCAACTTGGAAATAAGATCAATAAACAAGGCGTCTGGTTTGAATTTAGCAAACACCTAGAGTGCCATTAACAATTGTCCAATACCTTTTACCAAGGGTGACATTTGATGAGGGGGAACTTGAAATCTTTGTGTTACGGATTCATCATTTTGACCTGTTCTTACGTCGGAGTTCCCAATATTTTAATAATCTCAACTAACTGATCTGTTGCACTTTCTCCTGGAAAGAGAGGCTCTCCAATAAGCATCTCTGCAATTACACAACCGATGGACCAAACATCGATTGCTGTACTGTATTCAGTAGCTCCATAAATTAATTCAGGGGCTCTATAGTAACGAGAGCAAATGTAAGCCACATTTGGTTCCCCCTTTTGTAGTTTCTTGGCAGATCCGAAATCACATATCTTAAGAACGTGAGTTGCTGGATCAACTAATATGTTTTATGGTTTTATATCCCTATGGCAAATACCGATTCCTAATTTTAAACTAGAGATGTTACCTTCCATATATGCTAGAGCTCTGAACATCTGATATCCATAAACTTTTAATAAGGCATTGGGAAATTGCTATTTGGCTTTTCTGTAATATCTAACTACTTTGCTTAATGTATCAGGTATGTAATCCATAACCAAATTCAAATAAACATCATCGCCCTAATAATCAAATGCTTATGTACTTTATCTCCTTAGGTGAAGAAGGCTTCCTTTAACTTAATGACACATGGATGATTGAGTTCTTAAATGATCAAATGCTCCCTATTTTTGTACCTTTTATCCTGAAACACTTTCTTAATTGCTACCTTTTCTCCTGTCACTGAATTGGTGGCCTAAAAGCAATGAAGAATGAGTCATACTAAATAAACCATTCCAAATGTGCCATTTCCAACAATTTGATTCAAAGCGTATTTTTGGGCCTATTCGGATCTCTACAATATGAACAGCAAGATTAACCTGTTGTTGCTAATTTTCATCATTGGCCAATGTGGCAACTCTTGTACTTGGTTTGGTTGGCTGTTATTATTAAGGCTTCTTTAACATAATTATTTATATTATCCCAAATTCAAATACTAAGAAACTAAAAATTACAAACTTGAATCTCTTGTGTATTTGTTTAGATCATAATAATAATTATTATTATTTTATAATTGCACTTGTAATGTCAAATAATCCCGTTAGCGATGTGGAAATTCAGAAGCAAGCCCAGCAGCAACAAAATAATATACTTGCCATCTTGAAATCTGGTAACGCAACTGTTGTCAATGAAAAATTGTAGAGGTGTAAAGATTTCAAAGAGGGCAAAGACATTCCAGTCCCTTTTTGTTATAAAGGTATTCATGACTTCCAAATTAATCCTAGAAAACTCCCCCAAAGAAGAATTAGTATTGGAGCATGTACAATAATTTTAAAAACAGTTTCAATTACATTACGACGAAAGAAGAAATCTCTTCCTCTATCCAAAAAATGAATGCGATCTCTACAAATTTATATGCACAACCTTGCGTCCTTAAAAAATTGGATATTTAGAACTCTACAATTACGAATAGTGCGCCCGATATATGAGCTTCTTCATTGCTTATGAATAGTTGGATCCTCCTGATCAATTCCCTAAGGTAATCCCCAGTCCAACTAACGTTGCAAGATGGCAAAAAGGAGATTGCTTTGATTTATCTATGCTACTCTGCAGTGTTTTAATAGGAGTCGGATATGATGCTTATTGTGTTTATGGAACAGCCCCTCGTTCAATAACAAGTAAGAATGAATCAGATCTTGATTACATCTTCATCAATAATGGAATTAAAGAGGATGATGAAGACAGGGATAAAGACAATGACGAACTCAAAGATAATGAATTTGCCATCCTTCCAAAAGAAGAGATTGTCTCAAAATATGATACTAAAATATAAAAGCAAAAAGAGGAGTTTGAAAAAGAATAAAAAAGAATAGCTCTCACTATTGATGATGATGAACCTGATCAAATGGGAGCGGATTATTATGCAGGCAAAAGAATTCATTGCTGGATACTCTTAAAAGCTGGAAAAAGAGGAGTCGAAAGAAATCTCTTTATTGAACCTTCCACAGGTAGGATCTATTAAATTAATGAAAGTCCCTTTTTAACTGTTGACGCAGTTTTCAACAATAAAAACTTCTGGATTAATATGAAACTTGAATCTAAAGTTGCAGATTTGAATTTTGATGAGATGGACACATCGATGAATTGGGAATACGTCATGTTAGACACCATGGTTGAATAGAGCTAATAAGATGATGAAGATTATAATTATGGGGAAGATCATAATCAATAATAGAAGCAAGTCGATCCCTAATAACAATAATTATAAGATATTGCTTAAATCTTAGACATGCCACCTCCTTGGCCACCAAAGATGTTCATAGATAAAGAGTCTTTTCTCAAGGGAACACCTTTGGGAGAGTCTACCGTCTTTTATAAGAAATGTAAAATAGACTCCTATGCTCCATACTCATAAGAAAAAGATGGATTAGTTTAGAGATTTACTATTTATCAGGATTATAAAAGATTGAAAATCCATGAAATTAGATATTTTTACAAACATAGATCTGACAAATTAGTCTTGAAAAGAAGATTCCCCTATGAATTTAAGACCATTGAAGAGTATGAACCGGGAAATAAACCTTAAAGAAAGACCATTACCACAATAGACAGATAATTAAGAATCATTTTATATTATCCAACAAGGAATCATGATGGGTTGATTAAAAGAATTGAAAAAATTGGAGAAAAAACAATAGAAGAATATGAGAACAGAGATGATAGAGTTATTTATAGATCTGTTAGATTCGATGCTAAGGATAAGAAATTTGAATAAAGAGACTTAATCCATAATGATAGATATATGGGATAAGTCAAAATTACTAAAATGACATAAAAATATGAATTAAGTGAATTGTATCCTGCTAGTGAGTAACCATAAAAGGTTGTTATTGATTTGGTTAAAAATGTTATTAGGTAATATTCATTAATTATGATTTTAGAGTTTATTATCATATGAATAAAGGAGAAATCAATCCATAAGTCAAAGAGTTAAAAAGGGAGAATATGCATGGATTAGGAAAGTTAAATGAAACTGGAGTTGAGAAAAAAAATGAAGATGCTTTGGTTTCTTAAGAGAATCAAAGAATTGCAAATTTAGGTATATATAATTTCATTTTTAGAAAAGGAATGCTTAACACACATTAAAAATCAAGAAGATGAAGTAAAGAAGGATGAAGAGTAATTGAGATCTTAAGATCTAAGACTTGAGAAAACACTTCATGACAAAGCCAGAGAAAGATATAAGGAAACATTAAAGAAATCTGAAGAAGAAAAATAACGAGAATAAGCTGACAAAGATTATCTCTATCCATATTTAGAAAAAAGAAAATTATTAGGAAAGGAAGTACTTTCTTACAATGAAGCATTGGATATATAAAAAGATGTTATGACTAAATTGAAAGAGCGGTTTTATTTCACATATTACTTTTAGTTTACTCTCGAGAGCAGCTATTATCTAAAAAAAATTAGAAGAAGAGAGAGCTAAATTAGATCAAGCTGAATAAATGCAGTAGAAGAAAGCAGATCCAGATGATAATGAATATATCAATATACAATTTAGAATTGATATTTTGGAGTAAAGAGCTATTAGATTTGAATCATAAGCACTTCTTAAATATGAAGAAATGGATAGAAAACTCAAAGATGATAAAAGACTATCAGAACTTAAGAAGAAATGAAAAATTATATTGTTATTTTTATTAAGGAAAGTTAAATATTAATATTATTATTATTAATAATTAATTACAGAACAATATATTTCAACAGTTTTCAAATAAATTATTATCAAAGTCTATACTTTATTTCTTATCATTTTTCTTAACTTGTCTCTAATTTTATACAACCTTGACCTTTACTAACTATTGATCATCAGAATTTTCATCTGAATCATATCCTGTTTTTATAACTTTATTGACTTTCTTTGTCTATTAATTTTATTTTTATTATGCTGCTTATTACTATTACTATTATTTTTGATTTTGTTAATGTTATTGTTATTGATGTTATTATTTATTTTATTTAGTTTACTTCTATTTATCATTTTCATTTTGCTTTTATTATTAAGCATTCTAGGTTTATTTATCTTATTTGACTTTATCTACATTCTATTATTAAGTATTATTTATCTGATCCTCATTAGATTAAATAATTTTTGGTAGCTTTTTTATTCCAAAATTATTCTCTTCTTCTAGATCCTATTTTTGTTAGTTTGTGTGTGATGTTTTTGTTTATTAATTCTCTTATGGTTTTTAATTTGCTTAAGGTTAGGCTTAGTGTTATTATTTTTCTTTTTTTGATCCGTCTTTTTATTATTGTCCTATTTAGATTTCTGAAGTTTAAGGATTCTCTTTTTATTCTTTGCTTTTTTCTCTGTTTTGATTTGTTGTTTCTTTTGTCTCTTTTTTTCCTTGTGCCTCAGTTTATTCTTGATGATCCTTCAAGTTGGCTGGTTGATGCTATTAAACTTCCTCTTAAATTTAATTTTTCTAATCATTGTTGGCTTAATGATCTTTATTTTTTGTATCTTTATTTTCCTTTGTGTTTTCATTTTATATTTATTCTTATGTAATTTAAGCTTGTTGTTGCTTAGATTTTTCTTCTTCTATTTTATTCTTATTTTATTATTTTTATTGTTTTTTTGTCAACTATTCTTTTTATTATGGTTATTATTATTATTGTTGTTACTGTTATTATTATTATTATTGTTATTATTATTATTATTGCTATGGCTATTGTTTTTGATTTTAATTATTTTAAGACTATTTGTTTGTTTATTTTTCATCTTGCTATTAAGGTATAGTTCTAGGTGGGGAAATGTCTGGTAAATTTTCTACTAATTTGTTTTGTTCTTTTTAATGTTTATTTCTTCTTTTTGAGTTGTCGGTTTATTCAATTTTAACTTAAGACTTCTTTTTAGGTTCAATGATTTCGCAAGTGATAAAGGTTTAATCATCAAGGACATGTCCAATTTACATTTGTTTAGGAATCACAACCAAATAGCCATTTTATTTGATATTTTTAACTTAGAATTGCTGTATTTCCTCATTGTCTGGATTTTCTCTTTAAGTGTACACGAATGAATTTGCAATCTAAACTTCTAGATTCTAATTGATAAATTTACTCGATTACTTATTAAGTGCGATCTACTGTAGCAATGAATTGTTTATGTCCTGTATTTACGAAAAGACGAATGTATTGCCTTTGTGGAGCTTCAGCAGGTTTATTCAAAAATAAATCCATAAATTAAAATCAATAATTTTATGTTTATAATAATTTTTGTATACACTCTTCTATTGATGAACACTGGAGGTAAAGTTCGTTTTGAAAGTGTTACTTATGGTACTAAAGCCAATTTAACTATTTTTCACATTTAATTAGATAGTCTGCCATGAAGATCAACTCCTTATCCTTTTTGTTTTCTTCAAAGGGAATAATTGGAATACCATTATCCAACTAATAAATGTAACAATACGCAGAATTATCAATTATTGCCATGTTCTAGTAATAAAAAATTAGCTTACTTCTAACTTTCGACCTTCAATCACTCTTAGATCTTTAACTAAAAGTCCCTCTTCCAGTTCTAAACAGCTTTCTCTGTAGAATCTATACGAAAAGATATTTGCTTTTGGATCAATAAATTGTAAAATCTTATCAGCATACTCCTTGTATGAAGCAGTGAATAGTATCAACTCATAAAATTAAGATAGGGCCTTCAACATTTATTGGCAATGTGGCCTTATATTAAAGCGTATCTAAGAATATTTAAATTAGTATACTTCTGTTTCTGGCTCATTTGGAATATGAATATTAGTTTTATAATCTGTAGGATTATCATTGACATCATTGCAATGGATTAAAGTTTCATCAAGATCAAAAACTAGAGTTTTAATTGTATCAGATGATAGGGGAGGCCTTTTTGGAGGATTTAATAATTTTGGAGTTAAAGACTTTTTTGAAGTCACTTAAGAACAATGTTTTAAAGAATTGTAAGTTAGATTAAAGTGATCACAGAATTTAGTTTTAAAATAGTCTTTTTGCTCTTGAAACTCAATTTTATATTGCACTTGATATGGAGATGTATTTGGAAAAAACTCTTCTCTCAAAAAGTGTATAACTGAAGTCTAATAATACTTTGCTTCTTTAAAAATCGGCCTAATTACAGTCTAATATAAGATTAAGATTACTAGAAAGGCTGCCAATTTTCCATTTTAGACGTCACTTATATGAGTCGAAGGAGAGTGACCTCTTGTATTATATGCAGTTTTTGTTAGTTGACTCGAAGGAGAAAATGATTATCTTGATGGAATTTGTTTGGTTGACATAACTTGGGGATTCTTATCAAGTTATGGTTTAGTAATTATCTCCCTTTTTGGATTCAATTTTTTCTAAGGCATCTTTTGAATGATTTTTTATTCTTATTTTTACTTTTCATTTTGTTATGTTTTAATTCTTTGATCTATTCTATTTACTTCACTAAGTTTTAAATTCTTATTTGATATTTCCTGAATCATCTTTTTTTATGTAGTTATATATTGATTTTTAATTGTCAATCTCTATGATTATTACAAAATTGTTTAAGGCTACTTTTTGGTTGGAGTCACTTCTTTGGGGGATTTGAATTAAGAAGAAACTCTATTCTTTGGTTAATCAAAATCAACAAATATGGACTAACTTTTCTACGTTCTATTACTAATTTGAATTTTAGATGGTTAATTATAGTTGTTTTATTTACCGGTCTTGGGAATATCTGTATATTTTGTTGGAGGACTAAAGTTTGTATTTAAAGCCCTAATCATTTCTGGAGTGTTAGCTTTGTTATCAATTCTATTCTGGATTTAATAAATAAGGGTTACTGTGTCTTTGTATTGATTTTATGTTCAGCAGATTGACCACGATATATTTTTTTGGAACACTCTTCTTATTTTGATTACTGCTGTTAAGGCAATTTTGACTTAAAACTTGGAATAAACTTTTATGTATTTAATTTCATTAATTTTAAATCATAGTATGGCTTATTTATTTCCTTCTCTAATTGGTTCTATTTGATAAATTTGGTTTTTTATGCGGCATTCTGAAAGCCCTTTCTTTTGTTTCATTAATGATTCAAGATTCTCCTCTGTCGAATAACTTCATCAATAAAAATAGATAGGATTTTTCATTTTTTTTCAATATATTCTTACAATTTAGATTCAGAAACAATATGTTTAGGAAAATCTTTATTATTACGTATAAACTTTATTTTAATATAAGAAGATTTGATTTAGAAATATTTATTTTAAAATTCTCATTCGATTTACATCAAGTATTGTTTGACTTTTATATGAAAGATCTCATCATTAAACCTTTGATGGTATTCATATTATACTTTTGAAAATTTAGATTACTGTCTAAAGTAATATAAGGAAATTCTAAAATCTCATTAAATATAAATTAGATAGAAACAAAGATCTACCAACTATTTTAAATTGTTAATTTCTATGATCAAATAAATTATTAAACATAACTTAAATTCTTAATGAATCTTTTGAATGATGAATGTGCTTGGAACTAACATTAATAGATGGTAATAAATTTCTTTTTTGATGTATCTCCCTCTTTTAGATCTTCTTTGAAATCAATTCTTCACCCCTTCTATACCACCCAAAAAGAATATAGAGAAGAACAAATATATCAGAAACTCTCCTACACTTTCCACCTCATTTTTAATGATTAATTTTCAAAATAATTCCTTTCATTTATTTGAGTTACTATGAATGTTCAAAAAAATTCCATCATTAAAGAATAATATTACAGTTGTAATAATGAAATAGATTTTCTATTAAATTTTAAAGGATGTTTAATAGGTTGAGAATAAATTAAAAACTCAATATTTATATTAATAAAAATGATAGCATTATTATTATTGCTTGGAGTTTAAGGCCAATATTTACCCACAAGTACTGGATGTTTGGGAACAGATTATTTATACAAAATTGGAGAACTGTCTTACTGCTTTACTTGCTAAAAAGGATGCAGAAGTTGTTGTGATCCATAATTGTGTAATGAATGTGAAGACAGATACAGATTTAATTCAACCACTTCAACTTGCATAAGATGTCCAGTACTTAAAGATTTCATATTTAGGTTAACTGTGAAGTCTGTGAACCTGATGGATTATTTTCTAAGTGTTCAAAATGCGAAACAGGATATATCAAATAGGATGATGGTAGTTGTAAGAAATGTGGAGATGATTGTGTTTCTTGTTCGTTGGCAGATTATTGTTCACAATGTGCCGATGCTTTCTATGTAGAAAAAGGAAGTAAGAAAGAATAATTATGATTTTGTATAGTTTGTAAGGATTGTCCATATGGATGTAAAAGTTGCACTTAGGTTGAAGAATAGTTATTTGTTTGTGATACATGCATTGATAGATACTATCTTGTTGGAGAACAATGTACAAAATGTCCCACTGGATGTCTAAAATGTGATGACGATTTCACCTGTACTAGTTGTGAAGATGCTTATGTCTTGAAGGAGACCAAACTATGTGAATTTTGTACTCCAAATTGTAAGAAATGCTCTGAGAATACCTGTACCGATTGTCAAACAGGCTATGTCTTAACAACTGACAATTAATGTCTAGGTTGTCCAGATATTAATTGTGAAAGTTGTCAATAAGATGATAGAACTAAATGTACTAAATGTGCATCTAAGTTTTATTTACTTAATTAAACTTGCATTGCTTGTGATATCAATTGTAAATAATGTGATACTCCAGGACATTGTGTTGAATGTAAACCAGGATACTTTATTAAAAATGGAGTTTGCACTGCCAATTCAATCAAAAACTGTTAAGCATAAAATGAAACTACATGTCTTACTTGTGAAAGTGGCTAATATATTAAAAATGGTGCATGTAGTACTTGCGGTGATAATTGTTTATCATGTACTGGACCTTCATTTTGTAATTAGTGTGCTACTGCATATTTTTTTAATGGGTTCTCATGTCAAGGATGCGGCACTGGTTGTGAAAGATGTGTTGATTCAAATATATGTCTTAAATGCACCTATGGGTATATAGTTATTATATATTCAATTAGTTTTTATATTTCTAAGGGAGTTTGTGAAAGATGCATAGATGGAGTTTGTTAATGTTCAATTAAAGAAACTATGGTAGAGAGTTAGAGTCATTAAATCATAGTTTTGATGTTATTATTATTATTGATATTATCATGACATTAATCTAATTTAAACTAAATTATTTTATATAGCTATCATTAAGTTATTTAAAGAAAATGTCTCAATTTAAGTAATTATAATTTACGATAAATTAATATATAGATTATTAGAATGAAAATTCGTAAAATTTGATTAAATCTAAGTCATTATTTATTACTGTAATGAGATTACCTCTTTAATTAATCTCTATATAATTAAAGTTCCTGTTCCTTATGATTTAATAGTTCATTTAATCTATTACATTCATTTTAAAATAGTGAAACCTTGCTTTCCAAATCCTTCAAATTTTAGCTTGAATATTATGATTAACTTTATCTTCTTAATATTTCGATTTCTTTATTCCTATCATCAATTATTTTTCTAAGACTAAACAAATTTAAGTTGTATTTTACTTAGCGATTTCTTAGTTTTAATATTCAGTCTCTCGAACTATTTTTTCCAATCTATTCAATTTTTATTAGACAGTATCCAAATCATCTTATTTTAACTTCAAATTCAGTTCTGCTTTTTTTAAATCTGATTATAAATTGACTAAAATTCAATAACAAATATTACAAATATTTTAATCTTTTGTTCTAGACTTAGCCATAAAGTTTTAGGCTTCAAAACTCTAAGACTCAAGTGATTAGCATCTTCTCTACCATTAATCTAATTATTCTCTTAGTCTATTCATTTCAACCTATACAATATTTTCATTATCTTGAACAGCTCTCTTCATTCTTTCAACTTCCATTTCAACATTAGATCTAGTTTTCAATTGATTTTCTAAGCTTTAATATCTCAATCCCCATTGATCGATTTCTGAATTCAAATCTATAATAGTCTTATTGAGTCTATCCACTTCTTGCATTAATTGATTGACTCTTCCTGTATCCTCAAAATAGCTGATCTTTTCAGATGCGATATTTTATGATTTTAATCTAAAATTTTCTTACTGCAAATCATATATTTATTTTTCTAAGAATGTACATTTATCTATGATCAATATTGAATTTTACTTCTCCATGGCTCTTCAATATCAATTCGAGGCACTACCTTAACAGGTTTGTCATAGTGTTGAATTTCTTAGTATATAGGTTATGGTTGGACAATATTTTATACAATTGGGGGTCCCTGATTTGGTTATTAAAATTGTTATTGTTTATTTAATGCTTAAATTTCTGGTGATAATTAGAACTATTTTAGTGGATTTGGATTTTACTTCTTATGCATAGGCTCTTGCAGATGCCTATCCAAATTGCATTGGTAATCCAGGACCTTATTCTGTACCCAAAGGTTTTTATGTATATTAAGTATTAATGTCTGTGTTCAAGGGATATCTAATTTGATCAAATGCAGGTTTGCCATTGATTCCATAAACAGGATCTCTATAGGAAGCCATTTTTAATGATTAAAAAGCAATAAAATTTATTATAATATTAAGTAATAATTTATTTCAAGCATTTTTGAAAGCAATTTCTTTTTTTATTAAACTAGTTTCATTAATTTGCAGGTTATATGGAGTTTATATATTTATATAAATTATGGACACTATTAAATAAAAATGGAAAAACTATACACTTTAAAAGCGTCTTAAAGATCTATGGGAGGATTACAAGAAAGTTTCAAATTTGTCTGAGGATCCGCAAACACTCAAGAAGTAATATGAATTTTACTAAAAGATTTTAACAATTTCTCGAATAGGCTAACATAACAATTAAGAATTTTTTAAAAAGCAATGATCAACAGTTAGAAGTCATCTTAGGTGATGCGAATTAAGTCTTGGTAGTAATATTGGATTATTTGAATAAATTTCCGGAAATCTAAAAAAGGTTATATTTTGTTTAAACTAATCTTTAGAAATGCAGACCAAGGGCAATTGGTTTAAGACATTATGGAATAATGCATTTAATTGGCTGAATAAATTTTGAGAGAACCAAAGTATCGTAAAAGTGTTGAAAATTCGCATAATGTATTGTCAGATTTTCTGAATTTAATTGAAAAAGCACAGAAGACTGAATCCAAGGTTCTTATCATTAAGCTGATAGTATAAATGTTTTTTTAACTAAGGTTTTATTTTCCGAGAATCTCAATTAAAGGATTGAATTTTTTGAATAATAAGGATTCCACAAATTGCTCTCAATATTGATGAATAAGGATCCACAACTTAATCGAGTCATATCTAAAGCACTCTTGCATTTTTTACTTATAGAAGATATAAATCAAGTTGTAATATGCAATATAGAGGATAGTCAAGAATAAACAATCAAATAAAAATTCAGTAAAATAGCAGGGTCACTGAGATCCTTTGCATTTCAAGGTATTAACTCAATATTAACATTATATTAGAACTCTCCAAAGTGTTTCTTCCCACTCAAAATAATAAGCAGTAGAGTATAAAATAGTTTTCAGTTGAAAAGAAGGAAATTTTAACTTTATAATAAGCAATAGAGTAATAGATAAGTTTGCAATCAATCTTTGAAGTTGATTTAAGTTTTTACATGAATTCTCAATCTATAAGTAGATCAACTTCAGATTAGGATCAAAATAAAAATGAAATTTATGAAAAAATCATCAGTATTAGCAGCACTCCCCCAGAAAGACTTGCCTTATCACTGACTTAATCTGAAAGATCTTAGTCTGAAGACATACTTAAAGAATTTCAAGTTCTTTAAGGCGGATTCAAAGCCATATTAGAAACACTTGAAAAAGCCACATCTGAAGTTTAAGTTGATTTGCTTCAGACTGTTTAGCAAATTCTTTAAAATAATGCGAGAAATAAGATTGAGTTTAAAAGAGTGAACGGCTATCAAATATTAAGCGATTTTATTAGCCATAAGGATTTGTAGGATGAATAGTTTTAATAATAGTTTTATAATTTCTTAAAACAAATTTCAACAACAGAAACAGAGATTGATGATTTAGATGCATTTACCTTGATGCTTGAATTATTACCTATATAACAAGATAAAATTCTAAGCATCATTTTTGAAGTATTAAATATGAATTGGAAAAATGTTATAATTGCAAAGAGATTAAAATTGTACTATTATTTAGCCATCATTTAAATGAGATAATACTTATCATCTGATTAAATTACTGAGAAGTTCTGCAACATTGATAACGAGTATATGTTTACTAATTTTAAAAACATTTTAGTCAAAGTTAAATTTCAATAGTCAGATGAATAATGTCAATAATTATTTCAACTTTATGAATAATTAAATTCATTAGAAGGATTTTATAGTCTTGAATTTGAAGCTATTTAAAGTTAATTAGCCATTTTATTTATTGATGACATTGAAAAATTTAAATAGATTGTTGGATTTGCATTCAAAATGATAGAAATTAAAATGAGTAAAAAATGCAGATATATGAATTCCTTTGACCATTAAAGTGAATTGGCATTTCGAAATTTTAGTATTATCTTTGATAAAATTTATAATACATTTTTGTAAGCCAAAAAAAATAATATGCAAGATGCTAAGGATTAATCTAATTATGTGTTTTTTATATAAATAGTTGAAATTATTAATTAGTTTTTAGTATGTGATCACAATGTGTAAAAACAGGAAGTAGATATATTTAAAAATATGGTTAGTTAAAATAGATGTGAGCAATTTATGAATTTAATCAAACCAAATCTCAAATTAATTCAAAGTAAGTAGATTCTAGAACTATTTGATTTTGAATACAACGAAAAAAGCAATCTAGCAATTGCTCACTTATAATTCCGTTTGAATTAAGTAATGTTTAATTCACTTGCAGGGATCATGAGACATAATGATTTAAAAATAGAACCTTAAATGGTCTTATATTTAATCTATTCTCAATATGAAATGTGGAATGCTTTAGAGTAACAACCACTGAATCCAATAACCCCTTTATTGGAATTCTTAATGGATATTTCAAAGTTAAATCCATAATATTTATAATGCATTTCACACTTTTTTTTTAAAATCAAATTGCTAGATGAGAACACACTTGTGATTGAAAATCTCATATAGTTTCTAAAGCAAAATGATTTTAAAAACTAAGATTTAATTGTAAATATGCTAATTTCAATTTGTAAGAATTTGCCATATTATTATGATATGGCAAATCTCTACCCTGTTTTAATTTAATATATAGAATTATACTTAAACAAAGTGGATCTAGAGTTATGGTTTGATTTTGTATTTTCAGGAGAAACAATAAAAAAATTAAATGAATAGAATTATGGGGCGACGATGAGTGATATTCTAAGTTTGCTTTCAATTCATAGTATGTTTTAAGACAAGGTGCTTGATAAAATGATCAACGGAGAATATTTAACAAATTCGTTTGCTACACTTTAGTATGAAACAACAAAAGAGCAAAGCATTAAATTATCAAACATATTATACCTGCTTAATGCTAAAAGTAACAAGATAAAGGTAATTATTATGATAATATTATTAGAATCCAATTTATAGCAACAAATAGAAGTTTTTTCAATTGATATAGAAGTTAATAAATGCAGATGAGTTTTCAAATTAATTATGTAATACTGTATACAAACTTGTCTTTTGGAATTTTGATAGTTATCATCTCCTTTACACAGAAAACAGTAGTAATGTTTCTTCAGTAATGGGGAGAAGTGAGTTTGCAGAAATCATCTAAAAAACTCAGAAACAATATTTAGAAAATAGGCAACCCATTTAACACATAACAAATTTAGAATCATTAGAGTTATTTTTTTTGATGTTAGGCAAAAATAATTCTCAAAGTTACATAATAGAAGTTTTGAAAATATTTGAATCGATTTTGGATAATTAAAATTTAGCTACTTTACTAGATTCTAATATTATTTAGAGTTTATGTTTGTTGTTGTAAAATACAGACAAGAGAATTGTATAGCAAATATATAAAATAATAAGAACAATCATATAATATGATTTGAGTAAATCTAGCAAATTAAAGATAATTGATATATTAAAAAGACATGATGATGCTTCTCATATTTTAATAGACTATTTAAAAGATTTATTGTAAAATCCAGTCATAAAAAATGATTATATGACCTATTTAAAAAATTTCGATTTTTTGGTAAAGAATTTCGAGGAATTAGTTGGTTTTAATGAAGAAATTGATATTTTATTGTTCCAAATAATCAATTTAATGGCATCTAAAAATTCACCAGAAATACGATCAGTATTAAAGCAGCTAAATCTATTTGAATTTAGAGATAATTTGGCATTGTAAATAATAAAATACAAAATGGAACCTTAATAGTTAATGGATATTCTATCAGGAGTTCCATTTGCTTAATTATGTAATAGTAGAAACTTTAAAGAATCTCATTGCATGGCTTATTTATTGTAGAGATTAATTTAACACAAGGATCATTTTGGTTTAACACTCCTAATTATTAAGATTTTAAAATACGATATTTCATCAATAGAGGATAATAGAAAGTATGTAAGTAAGCTTCTGCAAAATGATTAATTGATCAGTTTCTTTTATCCTTAAATGTTAAGAAAATCAAGCAAAAGTTTAAAATGCTTTGATTAAGATGATCAAAAAAATTAAAGATCTAACTCGCCAGAAACAGATGCAGCATTTTCTCAGAATATGACTGTAGATCAATTTCTAACCTTATTTTTCAGTGATAAATTATAGGATGAACGATAACAAATTAAATTAACTCTAGAAAGAGCTCTTATTCCAGTGGAAAGCGAATACAAGAAATAAATTATGAAATATAATATGAAAAAATAGAATCGATTAGCTAAATTATCAGAGCAAGAGTAAAGTGACAATTTAAGAGTAAGATAAAATTAATTATTTAGATTTAAACTTCTAATAATGATTGGGAATTTAAGATATAATCTCGTTTAAAAAAGAGTAATGAACGATCAAAAATGAGAAGTCAAAAATAATAGGAATAGTTTGAATAATTATTGGCTGATGGTGAGAACTAATGGTTTAAATTGTGTTTAGGATAATGAAATTATATATATATTATATTAAAGCATGTTTTTATAAGACATGCAATTTATATATGATCATATAAGTACATAATCTCTCAAATTACTTAATTTTAGATTATAGATTAATTAATTCTTTAGAATCAGGACAGGTAAGGAAGATTGTCTGACTTTAATAGATTTTCGATCCAGTAGCTTTGAATTTTGATGCAACACTATAAGTAGCTACATAATTAGTAAGAACCAAATAAGTATTATTATAAATTAGATTTAGCCTTATATTATAACTCTAAATCATATCTGAATTAAATCAGACCTTTAATCTAATTGTTTGGTCACAAGGAATTCATTCAAATTAATTAAAGTTAAGAAAAAGAAACAGAAGGGTTATAATTTAATAAATTATATATTAATATGAAACTCTTTTTTAATTAAAGGGTCTTATGAACTAAATTTTACATAAGGGAAATAATAACTTGTACTTTACTAATTTCTCATTCAAACTTCAATTTTAGTCCAATATTTTCATTGTGGATTCATAGGAAATTGGTTAACTAAAAGCAGCAATAGTTCAATTTGTAAAACTGGATGTGACTAATATCTGAACTATTGATTTATTTAAATTATTAACGAAATGATTAAAACTGCATATAAAAAGCAGCCGCTCATTCCTAAATTGTCTAATTTAACTTCTGCAATTGAAATTTAATAGCCTTTATCTTGTAGATAATAAAAGTAGACATATGTTTCATTTATTTAACCTTCAATCAAAACTACAAGACATAAAGAAAATAGTTATAAATATGCTAAAACTCCAACAAAATCCGATCATACTAACCTGAATGTGAGTAAGCATAGTAGATCGCCAAATAGTTCTCAAATCTAATCAAGTTAAGCAATCTTAAATGTTTTAAATCAAAATATTAGATTAAGATAATAACAATAATCGTATTAATAATAAAACTATAAATCAAACAATGTTACTCCCTAAAAGCAAATTTAACAAGAGGAATAGAATAAAATTGATAAAATATAAGCATAAGAGTTGTACTAATAAATAATTAAATAAAGACAATAAAGTATTCGAAATATTTAACAAAATATTTGTTGCATAAATCATCCAGAGAAAAAGGCTAAATACTTTAAAATAAATGAAAAGCAAGAGCGATAATATTTCTGCTCTTTTTGTGCTATTTAAGAGGCTTATGATGGATAGATATATGATATGAAAACTAATTCAATAATACCTAGAAAGCAAGATTAAAGAAGTTGGACTTTGAAATATGAAGAACCAATCACTTAAGAATAAAACAAAAAATTATAACAATTAAATGAATTCTTAAATTTGGCAAGATAATTATATGAATCTGCAAAAACAAAAAAAGAAATTTCATTAAAGTACAGTATTTAAGAAATTCTTGCAGAAATTGAAAATATTAGTTAAGATATCATAAACAACGCTTAAAATATCATTCAAAATGTAGAATCAAAATCTTTCTAGATGATATTGCAAAATTATGTAAATAGATTGCAACAATTTGACATAATAATTAACAAACAAACTTGTGTAAACAAATTACCTTTGAAAAAATAAGTGCTAATTAGTTTCCAAAATAAAGATAGTTTTGTGAATCCTGATTAAATGGAATCGACAGATTCACTTATGTTAAGAGAATCAGAAACTTAACACTTTTTTGATGATTGTAATGATGTTACTTTATATTCACCGAATTTCTGAAAAGTATTATATGTGTAATTCATTTATTTCTATCTATCTAAAAATATATCCTATTGAAATGATCAATAATATCTAATAAGAATCTATTTATTAATATCTGTATTAAGAACAGTAATGACTATAATAATCATTCATAAAATGTATAACACAGAACATACTCCTAAAAATAGAACAACTAATAAGATACCCGTTTTTCAAAGAGTGTAAAGTATATTAAACTGAAAATGGAACAAGACAAGAGTTATTTAAGCTTTAAAGCTAGCAGAATGCTGAAAAATACAATTACCTTTTTTATAATAATATTATTAATGGCTACTATTAATAAAATTGATTCTTTAGAGTTCCCACTGAGAAGTATTAATAATAACAAATATTACCTCTACTCCTTCGATCTCATTCAATATATGTAACAAAAAATATCTAAGGAATAATTCTCCACATATGACCCTCTAAAATAAAAATTCAAAATATTGATACTCCTCTTCTCTTAATTAGCATTTTTGATTTGTTTACTGGATTTTCAAAGGGTTTATGCTGATTAAAATTGATATTAGAAAGCAGGTGTAAATATTAAAGATTTATGATTATTATATATGAACAAGTAATTTGAGTAACAAAGAGTAGCATCTGTTGTAAAAAGGAATTTACAAAAGTTTAAAATACTAGTAGGTGATAAAGAAAAGAAATTTAATGATCTCTTGACTCCATTCACCAAACTTGATACCTTTATTGATGCCAAATCTATACTCAAATCAATAGTAAAGCCATCTAATAAAATATTGGATCCTTTAACAACTTGTGAAATTCAAAAGTAATAATATTAGAGAAGCACATTTGTTAATGGAGATTACAACTCGGATAATTTTTATGAAGATGTAGATTAATTGATCAATCACTTAGAAAAAGAATAATCAGAAATGATAACAGTCGGAACCAAGAAAATAAGTAAAAGTGAAATACTCGAATTCAAATCAAAACATCCAAATTACGAATTAGTTAGTAAACAATTTGCTGAGAAATCCAAGAGAATGATTGCAAATTTGAATAGGCAATCTACGAGAATATTTAATAAGAAATACTCATTGATTCATCTTTCTCCTAGATAATCAATTAGTAATCAATATATAGCCTTAGGTTCAGAGAGAGATCCATCATCATCGAAATATTCTCATTCTAAATTGCTCTAGGGATTAGAATTAAAGGCATAAAAGTCTCAATTTAAAATAAAAACAGAACCAACATCTCAAAGAAACTATAATTAAAAAATTCAATAACTAATTAATGACATTGAAGGAGTGCATAAATAGATGATAGATGAAACAGATTAATTATAAAAAAAAACCAGTAGGTTTATCTTAAACTAATCTAAAAGTAATTCTAAAATCCCTTAATTCGACTATCTTGCTACTGATACAAATTTTGCATTTACAAAAATAAAGAAAAGAATAATTTGATTAATATTTCAATATTATTTTATCAATATATTTTTAGATTTGTGAATTAAACAAATATCTGTATTTAATTCACTTTTCATTTAGATGTTTAGTAAAGAATCTGTCAAAATATTGTATTTATCTATTTTCTAATCATGATTTTTTAAATCATAAAGATATTTTATTATTCATACGAAGCAAATTTAAGTTCTGAGTTTAGCACTATTTTAGAAATAAAAAATTAAAATTATTTCAGAAATTAAAGATTTATTATGGTCCAATAAATAGAGAAAGCTCAGCTAAAAATTTATTCTTTATTATTGGATATCAGGTAGTGATAGACAGAGAACACAGTATAGTCTTGTTTTATAATAATGTTAAATCTAGATTAATTTTATTTCATTAAAATATTAAAATAAATAAAATGGTTTTTGCAAAAATAGCAGTAGGAACAGCAGGGGCAGTGACTCTTGGATATTTATTTGTTCCCCCTTTTAACAGAAAACTTGAAAGAAATGTTCTAAGACCAATTAGAAATTATAGAAGACATTTATAATAAGAGGATTCATTCAAGACTGAAGTATGTCACAGTTAAAATTTGTTAGGAAGAATTCTACCAATTCTTAGGAAGTGTTGCTTTAGGCACATTGAGGATGTTTACAATCGAAAGCGATTGAAGAATTATTAAATATTAAATAATATCAATAATATTTAAAGAATGATCAAGCTTCGTTATTTTTTTTCGAATATCCACAAAACAAAAGCATATAAAAATCTGGTTAAATAATAGAAAGCTTAAGTAGATTTAGTTCAGAATTATATGAATCAAATGAAGGAAGCAAAATCGTAAATACCATATATATAAAAAGGGAAGATGAGTTAATAAAATTGAAATACTAATCAATGAATGAGTTGTAAAGGATAAAAGAAGAATAATCTGAGATTCTAGAGTAAATTAAATTGGAAAAGAAAAAAAATTTCGAGAAGCATTTAATTAGTATGGAAGTTGATCCTGCAGATATCTAAAAGCTTTATAAAGGAAAACAATAAAAAAATAAAGATGAAATCGTAATTGATGATGACAAGCAAAACACTAATAACGAATAGAAAAAGACAGAAAGATAAGAGGAGACAAAAATAAATGTACCTCACAATTTAGAAATAAGAAACTTAGCATCTCCTATTAGAACTTAAGGACATCTCATTTTATTTGGTGTTTAAAGACATAATGCACAACATTCTTCATATATTTATGGTAAGAAGTTTAATTAATGGTTTTAGATGCTCTATTTAATTTGAAACCATAAGTTATATTGACCGATTTGCCTGTAGATGATCCATTTTTTATCAAGACTGAGGGTAACTACACATCAACTTGGAAATCCTTTATTGAAAGTAAACACACACCAACTTTCCTTATTAATCCATAGCCAATCACTTTATCGGACATTCACCTGCATAGAAATAAGGTAAAATGGATTTTTGAAAACAATATATCCAAGAACCCTTCATTTATTATCAATCCAACTAATATCAGTGAAATTACTAAATCTATGTTTGATAAGGAAATTTAAATCATAGATATTTTGAAAACTCCATTTTTATTTAGTTATCATCACTCCACACCAATTGTAATTAATGGATATCCAGAAATAAATTATCGATATTTTCTGGCTGAGAACTTTGAATTAGATAATCTAAGATAGTTATTAAATGAGAAGAAGATTGCCAAACAAGAAAAAAAAAGAAACTTTGATCCATTCCTATTAAAACCAGACTTGTTTATTTTACCAAAAATTAAATTTATGGTTGAAACAATTAAAATGAGTAAATTGTTATTTTGATTTAAGCATTAACATCCTATAGTACAGGGATAATTATAACAGAATCTAACAAGATTAATTAAATTGAAGAAGAATGGACAACGTCCGCTCATCGATTTATATCTACGGATTTAAGAACTTAGATATATCCCATTAAACCCATTAAAGAGACGGAAGAGTTTATTAAGAAATTAATTATTTTGGATGAACTCATCTCACCATACATTTATAATAATTTTGTAAGGTATAATAGCTTCCCTTATCAATTTAATTCACATTTTAAGGTAAGTTTATAATAATTTTGGGATAATTACAAGAATTAATTATCTAGATGAGTGATTGTTTATAGGTTATAATGAATATAGAAATAGAAATTCTAATAAAATTATATTTAAATTATTTTATTTCAATTGAAATAAACTCTATTTCACAATTTAAATCTTATCAACTTCTAGATCTTTTGATTTCATTTAACTAGTATTATAAAATATAATTTAATCTGAAAGTATCAGAATTTCTAGCGTATATCAAGTGAGCGCATTTTTTATTTTAAATAATAAATTTATGACAGATATCCCAATCAGTTATCAAAGAATAAATGCAGACATGATAAACAAATTCAAAGGGCAATTTGTAACACTTGTGGGAAAATTATTGTAAAGCAAAGGAGATTATGTTGAATTTATGGTGGATGGATGTAAAACAATATTACGATTTCATTTAGCAATTGTGAAAGTGACTGAGATTGAAGAAGTTCCTGAAAGCAATGAAGATATCCTTTTAGAAATAAGAGGCAAATTAAATGATGATGGCTTTTTAGAGGCTAAAGAATTTACAGAATTAGACTAAACATTTGATTTCGAGCTCTACAAAAATGTGATAGTTATGGTTTAAGGACAGTTTAGAGAATTGTTTTATGATTGAATTAATTAGTTATCTGATGAAGTATAATTATTACACTTCAAATTAGTTTTTTGGTATTTAAGTTGTCATATGTACATATTTTTTCTGTAAATATTCTCATAAAAATGTTATAATCTTAATTTTGATGTTTTAAGCCAAAGCCAATCTTTAATTCCTTTATGTTGATATATCTATATTACTTAGTTTAAATTGCATTGCTCATGTTTTGTTATAAATACTATGGGGTGATTTTTAGAAGAAATGAATATTGTACCATAAAAATAGGGATTAAATTAGTTAATCAATCTCTAAAATCTGTTATATTTCTGATACTTTTAGTTAAAATAATCTCAATGGATTTATGATATTATTTATTTAGTAAAAAGTTATATAAATATCTTGAATAATTAAAAGGCATTTCTATTACAAGAATTTGTAATTTTTTCTTAACTAAAGGCAAATAACTAACTTAAAACAATGGAAATTATTCTATAGGTTAATATCAAAAGCAAAAATTATCAATCTTTCACTACAAAATGGCTTTTCTTCTACAATATTACAAAATTTTTTTGAGTGTTTTGCGAAAGCTCTGTATATTTTTAATTAGTTAGAGCCATATAATTAATATAGTTTCAAACAAAACTAATATACACATTCCTAGCTATCTAAATAGATTATCAAATATAATCTAAGGAGGTATTGGCAAAATAAATCTAGAAAATCATCAAAATAAGAAAGATTTATATCTTTATAAAATTCTAAAATGTTCATTTTATTTAAGGAATCTTCTAAGAAAACATCAATTTTGAATAATTATGTTACTAATTAATAGAATTTAATTAATAAATTAAAATTGAAAAATACTTAAAATTTGTGTTTTTTCAAAAATATAGAAAGGGCAGAGTTACTAAAATTGTATGACTAATCAACAATACTTTAAGATAAAATATAAATTTTTAATTCCTCATCAATTCAAAAATCAAATTTAATTGTGTTATCGATGCCATTAATATATATTTAATACTGAAATATATAATAGGATATATTCTACATTAACGAATACGTTAAGATTATCAATCATAATTAACTATGTAGCACCATTTTGATCCTTTCGTCATAAGTAAAAGTACATTATTATTACATAATGGTTTTTACAAATTAAAACTCAAGTTAAAGGTACTATTAAATCAATGAAGTGTTCATTAGTAGTTATTAGGAAATGTCGTCTGACTTATCAGGCAACCAATAATAATGATCTTAGTTCCAATCAATTATAGCAATAGCTTCTAAGACCTAAAATATTATGAGTATATTACGGGATCCTATCTTAGTAAAATGTTGTTTCCTATATCTGTTAGCTTCTTATCCTCCACAGATGATATAAATTTTTTGATTTTTTTTTCTTGATCAGAATTCAGTGCTTTTTTATTAGCTTTCTTTTTCAAATCTTTAATCATTAAAAAAACTTATTAGTGAACTTGATCTTGTTAGTTCATATATGGCCAATAAGCCATGATCCATTAGATATGTTCCCAAAATAAGCCATAATTTTATTGTTGATGAAATTTAAAAGTTAAAATAGCCAAATGAATCATGAAAGCTTTTAATATTTCTTAACTCAGTTGGGCAACAATATTGTTTTATCCATTCTCATAAATAAATCTAATAGCATTTAAAGCTAGCAATTTGTTTTCTTAAAGAATGCACTCTAAAGAGTATGTTAACACTTTTGTGCTCTACTAATATTAAACATAATCAGTCAACCTAATTTACATGATTTACATATCTTTTTTATTGACTGTTAATTGAGTGGGTGCCTTTAATGGTTAATTTTGGAGTAACACACTCAATTTTTAAGCAAAGGCATTCATATTCTTAATATCTGAAATGGACTGGCCTGTAACATCTCTAATGCTGCAATCCAATATTTACCATTTAACGTAGTCATCAATTTTCTTTTAAGAATAGCATAAGAAAGTAGCAAAATTATTTAAGTGAGGAACCTAAATAGAGTGCTTTTTCTAAACCAATTGAATAACAATATTGGATCTCGTTAGATACTATTAAAACACTTCTTCTGCTTGTTGTTATTATTTTAAGAATAACAATTCCTGATCTACTTTTTGATTGAACTATACAGCATACTATTAAAGTTCTTTTCTGATTAGAGATTCGTAAGGTTTCCTATCATCCATATCTAAGAGATCTCCCTGTCCACCTGTAAAACTATATTCACTTTAAAGATTCTTATCCTTATACACCAAATATACAACAGTTTCTGGGGAAAAATGCATTTCTATTTCAAATTTCTTTCTTACTTCTACGAATCCATCTTCAAAAAAAAAGCATTATTAATTATTATTGATGTAAACACATTCATATTCTCCATCATATATAATAACAGCGTGTAAATTATACTCTATTTTATTGAAATTACCCATAATTAATTTAATTTGCTAATCCATTTTGTGTAGTTCCTCTTTCAATAAGTCTAATTCTTTGTTTGCATCAATAATCAATTATAAAAATCCTTCGATTGCTGGATCTCCATCAACTAATTCAGTTCTTTAATCTTGAATAATATTGATCGTCATTTGTAATAGCTAAGGAATGCTTTAAGAAGTTTATTAGTAGTTTTCAATACATTTAATCTTCTAAACTATTTCTTCTCTCTTAATTGTTAGTTCTTTGATATCTGATTGATGTTATTTTATAGTTCCTTTATTAGAATACATAAATTGATCTAAATATATGATAGGCATTAAGACCAAATTTGCTTTTCTAGTTATTTCAAATTATAATATTTTTGGTAACTCTTTTATTGAACAATCTTCTTGCTCAAATTTCTTTTATAATCCTTCCATAAAGGATTCATCATCTAGGTCCACCTTAATTAAATTAAATGTTATTTCATCATTTCCTTTAATGAATTTACCTATAAATAAATCTCTAATTGGATGTTCTTCGACAAATTCATTAAGCATGGTTCTATATTTTGAAATTGACTCATCAACTTTCTCAAAAAACCTAACCAAAAATTCTTCAACATTTTTATATCTAGTATTATAATCATCCTTCATATATTAATAGACTTCTATCGCTGATGTGTCTTTCTTCTTGCAAAATATTAACTAAACAAACAACTTTTGCAAAAATAAAGTCACTCCTTCTTCATTAATTATTGAATCCTATTGTTAAATTATCTTGATACATCATACTATAAAATTTACTCTGCAAAGGATGGAAGATGAAAGTAGGTCAACATGAAACAATCTAATAGTTAAAATTATGGTGATCTTTTTAAAGCTACTGGTATCCCACTCTTCCTCATCTTTAGATCTATTTTAGATTGCAGTTTCGTTGGAGTGTCATATTTTGTTGGACTTAAATTCATTGTATTATTGATTAATTAAAAATTATTATAGGAGAGACAACTCTACAAATACAAAATAGAGTTGTTTTTTCGTAAGATTTCTTATTAGTGAGTGTTTAATTCTCTGGCATTAATTCATTAAATTGAGTTTATTGCTAAATGAAAGAATCATCTAAATTTCATTATTAATTATTATTTTAATTCTATTATGTCAAGCACAACCGATGTTTTGAAAATCTAGATAACTGCATTGACTGAATGCTATCAAGATTAAAGCCATAAATAGGTAATCCTGGATTTTTCAACCTTTAACGAGGAAGCTTAATTAAATTACCTAAAATCGTAATCAAACCATTAATCATAGAGTTTTACATTAGCCATTGATTGGACAAGAAAAAGAATACTATGAAACTCATAAGGAAAAGTTAGAAGATCTAAACAACTTTGAATAGCAAATTTTGGAAGTATTCTATAATGATTTGGTGATGAAAGATTATTCATCTGCTGTATTAATATTATGTTTATCATTTATAGATGATATTGGCAAAAGAGTAATTCTTCCGAAAATAAATCTTAGACGATAAAAAAACACCCTTAGAATTTTTCTAGACAACCCAATCAATCTTAAAAAGGGCCTGCGTAATTAAGGATGAAGCCCCATTGTAATTAGCCGAGGAACTTAAAAAACATGGATATTAGAACAAACCCTCAATTTAATTTGTTTGTCTAAAACTTGATTATGAACTTGGAAAATAATAGAATGAAAATTTGGAAAGTATTTGTTAGAAAGTTAGAGATTGCTAATTATCAAACCTAGCACCAATTTTTGATGTTCAATTTAAAACTGAAAACATTCAAAATCTTTTTGCTGATGCTCAGATTGCCTATTCAACAATTAATGCAGCTCTATTGGATAAAGAAGTTCAAACAGAATATATGATTTTGTGCACAAACATTGTTGATTTGGCAATTCAATATTTAGGAGATGTTTAATTAAATGGGGACAATCAATATAAAAGCTACTCTAATAAGCTGAATTATTTTGTTCTAAAAATCTTGTTTAATTCAATTCCTCCTAGTTACGGTGGAATCTTTTTCACTTTCGATAGAGGATTTGTATAAAGCAAAAAGATTCTCCATTTCCTCAACAATCTAAATAAGTTTGATATTTATATAGCATGGCCATTGGGAGTTAAATTAAATGCTAGATTATTTGACGAAGTTGTTAAAAGTAAGCCTTCTTTATCATATTTTAAGGTTATTCAATTGTTTAAAGACAATAATCTGCAACAATTACAATAAATTAAATTCTTAAGCTATTTTAGAATTGCTTTGCTGGTAAGTATAAGGATGAAGAAGAATAGGAGGTGCTCTAGCCAATCAAATTAGGCTCGACATCATCATCATCATCATGAGTATCTATTTTAAATTAATAATTTATTATTTTATGCTTTCGAATATAATCTATCTTCAAAAAGATCGGATTCTCAATCTTTTGTATTTAAAATTTTAAAGTAATGTGGTGTATAAAAAAATAATTTGAATTTATTTTGATATTAATTATTAAACATTAATATTAAGGAAGAAATTAGGAACAATAAATTAGTGACTTAAAGTTTATAGGTATGTTTCAAATAACTTATATTATTTTAATTATGTGTCATTATTATTCTTGTTTTAGATCCGATAACGATTCAGGCTCTCCTTGTTATTGCGATTATTCATTTGATTTATAAAATGTTCTATCCTTCACTAATTCTGGATGTTTGAGTTTGATGTGCTAGTTGAGAGACCCTTCAGCTCTAAGAAACACTTATTAAGGACATTTACCCATATTTCTTTTAGCAATTTTCAACGGGACAAGTAAAATGTCTTTCGATTTCTTGTGCTGGTCTTCTCAATCTTTTCTTTCTTTCTTCTCCAGTTTCTTCAACATTTGAATTGAGCTCTTGATTTCGACGCTTGAATTTTGGTGATATTAAAAATTACTTCTAATTTGTTTAATTTGTTGACTAGTTCATTCTTTTCATTCAAAAGTTCTTTTAACTAATATAAATTCTAAATAGTACTTAATTCGTTAAGACAACATTAGCTATGTATAGTCTCAGATATTCATTGTAGTATTCTAAATTTTGATCTTATTATGGGACTAAGATTTGAATATGTTTGTACCTTGTTGTTCATCCTATCCGGCAACATAATTTTGAAATCTCAAAGGTTCCTCGCCCATAATAAATTTTTAATTCTCACCGTCAGATCTAAAGGTATTGAATATGTAAATACTTTGCATTACTCATTTTATATATAATTATTAATATTTTTTATTAATAATTTGCTAACTTAAATTGAATTAAGAATTGAGGAAGAAGATATCGTTTTCATTCAATTTAAAATGAGTGCATTCGAATTCGAGATAAAATCAAAAATGCCATTATTAAAGTTAATATTTGAGTGTGAAACAAAATAAAACTATATTATTCTTATATATAATTATTAATTTAACGGATATATATATGGACAGATTTATTCCGAAAAGTAAATCGAAATTGCTGTATCAATCACACACTTAATCAAATTATAATGATGTACTTGAATTGAATATCGTAGTTATTGTATCATATAAACGAAGAAAAAGTGCTGAATTTTGGAAATCAAAAATAACAGCAGAATTATCCAATATCATTTTTGGACTAGTTACATAATTAATACAGATTGCCTACCTAATAAACTGTTAGGCAAATTAGTTCGGTCCCTGAGAAAATATTGGATGCACCAGATATTGCAGATGACTTCTATCTCAATATTTTGGAATGGGGCAATAATAATGTGTTATCTGTGGGATTGCAAAATAAAGTGTATTTATGGAATGCTTCAAATTGTAACTTAACATGTCTATAAAATAGAGCATATTGAATAACTTTTATAAGCAACTTCAAATGTGACTGCAGTTCATTGGATCAATGATCATATCTTGGGAGTGGGATTTGATGATGCCTCCATCAAGATAGTGGATGTTTGTTCCTAACAAACAATAACCTAGTTATATTATCATAATGAGAGAGTATCAACGATGAGTAGCAGTTTTGAATTATTGTCAACTTCAGGCAGAGATAACGTTATTTTCAATCATGATCTAAGAGAAAAGAATAATAATGTTGTGGGCGTATTTCAGAAACACACTCAAGAGGTTTGCGGATTGAAATGGAATTCCTCTGGAACTACTTTAAGCAGTGGAGCAAACGACAATTAACTATTATTATGGGACAAAAGACAAATGTCATTGCGTTTATCATGTGAAGGTCATTGTGCAGCTGTCAAAGCTATGGCGTGGTGTCCATGGTTTCCCAATATCCTAGTTAGTGGAGGAGGTTCCAATGACAAAAACATAAAGTTTTGGAATTCTGACACAGGTTAGTGTTTCAAAAGCATAGACACGGGATCGTAAGTGTGTGCCTTATAGTTTTTACCGAGATATAGAGAACTGATTTCATCGCATGGCTTTTCCAAATTCTAAATTAGTATATGGAATGCTGAAGTAATTTAATAGGCCAAATTGGTCTAAGAACTTTAAGCTCATAAATCGAGGGTTTTGCATCTAGGCATATCTCCTGATTAGTCTATGCTTTGTTCTGCTGCTGGTGATGAAACTTTGATATTTTGGAGACTTGGCACTGAGTAAAATAATTAAGTCAAGCAAGAAATGTGTTCCAGTAAAAACCTATTTCTCAGATGATATTATGTTATTACTACCTTACAAATAATTTAATAATTATTTATCTTTCTTTAATGATTAGAGGAGACTCTCATGAGTTCAGACAAAATGCATCTAGCCAATTATTGGTTAGCAAATCTAGCAAAGAAATCCAGGATGGCTAAAGTTCAAGAAGAGATCATTTATTCTAAAAGTTACCCTCCTTAGATTGCACACAACCCAATAATTTTTGGTAAATAAAAAAAGGAGGTTCTGCCAGATGTATTGTTGATTCCGAAAGATTATCAACTGCTTCTAAGCCTCTTACTCCATAGGCATAAAAGAAACAAAAAAATTAAATAATCTAAATAGAAGAGAACAATTAGTTTGATCTTGGTTCGAGTCGTCATTTCTAAAGGTTGTTTACTGTTAAGAACTAAGTTAAATCTTCTAATGGCAGTGTTAAAACTTCAAGAGATGAAAACACTAGTATCGTCAGTAATAATGTGGTTCTCAAAAAATCTCAGTATCATCAAACTCAACTAGTTCAACAATCATAACAATCACAATTATCTGTATAATAGTAGTAGTGTCCGTTTTCTTCGGGAAAATCAATCAAAGACATTCTCTCATAGTTTAAAGAAAAAAAGTATCAATTTCACATTTAACTTAGATCAAAAACTGGTATTACAAGACATAGTGAATTCGAAAAAATGGAAGGACTGGATGATTATGCTAAGGAATTCGCATAAATACTAGCTTAGGATGAATTGGTTGGGCCTGTCATCGGGAGTGCTCATGAAATGAAAGGAGTTGTTAAAGCATTAATAGATTTAAGTAATGGAAATAAATTAGCATATCATTTTGAAAGTCTTAAGTAATTACATTAGGACCTTAATATAACAGATGAGATGTTCAATAGGTTTAAGTATCTCTATATCAAAAAACTAATAGATATGAAAATTGGAATGGAAGTTATATTTAAATGTGCACAGAAAGTCGAGTACTACCGAGGCGCTATTATCTGCAATGTATCCACTCTAATCATTATAATAGTCTCGTTCTGTTTAAAATGTTAAAGATAGCATAAGAACCATAGCTAAAAATATGTATGCTCAGATTTTTGAAGATTTCTCATTGAGTCCATTGTTCAAAGGAACCAAACAAGAGGAACAAGCTCTAAAATTTAGTCGAATCTTTGGGTTCATTTTAGGATCTTCAGAATCCACTAATTATGTGATGGACTCTATGAGGGACTTTCACAAAGCCTTTAGAATTAATTCTGTTTAATACTCAGTTTTCAAATACTACTTATCAGGAGCCTTATCGAAACACGCTGAAAAAGAAGTTGTCTACTATATACTTGAATAAACTGATGCCTATAAGGCGGCTGTGATTGATTAGGATAGTATCAAAGACTTAGTTTATAAATAATTTGGTATAGACAACTTCTGTGCTGAATTCATTAAGTTATGTTAAACTGACCCCTATATTAACAAAAATTTCATACACAAGGTAGGATATGATCAATTTGTTTAGCATACTAAGTATTTCTTGCATTATGCATTTAATAAGTAAAATAATTGCTTTACTCTTGAAGACCTGAGTTAATTACATTGTTAACACTAAATCAATATACAATTATATTAGAGCATTAAAGACAAATTGTTCAATTTACTGATGAGACTCAATCCGTAAAGAGTCATCTTTTAGGACTTTGAAGAAGAATTCGATATAATATTACCTTACATTACTAATAAAAAGTTACCTTGTGATATTGTTGGAGAAACTAGAATTTGTGAGTTTGTCCCTTTGATTTCTGATGAATTGCAATCTAATGTTGAAATCAAAAATGTTTTTGATAGCAACGATGCAAATATATAGAAAACTATCCTTAAAAAGTTTGAATATTTACTGTCTGGTAGGAAATATTTTAAAAGATCAGATATCTAAGCCATACATTCTAGGCTTAAAATTAGTGAGGCGGTATTTGAGGAATTTATTTATATTATTGAAAAAGTAATCTCATAATATGATACTTCTCTTTTATGGATGATCGATGCCATAAAAGAATGGAAATATATCATAATAACTGTCTGAATAAATTGTGTTGTTTTTGGAATTTAGTGTTAAATTTATGTAATTATTATTAATTAAATATTTAAATACAATTGTTATTAATAATAAATCATATATATTAATTTATTTTATATTTTACCAAAAATAACAAGAATAAGAAACCGAATCAATTCTTGCTTAATTTTCATGTAAATCCTCAATTCTGATTCTGCCAATATTATAAATTAACTTCATATAAAATATTAATGATTATTAAATTATTTATATGTTGAATTCAACCGCATCAAATCAAGATGAAATCATTCTGAAATCATCAAAAAGATTTGTGCTGGCAGATCAAGTGAAGGATCAAGAGTCTGCTCCTATTTATAGACCCAAAAGATCGAGTAAAAAAGTGAAATTAACCCTTGTAACTAATTTACCTTATACTTAATCCAAAATTTGTTATATTTGCCGAAGAAGTTGCTTAGTTAAATTATGTAAATGCGACGATGTATAATATCATCCTGATTGTGTGATTGCTGAAATGAAGAAGCCTTCCTCTTCGATATCAACATTACAATGTCTTTTTTGTTTATGTTTCTTTAAAACTGAAATTAAAAATAAAAAGTATAACATTTCCTGACCCTTTAGATTTCATCAAAGAAAGAGATATAGAAACTTTACAGTTCTACTCGCCATCTCAATAGCTGTTCTCTTTATTATTTTAGGAGTATTATGGAATTAACTCTCAGCATAATTGATAATCATTTTATTTATAATCAATATATTCCTCTCTCTTATTGCATTATATAGCTACAAAAAAATTTACTATTTAGAAGTAGATTGGAGGCTGCTCACTATGGAGGATGAATTAATGGACCCTCAGGCTTATGAAAATGCTAAAATTATATTCCAAGCCGTTGATACAAACACTGCACATTACATATTTGATACTGAAATTTAATGAATTATTTGTAAATTTATGATAAAATACTTGTAATTTCTTTAAAATCTCACAAAATCATGTCTCTTTTAAGACATTATAATATTAATTATATTATTAATCAATAAATAGATAGTATTTTGATTAATTTCTAAATTTTAGATATCTTGATCTTGTAAATGAATATATTTAATATGGTCTCCCAATGATAATCATAGAGACACATAAATAGAATTAGAGAGAATTAAAAGGAGAGTGGTTTGGACCAATACAAGTAGTCGGATTAATGGTAGTTCAACCTAATTTATTAGAATAATGAGGCAAAGTTCCTAATATGAATGAGAAATGATCATAAAAACTTGATTAAATAAATTATTGATATAAAATTTACATTTTAATTATGGATTCTTCATAAGAGTAATCAAATACTAAGGTTTCTGATTAAGATCAAAATAATAATGCTTAAGAAGAAGTAGAACACTTAAAGATTGAAAACAATGTGAAACATGCAGATGATAACTAAAATAAGGAACCATAACATGAGGCCCAAATTTAGCATCATAGTGGAATAGACCAATAAAACTAGGTTAAATCAGAAACAGAATAGCCCATCTAAATTCTAAATATCAGTAAAGTAGACGAAGACAATTCTAAACATTTAGATTCTGTTCCTCAACATTAAAATAACAAACAATCAAATGAAAGTCACCATGAAAATTTAGAACATGATAATGCTAACTCTTAATTTGTTGAATCTGTATATGAAGCAATTCCATAATCACAAGAAAAATTAGAATAGAAAGAAAGAGTAGATAATTCTGTTGTTGACTAATCTCAATTTGAAATATTGGATAAATCTCATACTTAGTAATAGAATTAGTAGGAAATAATTCAAAACGAACAATAGCTTGATAATCAACTACATTAAGCTTTGGATGTATCAAAAGAGGAATAAAATTAATAAGAACCAGAATTAATTTAACCTACGCTTCATTTGAATTAAAAAGATAACACTTAAAAGTAAGTTATATAAGAAGAAGAAAAACAAGTAGAAGAAGGAGAGATTATTGATGAAACCAATAAAAGTTTGCCTACTAACAATGTTTAGAGTTCTTAGATTCAAAGCTCACCTAAAATAGTAGAAATTGATTAAAAATCATAACTTGTTCTTTAATTCTAAAAGTCTCTTGATGAAGCGACATTTCTAAAAAATTAAGGAAATCAATGGTTCCAATTAAAGAATTATGCCAAAGCTATTGAGTAGTATAATCTATCGATAGGATTGTGTGATCCATATTATTTAATTTAATGTCCAGAGGAATAACTCTAAGAATTTAAGAAACTAAGAATAAATTTGTTATCTAATTTAAGTGCTTGTTTTTTGAATCTTGGTGATTCTAATTCATGTATCACTCATGCCAATATTGTAGATATTATTTTTATTAATAGGCAATTCAACTTGATCCTTCCAATTAAAAGGTTTGGTATAGAAGAGCTTTGGCATTTTAATAAAAATAAGACTATGAAGAAGCATGGAGAGATATTGACTAGGCTTGGAATCTAGTAAAGAATACTACTTAAAACTAAGAGATATTCGACAAAAGAAAGGAAATTAGAGAATTACTAAAACAATCAAATAAAGAAAGAGCTTCACTTTATTAAACTATGTTGAGCAACAATTAGGATCAAAATGAGACTAAGAATTCAGTTAATTAAACCAAAACAAATGATTCAAAATTAGCAGCTAGTGAAATACATTAAAAATCATAGATAAATGAAAATAATTAAGTAAGTATTAGATTCTCTGACATTATTTGGAAGACTACTGCCTCAGCAGTTCTTGCTTCTTCAATGACTAAATATATTTTGGAAGAAAAACTTGATACAAAGATGGGTATAATTGAGACTTTAGTATTGGGTTCTACTACAGCCTCCTGTTTTATTGCAGAAAAACAGTGGTAAAAGCTTAGTTTTGCAACTGTTACAGCCGGGTTTTTAGCTTTTGTTTTATATAGGAAATCAACTAAGTGAGTTATAATATTCAAAGTTATAAAGGATTTATCAATATTGGTCTTGAATTTTAAATATTGTTATAAAATATATGATTATTCAATTGAATCTTAAGTTGTTGAGTAATTCTTATATATTTTTCGTTGACTTGCTGACCACCAATCTTTACACTTTAGTGATATCAGAGTTTAATTCATCCTTCTCAATTACAAGCTAATGTTGTTATTAAGTGAGATTATGAGAGTTACTACCTTTTTTAAGATTTTATCTAAGTTTAACATGTTTTTCCATAATTCTGTCGTTCCTTCTTTCCATTTTTATTATATATTTATTCAATAAATCTTGCTATTTCTATTGCTTTTGCTGTGCTACTTATTTAATTTTTGATTGAATCTCATCCAACCTTTTTCTGGCCTTAGCATTGCTGAAAAGTATTTTATCTTGTATTTCTTAATGAATCATGCTTTCCCTCAAAGATTGCATCTATGTTTTTGAGTTTAGATTTTTATGCACCTTACTAAACTTCCTATCTTATTCATCTTTCAATTTCTATAGAGTTTTTTGAATGTCCTACTAGTTCTTATAAGTCATTTAATTTGTTTTTTCAACTTAATTACCTATTTTCTGAATGACCTTATTTTACTGATCCAACTCTATCAATTAAGCCTATTGTATTCTGTCTTAGCTTGCTATGCCTTGTCTAATAAAAGTGCTTCTCTGTGAGGCTTCCATTGAATATTATAATTTAGTTCTTCGTAATTCCTCTTAGTCTGTAATATTCTTCTTTTTTTATCTATGATAATCCAAAGTTTATTGGGTTTTAGATTGCATCATTATTTAGAATTTCATTTTTGATTCTTACAAGGTCTTTTGGATAGGTTCAAATTTTGAATCAAAATCCAGACTTTTACTTAGCCTATCATCAAGTTCGTGCTTTCTTCTCTCCCTTAATAAAGATAGTTTTCTTTCAACTTTGTTATTGTGCTGCTTAGCTTTATGAGAGATGGATTTTAACTTCTCTTCCACTTGTCTATAGATTTTATCAGTATTCTTTTGTTATGCTGCTTTTATTTAGAGTTCCGATTGATATAGCTATTTGAGATCATGATCAAAAACCTTCTTAACAAAGTTATATTGCTTAAATTATTTAGGTGTTCTCAGAGCGATTTTTATTGATGGACCAATAATTTCTCTTCTGCGATTCACTAAATTCGAGAGATTGTCTAAATATATCATAGAATTATTGGCTACCTTTAAGATTTTGTAAATGGTTTAAGTACATGGTTCTCGATTCATTATGATAATGTAAGAAATTGGACAAAGTTCTTGTATGATAATTTGGGCACTATTTTACTTAAGTTAGCAATCATATTTAGTTAAATTTAGTTCTTTCATGGCAAGCTATGTACGCGGTGATTCTAAATTTAGTCGCATGAGTAACTGATTGATTTCTCGCAAATGAGATTAATCACTCTTACTGTCTACTTCTGTGAAAAAAGTTTCCATTATTAATTATAATGTTATATAATATAAAATAGAAAAATTGATTCTTTTAATTATAGATATTTAGAATCAATGTCACTTTTATTATAAACTAAACAAATATTATATAAAAATTAACATCTATATAAATTAACTGCAAACTTTCAGAGACTTGATAAAAATATGAAATAATTAGCTGGTTCAATATCACTCCTACATATGCTTGATCCCATCTTATAAACAATAAATAAAAATAAGACATTCAAAATTCTAAACTATTATTTAAATGATTATCAATAATTTTCATTCTTAAATTGCAAATATCTGGATTTTAAATTTTCTCATAATTGTATTTCATTTAAAAGTGAAAAAGAGACAAATTTTCTAGAAATCTGAATCTATTTGAGTTTTGTAATCATCTAATTGGAATTATTAATAAGATATTTATATAATAACTAAGTTTCATAGTATCTTAATTTGAATCGATGACAATAAGCGTAGATGATGGGTATACAATTTCAATTTTGTGTTATAAGATTAATATTTTATAATTGCTATTATTATATAAGGTAATTAAAAAATTTGAATCAGAAACATATCCTTAATTATTAAAATTAACTATGCTCACAAAAGCATTGGCCAGATAGATGCGTGTAGGTAATAATTTTAATGTAATTTTTGTAAAGCATTCTCTGCTGCAAAGAAGGAAGCATCAACTTCAACAAAATAGGCAACAGCAACAACAGGATAGATTGCCTAAGTCATTGGTGCAGTTGTAGATGTGTAATTTGATGGTCCTTTACCCCCTATTTTGAATGCTCTGTAAGTTTAAGGAACAAGTCATAAATTGATATTGGAAGTGGCTCAACATTTAGGTGATAGCAGAGTAAGAACAATCGCCATGGATTCAACAGAGGGACTTATTCGTGGTTAACCAGTTTCAGATTTGGGTGGTCCAATTACAATTCCAGTTGGCCCAGAAACATTGGGACGTATTATGAATGTGATTGGTGATCCAATTGATGAAAGAGGCCCAATTGAAACAAAAATCAGATATCCAATTCACAGAGAAGCTCCAAGTTTTGTTGACCAAGGTAGTGGTGCTGAAATCTTGATCACTGGTATCAAGGTGGTCGATTTATTGGCTCCATATGCTAGAGGTGGTAAAATCGGATTGTTCGGTGGTGCAGGAGTCGGAAAGACTGTGTTAATTTAAGAATTGATTAATAATGTTGCTAAAGCCCATGGTGGTTATTCAGTGTTTGCAGGAGTAGGAGAGAGAACAAGAGAAGGAAACGATTTATACCATGAAATGGTTGCCTCTGGTGTCATCAACTTGAGTGGTGGATCAAGATGTGCCTTAATTTATGGATAAATGAATGAACCCCCCGGTGCCAGAGCCAGAGTTGGTTTGACTGGTTTGACAGTTGCTGAATATTTCAGAGATGAAGAAGGAAAGGATGTGTTACTCTTTATTGACAACATTTTCAGATTCACATAAGCATGTTCAGAAGTGTCAGCCTTGTTGGGACGTATCCCATCAGCTGTCGGTTATCAACCAACATTGGCAACAGATTTAGGTTAATTGTAAGAACGTATCACCACAACCAAGAAGGGATCTATTACATCAGTCTAAGCTATTTATGTGCCTGCAGATGATCTTACAGATCCAGCACCTGCTACAACATTTGCTCACTTGGATGCCACCACTGTGTT